GCATCGTCCCTTTCAATACTGGAAACACATCTCCGGTCAATTAGAAGCTCATTAAAAATTTATCTAAAAAAACCGTTGTTATCTTCTCAATGGTCAGCATTAAATTAAATTTTTAATTGATATATCATAACCAAATTATGAATATCCATTCTCAATCCTTTAATGTTTCACCTTAATGAAGGAAATCGTCTTTTAATAAAACTGATAGCTCACCAGAACAGAAACCACAACCGCCACAATATTTATTAATGGAAAATCCATCATATATTTAATCATCAAATTTTGGCTTTTCCTTTCTCAAGTCATAATTCAATTGTTAATAACTCACTAGATCATTCTCAGGATTCCACTCATTGGTCATGAATAAGGAGCGAACCTTCGTCCATCGTAAAGATGAATAACAAATTTTACAGCACAGAGGCTTGTCATAATCTTATCACCTTATAATAAACATTATTCTAACATTCTGATCGTGTTTTCTTTTGCTCGAATAATTTATGAGTTTCTAAATTTCCCTATTATTTTGTTCAAGCTAATCCAGTTAAGGAGGATTTTTCATCTATGATTATTAAGTCTTCCCCCAACTTATCAATCTGTGCTAAAGTCTTATTGTCTTTCTATTTACAATTCAATATTCTTTTATCTTCTTGAGTTCCTTTAGAGCAGTTATAGTTGAAATCAGGAGAGTGAAAAATACCAAGTTATTTTAATTACTTCAACTTTTAACAGAAATTTCAATTAATAACATTTTTTGATCTTCTTACTCCTTTTTTTAAATTAAAAAATTGTAGTTTCTCTATTATTCATCTCATTCATATGTTCTAAAATGAGGATTTATTTTTTAAGTTTTTGATAATCCAATAAAAGTTTCTCACTCAATTCTTTCTATTGATCTATACGATTTATTCTAATAGGTTTTTTGTATCTTAAAATTTATATTATGTGAGAGACATAGCTTTCTTAAAATTATCATAATTGGAGTAATTGAATTAGATGGATTTCTTGCATATTTAATTGAATTGGGAAATGTTGAAAAAAAAAGAACAAAAATTTTAAATCTTCCTTAACAGTTCAATCCATAAAGTTGAAAACAATGAATATTTTGTGTACACTCCATAGTTTAATCCGATAGTACCTTATAGCAGGAGAGAAATTGACTGAAGTAACTGTTGATGAATGACCATTTAATTTGGCTTTTTATTATCCTGTCTTAACATCCCATAAACGAATAGAGTTATCTCCACTACCAGATGCTAATGTAGTACCATCAGGAGAGAAATGGACTGATAGAATTCCATTTTCATGACCATCTAATTTGGCTATTTATTATCCTGTCTTAACATCCCATAAACGGATAGAGTTATCTTCACTACCAGATGCTAATGTAGTACCATCAGGAGAGAAATTGACTGAAGTAACTGTTGATGAATGACCATCTAATTTGGCTTTTTATTATCCGGTCCTAACATCCCAAAAACGGATAGAAAAATCCCGACTACCAGATGCTAATGTAGTACCATCAGGAGAGAAATGGACTGAATAAACAAAATGCGAATGACCATCTAATTTGGCTTTTTATTATCCTGTCTTAACATCCCATAAACGTATAGAGTTATCTTAACTACCAGATGCTAATGTAGTACCATCAGGAGAGAAATTGACTGAATAAACTGCATCAGAATGACCATCTAATTTGGCGAATTATTATCCGGTCTTAACATCCCATAAACGAATAGAGGAATCTGAACTAACAGATACCAACGTAGTACCATCAGGAGAGAACTTGACTGAAGAAACTGCATCATCATGACCATCTAATTTGGCTTTTTATTATCCGGTCTTAACATCCCATAAACGGATTGACTTATCCAAACTACAAGACGCTAACATATTACCATCAGGAGAAAAATTGACTGTGTTAACATATCTTGAATGACCATCTAATGAATATATATCATTAATCTTTATTCTCTTCCATTTGCACCCAAACATTTAAGCTCTATTTAGATTAATTGCATTTATGTTCACATCAGTCAATTCAGATTAGTTTAAATTACTTTGAAAAAAATTTCCTCCAACTATGGAAGTATTTTTGATTCTTATTTTCTCAAAATTGTGATTAGTTAGATCAATTTACATCTCAACTAATAAATTCAGTGAGTTAGATCCTCCCTATATAAAACTACTTTCAATGGCCGTCAATTGAACCAGAAATTTCAAAAACTCAATTATTGATACTTCATTTTTTATTTTTTAGATTAAATACTTTCTAGATTCTACATATGTTTCAATAGAATAATTATCTAAAAAAAATTCATGTTTATTCAATGTTTTCAAAAGACTTAGCGTTGATTCAATATTTTTTTTAAAAGCATTTACTTTCAAATCTCTAATTAAAACATGAAACTTAATTATTTTCTCTTAATTTATTAAATGTGGTGAATATTCTAACCAATTCTTATCATAATTGTTCTCTTTTGATAGCTATTCTAATATCCAATTGAATGTCTGCTTATTAAGTTCTTTAGATACCACTAATACAGAATATAAATCAGCCGCTATATAAAACTCTTGAATTGACTTATGGACAAATTAAAAGTTATTACCTTTTTATTTGATTAGAGAGCAACTTCTTAAATCCTTCTTATAAGAACCAAATTAATGATCATCATCATTAAAAAATTCATTTTACCACTTTTCATCTTCTCTTTCTTCTTAATACAAAAATCCTTATTATTAATATTAAACCTATGTCGTTTATTTTGCACTCATTACTTTCGCAAGATTGATTGAATACTTTTTTAAGTCATGTAAGAACCTATCAATATGTAATGATTTTCCCAAGTTTCTCTACTTTTCGATTTATTGATGATGATATTAATTAATAAATTCATCGTAAAAGTCAAAACTTGTAAGATTGAGTTCAGATAATGCATTGCGAACAACTTCGATCATTCTATCTTTCAGAATGCTAATTTTTTAAAATGAATTGTTGAAGTGTTTAAGGGAGTGTTCGAAAAAGAGATTTTTGTTAAGATTTAATTCTTGAAAGTGGATAGCGATTGAACTTTCTTCCATTTTATTCCAGACCTCAACAGCAATTTCAAAGTAATTAATTTTATCCAAGTTTTCCACATCGGTTTAGGTAACCTGTTATTCTTTTTCATTATTATCCTGTTTTTCTTTTTTCATTATTATTCTGTTATTCTTTTTCATTATTATCCTATTATCCTATTTCATTAATTTATTCTATTTCATTATTATTCTATGCTCTATACTTTTTCTTTTGCCTATTATACTTTTGAATCAAATAGTTACTTTTGTAAAACTCATAAAGCATAATTGGGAAGTTTTTTAGAAAATTTAATCTCAAATTGATTATCTCTGAGGCCTTCTCCATCATTTTAGGCAACACTTAAACTATTATTTCCATCATATAGGGAGTTTCTATCAATCTATATAAATTTATTTGATTCATCATCTTTTCATACTTTTCAACACTCCATAGTTTTTATAATTTTACCATTAGATTTCTTAAAGCTTCAACACTTTTTAAATTAAAGAATTAATTAATCTTCAAAAATGATAAAATATTATCTATTTCTTTTTAATTCAAAAGAGCTTCACTATTAGCCTTTGTTGCCTCCAAACTCAAACACTATTCAAACAATTTTTCCCAATTAACTTCAAAATTATTGATATCCTACTCTCCTCGGTTTGAAATTTAAGATTACCATTCATATAATTCGTAAATCAACATTTTAATACTTTAAATTGCAAACTTTTTTAAATATTATTTTATTTTTTTTAGATTAAATTTTTCAAGCTGAACTTCCTTTAAATTTTCTTTTTTTTCAGGTGCAAACCATAAGGCATAATTAACGCTTGTAAAAATTTCACTTCTTGTAGTAAAAATAACAAGTGGGTCTGACCAATTCTATTTGACTTTATTATTCATATATAAATTTTTCTAAATATTCTCTAGTTTCATTTCATCATAGCTATCCATTATCAATAACAATCTAAATTCATTTTTCTCTAACATCTCTTTGCATTCTTTTAATTAAAGATCGTCAAAACCGTACTCATCTTGATGAAGTGTTTCCTCTACTGCTTAAAATACAGGGTTTTTTAAAGAGGGTAAGGAAATATAAATGGGGATGAGAATTCGATTTCTTATTTTTTTATTATTGTTATGTAATTTCCAAATAAATTCTTCTATTTTCTTAGCTGTCGTACTTTTACCAGATCCAGCTACTCCATGAATTAATAACACTGTTTCTTTCTCTTCTAATAAAAACTCATTCACTTCTCCTTTTGTATCATTAATTTACTCCAAATTTATCAAGATACTCTCCTCTTTCTTTTCGTCTACTATTGCTTTATGATAAATCTCCTTGGTTTCTAATGGTACGTAAATGGATTTTGTATTCTTAAGTGCAGCTTCTTTCAACACCTTCCATTTTCTAATTTCAAATAATTATTCAACAGATTTTCCTCTCAAGAATTTAATATCGTTACCTATGTTTTTGAGTTATTCCTTCATTTCATTGATTTTCCCCTCCACTCTAATCAAGCCTTTTCTGATATGATTAACAAAATCGGTTAGCAGTCTCAATTATTAACCCATTTCACTAATATTTTTAATGTATTAATCTAATTGCTCTGTTGTTTCATCAAGTTCTTTAAGGCACAGATCTCGTTTGTTGAGATTAGCCTCATGAGAAATTTATTCTTACAATTCATCAATTCTGCTCAACATTTCCTACATTTCCCCTGCAATTCTATCTTATTAAGTCTACCAATCTTTCGATAAAATCTGCATTTACATACTTATCAATTTTTCATTTTTCAAAAGGTTTCTAACTCTTAGATCTTTTTCTTGAACCCATAATTCAATTAACTCTTTTTAACAAAATTGAGTAATTTTTTCTGCAAAGCTATGCAATGAAATCTAAATTATTGTTAAAACTAATCCCTATTTAATTTTCCATTCATCATTATTGTATTAATCTTTAGAGAATTGATCTTACTGATTGGTTTTAACTTCTTATTCCTCATAATTTTCTTATAGGTATAATATTTTACTTAATTAAATTAGGTACTCTTGATCAAACTAAATTTCTATGAATTTCCACTTAGACTTCATTAGCTTTTCTTTTGTTTCAGCCATTAACTAATAGAGAAAATGAACAATATTTATTATTTAAGTATTCTTTTAATCTGATTAATTTTCATCATACAAGTTGATCGAAATTCTTGAAAAGTATTCTTTACTTGATTCTGTTTCATATTATTTTAAATTCGCAGTTGTGAATTGATATTCCTTCAATTGGTTTAACTGGTTTTAAAAACAACTTAAAAAACCTATATACATCTCCTCATAACATTCTTATAGAACATCACGACTTTTAGTAAAATTTTTAACATTTTCAAAGAATTATGCTAACTTTTGCCTGGTTTATCTAGCTTTAATTTACAATAATTATAGAATGTTAATAATGATTGATAAATTTTTTCTATTTTGGTTATTAGATTCGTCCTTATCTTCTTCCTTGATCTTATCATATTTTGTTTTTAATTCATTAAATTTTACTTTTAAATCATTTATTCTTTTTATGATTGGCATTCTAAAAATTTCCAGTTCTTAGTTAATGGAAGCTTTCAATAATTTAACAACATTTTCAACCAGTAATTGTATTTATTCTCCTTCCTTGCAATTTTCTTAGTAGTTAATTTTTCTTAATTATTATAGTAATATCTCATACTTTTATCTCTCAATTTTCAATTAATCTTGATTGAGATTTTTATTTTCAATAATGTTTATTGATTAGTCTATAGAAAAATTTCTTATAAGTGTCATAGTTAAAGAATTAGTTTCTTCAAATAATTCTCCAAACTCCTTTTCAATTAATTCTAAATGTATTCTTTCCAAATCAATCATTTTTTCTTCTAAAGTTAATTAAAATATAAGAAGATCTAAACTTCCTTTTAATATTATTAAATTATTTTAATAGTCTTGTTATGTAATTTCTAACTTCATTAAATCAGCAATAGCCTATTGGTATATTTAACTGTCACAGCAGATTATTTGTTTTGGATAACTCTAAATTACATTAAGAGGAAACCCATCTAAATTGATTTCACCTAGATACTTTAAAAATTCTTATGATGGAATTGAGAATATATTTTAAAAACATTCTTTGAAAGTGATTAATTGCGATCTAAGTTTTAAAATATTCAGTCTTTGTTAGTGTAGAAATTAAAATGAAACTTACTAAGAATATTTTTTTTAAATTTCTTTCAATTATTCAGGTGAAGAAACAGTGTCTATTTCATACTGTAAAATTAGAAATGTCTACAACCTTAAATTTAATTCGTTAAATTAATTTTGAAGTTCTTAGATCTGGTGTTCATAATAAGAATTAAGGTTATTCAATAAACATTAAAAGTATTAAATTAAGCTCTTCTTTTGAAGTAACAAAATTTCTAGCTCAGAGACTTATTTTACAGTTTATTCAATTAGTTTTAGCATGCATTAAGCTTCTTTCAAAAAACTTCTCAAGTTAGGAGTTGCACTAATTAAGGCAATTAGCTTCTACTAAAACTTATTTAAGAAAGAAAAATTTTCTTCTGTTAGATTTAGATTTTATAATTACTTCTAAATCTCTTCTAACTATTATTACATCACTTTACTTTCATTAGGTTCATTTTTCTTACTATTAAGATCTTAAATTGCTTATGATAATATTTATTCTAATAGTCTCAAAATGTATTTAATCTATTAAAAAATTTAAAATTCATTATTTTTTTTCTAATCAAATTATTCTAATTAAAAGTTTTATTTCCTCTTACTTAGCCTAATAATTTTAATGATTTTTAGGGCGTTTTGGAAAAATTCTTTGAAGTTGAGATTTATTTTTTTTAATTATGAATTATGCTTGGCTTATTCTATTTTGGCATCAAAATACATATTTTATTTGATAAAATTTAAAAAATCTTTAACTATGATCCCCAATCTCTCATAATTTTCCTGAATCAAAGCTAGCAATTTATTGGAAATGATGAAATCAAGAAATTGTTAAATTTTGCAGATTGTCTTTTATTCATCTTTTTAGGGTTCTATACTTCCTAATTTTAATTTTAAATAAGAACCAAATGTGAAATAGATATTATCAGTTTTTTAATTCACTAAGAAGTCTTTAAGCAACATGAGGTTTTCCCATTCTATGAAAGTGTCCTCTAGTATTAATTTATCAATTTAAGATAGTTCTTTATTTTTAAATTAATTTAGTAAAACCAAAGCTTAGTCATTGCTATGATTCAATTACATTAGAAACCCTTTGTTCTGATATTCCTTCCACATGAAATTTGATTTGGCTTAAAAATTGAAGGGGCTAGTAAGCTGGTTTAATTTTTTTTTTGTTATTAGAGGATGATAAGTTATGATTTTTCCAATCATTTAAATCCACAAAAAATGATTTTTCCAATTACTTTAATTTTTCACAAGATTTTCGTGTATTTTATTCATATGTAATAGTATTTCTTCCAAATTCTAGCTGTCATTTTTCAAATTATTTATGATCTCCCATTACAAAATATCTATTTAAAAATAACTTTCATATTATTTTCTATTTTTCTAGACTGTATAATCATCATAAAGCAGAACGGCTCCCTTATACAATGATTTAAACAAATCAACACTAGGTTTCATATCAAATATTGAGTTAATGATACCTTCTAAACAACCATGTAAAATATCTTCCCTTTCTTTACCATTATTTGGGGCCATCTGAAAAGAAGTTTAAGTTAGAGAAAGGTAAAGTTCCAATTATATTTGAATTAAATCATTTTTCTCTATTGACATTTCTTATCTTAATTGATCACAAATATCCAAAATTTGATTCTAAGTATCCCAATTTATGAACCTTTACGCTTTTCTCATATGGAAACTAAATATCACTTTAGATAGAGATGCGGATATCCTTAAGATAAATAAACTTTTAAATGAATCCGTTCTGATGTAGATTAAACAACTTTTCAATAATTTTTAAATTCCATCTATAATTAAGTTGTATGATTTCATGACCTTTTCTTCATTTTTGATGAGTTTGTAAATGTTTTCCTCTTAAAAAATAAACCATTATATGGCTATCATTATTTCTTAGGCTTCTGATTAGTTAGCAGCAACAGTTGCTTTACTAGAAATAATTTAGACAATAGAATCAAATCTAGTAATGAAAATATCTGTATCATAAATATCGGACTTTAAGTCTACATCTGTGTAGGGAATTGTTTTAGTAGATCCACAACCACCTCCACGTAATGTGGATGTTACTTTATCCAATAGGCCTGACATTATTAATAACAATTTAAAATTATAAATCAACGTCAGTATAAAAATGATTACAACCTAATTTTTTATTATAAAATAATTTTTTCTTTTGAATAATAAAAATTTTCTTTTTATTACAGATATATAATCAAATCTCATATTTTTATGTATAGATATTATTTTATAAAGTTCTCCTTTATTTTAGCCCTTCACATTTGTGATTCAATTATTTGAATTTTAAATGCCACTATCAAATTCCAAATGTAAGAATAGTCAGTCCATTTTATCTTTCTACGAGAGATAGGTAAAACGAAAATCATTTATTATTCTCACTATGATTATCTGAGTTTATTCACCATAGTTTTTATCAATGAATCATTAATACTAAATCAGTTTAATCTTTCAATTTTTTTATAATAGAGTATGAAATCTTTAAGATAGAGGATTTTTGCTATAGTATGCTTTATACCTAATTTTAAAGCATTAGTTTAAACATTTAAATAAAATTACAACTGAGGATTAGATCTTCTTATAATTAACAACTTAATTAATTATACTTTGAATTTGTATTAAATTATAACTCTTTCTAGACTTATTTTATTCATTAACTCCCTTATTTGAATCATTGAAGATTAATTATGACTTTAAGAAACAAAATGAAGAAATTGAACAAGATTTTATCAGCATTGAATGCGTAAAAAGGGTACTTAATATTAATTCAAAGCTTTCATTTTTGATTGCCAAGCAAACAGAATCGATTTAATCTACAGATTGCCTTATAATTAATAGAAGGAGAAATCTCAAAATATCCTTTATAATTAAAAGTCAAAAGCCAATAACGATAATTATAAAAATTTTTCAAACAAAATTATAACTCGAAGCTACAATGATAATGTATTCTTAGGTGGTTAATGAGCTGCTTAAAATAACCTTACAATAAAAATAATATTCGAATCAAGTAAGAAATCAGCAGTTAAACAATTTAGATTGCTACATTTGAATAATATCAATAAAAAGGATTGTCTAAATAATAATTATCATAGCTTTGAGCTTCATCATATTATACATTAGCATATAAGATTATCAAGTATTTTATCTTCGAATTTTTAGAGATATTTTTTGACATTTGCCAATTTTTAACCTAATTTAGTTTATATTGAAACAATTTATAAATATAAATCTTATCTATTTCCGCCAAATCAATAGAGTTCAAAGAACCTTATAAAGCAGTTTATGATTTGGAGAATTTCTCTTACTACGTTTCTCAATTTTATATTTTTTATATAAAACCATAGATTTTGCTTTTAATCACTAATATATGATTCATTTCATTTTATCCTAAATTAAGTTATTAACAGAATTCAGCTGTTTTTCTTTGACTTATCAATCATTCGACAAAGTAAAACCTAACCCAATATTCTCATATTTTTCAAGATCTTTTACCAATTAAAATTGAAATAAATTTAACTATCTCTCAATATTTTTAGCGGTATTTATAATATAGAGGATAATCTGGCTATTTGGATTAACTAAGTAGTGAACAATCAAATTTATAATCTCATTCTTTTGGAGCAATATTAATTTAAATATTAGTTAAATAGCAGTTAGTATATCTGAAATATTTCAAATACATAAATCATAGCGTATTCTCAAAATTGTATGATTAAAAAGTAAAAAAAGCATTTTAGGTAAAATTAATTAAGTTAAAATTGCTAAAAAGAACTTAAGAGATATATGGGTTTGTTCTAAGTGAAGGTTTCATATAAATCTTAATTGTTAATGAAACAAAATGCCTCAGTTAGTTCTCTTAAATAAAAGGAATTATCACAAAAAAAAGATAAAAAATTCTTTAAATTTCATATATTAAATAATTTTTCTAATTTTTCTAAACGAGAAATACAGCGTTAGTGCAAATATTCAGTTGGGCAAGATATATTCAAACATAATTACTTAAATATCCAAGTTTTTTCTTCATACAATGCAATAATTCATCCAATTAAAGCGAGATTTAGTTAACTATTATGATTGGAATAACAGTAGATAAAGTAGATGTGAATTAGGCACAGAAAACAGTTGAGAAATTTGCCCACTTATTTATATTTTCTTTGAGCAATATTCTCATCAATGAAGTATTGTTTCTAAGAGTTCATGGGTCTCATCCTTTATTATATTATTACAAAAACAAACATTTTCAATAGCAAAAAGACCAAAATATATTTTATTTGTATAGCAAACAACAACTTTAAAACTAATCTTGAATTAATATTCAAAAATTGTTATAAGCCTATTCAATCTCTAGAACTAATGTAAAGAACGTTTCCTTTTTCTTTTGAGAAACAGATATCTATAATATAAATGGCTAGATAGGTTGAATGCGACAAGAAATATCTTCTTAAAAGGAATAGTTATTTAGATAATTATCTTTCCATTTTATTACTAGTTGATAAATCATATTTGCCTTTTGGACCTATCTAAAGCCTTAAATGTTTCCTATTGCCACTATTTTTATTTGATATCTAATTTTACTAATTGATTGAAGAACTGAAAGAAGAATTAGGATTAAACTAGAAAATAGTAGAATTTGAAAGAATTAAAGATAAACCAATTTTAATCATTTTTGAAAGTCACTAAAGTCTTTGCAATTGCTGATGATCTTGCAGTTACCATCTTAATAATAGAGCAGGATTAGTAACAAAGTAATTTCTGGACCAGGCAGAAAGTAAAGTTTCAGAGTAAATCTTAACAACCTAATTATATGTAAAGTAAAATCTAGATCATGATTCCCTAAATAAATTTGGATGCTTTAGGCTATTTTATATCACCTAGAGTCAACATAACGAACACAGAGAAAAAATTAAACTAATGAAAACTTCTTATGTGATTAATTAACAAATTTAAGTCGCTTACTCCCACCAAATTGTATTAAACTTCATTTTCACTCATTTGATGAAGAATTTTGACATTAAAGTAATTAAATGAGATTGCTGTATAGAAGTCGATTAAAAACATCATACACTGGGAAGAGTATTATTGATGAGTTGTGAATTTGGCCTGTAGCCAACAGCTTGATGAAACAGACTAAGAATTTATGGCAAACTCCTAATATATAAGGAAAATTATTCTAAAGCTAACTAGATTAAAGAATATCGATAATGCAGTGGAAGAGATCAGAATTTTCTGCTTCAGTAACAAGATAAAGAGGAAGATATCGGAATAATTTGATTAATTGGCCCACCAAACTTCTCTAATCAAATAAAATGAAGTAAAAAGATTGTTGAAAAATGTAACAATATTGTTCTTAGTCGGCTGTTTATTGAACATGTCCTTCGACATGATCCTGCGCTCTACTAAGATTACTTGACCATAGAAAGCTACATAATGAATATTCACGGTTTTAAAGACTACTCTTATAAAAAAGAGTTGTGCTTCCATTTAAAAACCTTAATGGGCATTTCAACAAAATTGTTGAATAAATGGATTTTATTCGTAGTGATTGAGGTCCTTTCAGACTAAGAAATAACTTGGTATATTATTGAAAACTTATTACAAGTAGGGAGCTATTTCACACAGGCCTGTCGAAATTTTAGATTAGAATTTTTTGTTTCATAATTTTTTATAAGAAGAATTTCAAATATCATATGTGCTGGTAGGGAGCCGTCATAAATAGTCAAAGATTTAAGCATCATATTGATCTCTCAAATAATTTGAGGATGTACAAAATCGGCAGAGGCTTATATCCGAATCATTAAGGGGAAATAGCTAATTTGCAAGTAAATTAGTAATTGAATTATCAACAATTTCCGATTTTGCAAATTGAATAAGTGTTTTTTGAATTCAAAAATCTTACAGGCACAAGTTCATCATTTGTAAAATTTAAAGTCCAACATGGTGGAAATTTGAATTTTAATAAGGTAACTGTGCTTTTGCTTATTAAATGTAAGCGTGGATGTTAGATGTTATTGTTATTTCGGGAATATAAATAGAAGCTTGGCTATATTTAATGCAAACAAGACAAATGATATATACGTGAACAAGTTATTATGACAGAACCGACAACATATCAGTTGCGACGAACTTGAAGTGCAAGCATCAGCATTTATGTAGGTAGTATTAGACGTTTAACAGTTACATATTTAAACCTGGGAAAATTAGGGATGATCCAAGAAACATAATATAGGGACACTCATTTATGAAGAGTCTCATTCAATTTAAACATCAGTATATATTGCAAAGAGCAGTTCTATTAAATATAACACAAACAAGGACTATAAAATCATAAGTTGATTTTACACAAATTGTTTGCCATATATATTTTGATCCAATTCATAATCAGGCTCACTTTCTTTGCGAATTATGGGCTTGATACTGCTCGTCCTAAATTCAATAATGAGGAATGTGCCTACACTTAAGCTCAAAAAATATTGACTTCTACTGTTAATTAGGTGTAAGAAAAGTTAACGCATGAGGAGAGAAATAACTAGTATCATTAAAATAAGATGGTAGTAATTTTAATCATGACTCAAAGAAGAAGGTGTGGCTTCAAGTCAAGCTGATTCACAAAATGGATCGGTATTTATCTTATCCAAAGCTATCAGAATTGATTACAAGCTTATCAATTCATTAGTAATAGGAGGCATAATTAATTCTTTTTAGCTTCCAATTAGCTTGTGCTTCTAACAAATTTAACATTTGATCTCCCACTTTACCTAATACATAAAGACTCAGAGATATAATAATCAATTTGGATTGTGCAAGATTGTCACTCTGGCATTAAAAAATTATAATACTGATAAGTGCAAATTTATCTTGATAGCATTCTTAAATTTTGTAATATTTTCTGGTTTTGGAAGTTGTGGTGGGGTGTTTGGAGGATTGTCCTAGTGTCGGGTTATAATGAGATTTGCGGTGGTCAAAGACGGGTGTGCCGTGTTGTTGGCAAGAAAAATAAGTTTCAGATAATTGTTCACCTCATGAGCAATTCAGGGTCTTTACATATCATCCATCTGAACTTATAAAAGATTGACACGCTTAAAAAAAACCAATTAATTTCGGCTTATGCTAAAAAAATACATAAAAATCCTATTACAGAGGTTTGACGATGAATAAGCCTAGTTGATTTGCGATATAGTTGGCACTTTGATAACATAAGTTATAAGTATAAGGATATTTTATATAACTATGAGGTCATCATCAAAATATTAGCAATATTAAAAAGATGGAGAGAGTATTACAAATAGACATTGTAAAGATGTTTCTATACAAGTGGCAGTTGTTAATCTAAAAGTCATATCTATAAGAAAATCTAAACACTAATAATGATGTCTAACATTAATTAGTGTTCTTCAGTGTAAGTTAGAAAAAGTAGTTTAGATGACTAAAATGATCAAGAAGTCTTACATAAAGAACAAAAGATTTTACGAGGTATTTTATTCAAAATTTTTTTTAAATTTGCTGGTGGAATACAATTTAGCCTGATAAAGCGCATTTAGGACTTGATAATAATGCAAAAGCCTACACTAATTAGAATTAATTATTTTTAATATTAACACATAATACTATCAAATCATAAATGTTCAATTTTAGAAATATATTTTCCTAACCTCTTTTTATTTATTTTTTCATATATAAATTAGTGTTTCAGACCAAGAGATTTTTTGAATGGGAATTTACAAAAAGTTGGAAGAATAAGGTAAACTGATTCTCGTTACAGATTAGGAGATATAATTTGCCTAAAGTTGTGAAATTATTAGAAAGACTATCAATATTGATTTAATTTCATTTGAAAGACATGGAAACCTACCACCATTTTGAAACTGACCTTATAGATCTTTTCTAGATTCTTGAAGTTGTTTTAATACATTTAAAAAAGAATCTCGCAAGTATATGGGGAATAATATAAGTTTACCAAAGAAGAAACTTGTAATATTCAAGAAAAACATTTCGTATCCATTTAAACTTCATTATGATTTAATTTAAAGTAATTTTTAGATTATGAATACGCAATTTAATTTTTCATCTGAAACTGATCAATAAGCCTAGGTATTTGTATTCCTTTACAGAAATAATTGAATTTTAGATATCAAATAAGGTTTGTTATTCTTTTTTAATCTCCAAACTCCTTCATATATGGTCATATTTCCTCTAAATGTAGGAGGCGCTGTTGTCTGCTTAAGCAAGATACTTCTCATAAAATTCGTTCAGAAAATAATGAACCACTATTCTTTAAATTGTAAGAACATTTTATGTTTGAGCTTTAATATAACAATCTTGTAAAGGGAGTAGACACGATTTACAAGTTCTTGAGATAAAAATTAAAAAGAGTTGAGTCCAAGATGGACTTAAATAGTCGTGCTGTTAAGTAATCTGCCTTTTCACTTTGTTTCTGAATGTTAAAGCTAAACATCATATAAATGATATCATAGCTTGATAAACGGCTATTTAATGTATTGGTGACAAGACACAAAACGAATTATAGGAAGCAGCCATGATTAAAGCATGAGTGGTTACACATAAAGTTGTTTCAACTAAAGCTTTCAACTCGTGCGTTCATCACAAAATGTCATTAATACTCCTGGCTCTAGTTATTATTTTCGGTGCTTAAATTTGCCAATTTGTTGTTCTAATTCAAGTTTTGCTCCATTTTGGGATAATAATTGTAGAAAACTACCTTTAGAAATGAATTAACTAGAAGTATAGGTATCAGTATTCCAGGATATTTAATATGCAGTTAGACTTATTGAAAACTATATATTTACAGCATCTCATGAGATTTTAAAAACTATATAATTAGAATAAAAAGCATGATTCAGCTACAAAATATTTTAAAGTTTAGCACAAGCTGGTGAAAATTAAATAGATTTAGGAGGTAATGCACTTATATAAAAGTAGAATTAATGTAAACAGCAAACTCATCATGAATTGTACAAAAAGTAATCGAAATTTTCATTGCTGTTTTACAACATGCGATAAGGAAGTAAGCTCAAATTAATACAGATTCTTCATTCAAAAAATTCTCAAACTTTAGATGTTTCTATAAAATTAAATTCTAATCTGGTTAAATGAACCAATTAATGAGGCTGCTTTAACTTGGTGTCTAATCCATATTTTGGAAGCAACATTTCACTTCATTTTATAAATTTAAGTAGCCCTTTACTTTATTATGCAGTTCTGCTCAACAACAAGGTATATGCTGAAGCATAAAAGTGGTTATTATTTGATATATAAACAGCTTAATACAGAAACTAGTATTTTCCTCTCTATTTAATTTTATTGCATGAAATTATTTTTATATTACAAGATTTTTGAATAGATATTTGTGTACATTTCCGGAAGCCCCTTTAGACTGATTCAAGAATAATGGTCCAATATCAGGCTTTCATAATAATTACATAAATGGCAAATGCAGAAGTGTATATAAATCTGCTTGTAACTGGAGTAGGCGAATAAAAAAGTATTGTTATTTGAGAAATTATGTAAATGCTGCCCTTTTTATTGGTAACACTCTTAGAAGTTTGTGAATACAAGTAGCACTAGAAGATTGTATGCATATTATGTAAAAGCACATAATGTTTTCATATATGCATCATCAAATGAAGCAGTTTTGTTGTTACGCTCATCTCCCTCACAAGTTGTGGTGATAATTATTAGCTAAAGAATATATGAAAAATAGCGAATACTATGTAGAAAGCTCTTCAACATGGTATTGTATTGCATACATGATATGCAGACATCTCCTTTCAAGACAGTTCCAAGTATTACTGTTGCCACAAAGTCTCTATCATAAAATCATCTGGAGAGATATTAGAGCTTTAACCACAATTTGAAATGCTCTCATATGCAGATTTTATATTTTATTGGTTAAACAACTGTTTTAAGGTGGCTGGTTAGCAGAAACTCAACTGCCAAGCTCAACTTATACTATCGAGATTAAATCGGCACTACAATACCAACCTGTGTGCTAGTGTCTTAAGTTTTTTTGTGAGAATCATTACCTGGCCAAGTTTTGAAAGAGAAAATACAATCATTTTGAAGCTAGCAGAGTTTTACTCTAAAATTATATTGAGAAATTACTAAATATGAATTCTCTACCTAACATCTTGTCGCAGTTGGTAAATATTAAAGGACAAACTCAAAGTCCATATAATTTTCTTATAATAAGCTAAAGGATACGATACTATGTGAAGGAAGGAGCTGATGGTTCCTAACAAATTTAGTTCTCATTTACTGCAGATATCTCTGAAAAATGTTTGCACACTATCCCCAACATTGTACAAAAGTAACAAGGGCTAAGTTATGGTCTTGCACATTACATCGAACTAAATTTTTTCCACATATGTATCAACAGTTTGAGACATAGACATTATGTTGATTGAGAATGTAGCCATCAAACAACTGATAGTATTTCTGGTACTCTCTTGCAAGGTTGAATTCAACTAACCAAGCTGTGAGATGCAAGGATTAAGCATTAGATATAATGCCCCTAATTAAGAATGAATAAGGCGAAGGTGTTCTGCAGCAATTCAGTAGTAAAAATTATTGACATCAGTTACAAATTTACAATAGCATTAATAAGGATTCTCGTTAAAGCATTTTTTTCGCTCCTAATTACACCATTATCTTACCCATATTCTGATTTTCAAACTGCACAGAGTATTTATAAATACTGAAGTTATCAACTAGATATGTTCTACATGAATATTTGGTTCTACATGGTTGTTGTTCACAGGTCTGTTAGAAAGAAATTTTGAATATTGATCAGGATTTCTATAAATAGCTACAAAGAAAGGATGGCTATATTTTGAGATTCAGTTACATTGATAGGAGACAAATAGTCTATTCTAAGTGCTTTGCTGACAACTTAAAATTCAAGAAGTTAGAAAAACTAACACTTCATCTGTTAGAAGTCTAAGATATAAAATATTTGATGTACGGAAATGGATTTTTGACAGAAGATTTTAACAAGCCTTATAAGCACTTGAATAAGATTATGACATCATGAAATCTTGAATGTGGTATAAGTAATAAAACATTTCGTTAATTGAGTAGCATCAACAACCAAGGAGCACAGAAGTGAAAGTTGAACTAATCACAACCATCACAAAGGGAGGAGTGTATATTAAGTAGGAGATCTAGTTACTTCATATGTCAACATATTTATGAGAGATCGTGATCGTAGTAAATGTAAATCATAGCACATTTAGGATTGCCAGAAAAAATAGCAAGAGCTTTTTAATTTCCATATTTTTTTTTCAATTTATTTTCTTACATTGTTTTAAAATTTATTTAATAAGCGATAAATGGTAGCCAAAGCAATTATGCTTAGCAGTATAAATAGCTTGTTTCATTTGAGAACAACCATTTAAACTACTTTCCAAATTTACATGAGATTAAACAGAATCTGAATATTTATAAAATATCATTCTAGTAGGGGATTTAAATGAATTATGGAAAGAATTCTTTTCCAACTTTATAATAGAAATACTCATATTCATTTTTTTCCCCAAATTTGGTAAGAAAAATCTTAAAACTTAATGAAAATTTATTGGATTAACTAATTTAAGATTCTATCCCTTATCTTTAACAAGAACCTTTGATGCAAATTCTTATAATTATATTTTTAAGTTCTTCAAATGAACCTTAAGAATTTAAGTCTCCTTTTACAAAGTGTTAAATAAGAAAACTAATTAAGATTTCTACTCCTTTTGTAATATATTTCAAATGAAATGAAATATATAATACTTAATTGGTGAGCCTTAATCATAAATAAGAAAGAAATTTTCAGAATTTGAATTTATCTTATTAACCTTTTTTGGTATTTAAACTTCTATATATTCAGAAGTAGGATAATATATAATGATTAAAATAACTAACAAAAATATTTAGAGTTGTTTGGTAAAAATGATAGAATTTTGTTGAAAATATTAATTCGATGGCCTTTAAATGATCCCTTGAGTAACCTTTGGTCTTTATAACCCTAATCTCCTTATCCTAATATATCTACCTTTTATCAATATAAGCAGAAAACATACTAGGATAAAAAATATAAATAATCTTTGATTATTATCACCCATAAAAATGAGAATCATTAGAAACTGTCAATTACAAGAGATTATTAATATCAAATAAAATCTTGATTTTAATTTATTCAAATCACTAATAGTCCAGTCTCAAATGAACTAATTTCAAGGAATGAGATAAATACAGTTCCATAATCATTATTTTCTTCACTCAATAAAACTCTGATAAAAACAAAAAGGAGTCAGTGATTAAATATGTATAAAATGGGAAAGTTAAGTGGTTTTGCAACTTGACATCAAGCAATTAAAAGAAACTTTCCAATCGTTATAAGCTATTACTTTGCTGCGTATAGTTCAATAGTTTCAAAATCTATAATAGTGGGCTAAAATGCTTGAAAAATTATTTAACAAAAATTTAATAAATGATTATATATCTACAAGACTTCTCTAAGTAATTCGTACTAGTACTTTTTCAATTTGATAGATTGAGAAACTCCTTATCAAGGATTTCTTAATTCAGCTTAACACATTAGATTCAAAGAATTATTCGATTTGCTTATATTAATCTAAAATCTGTAGGCTGTTTATAATTGATTTTATTATTACAGATTGAAAAGTTTACTTTTACTTTTAGAATAGCATTATTGTAAAATTTTAGGAATCAGGATTGATCTGTACATTAAATTCCGAAATAATAGAAGAGTAATATAAACTTAAAAATTCTGAATTCTTTCTCGGGTTAAATCTTTTTTAATCCTATGTTCAAAGCAGTTTCTTGTTAATTCATTTAATTTAAGTTCCTCAATTTTTTCTATTATTTATCTCCTGTAGCCTATTATCTCTTATTCTCAAATTACCTTCATCTAAGAATTTTATTGTATCAAATCAAAATTACAGTATATGTTTCGATTCGAATAATTATTATTTTTATAATTAAAATATGGATAAGCCTCCTTAGCAAGAAGAAAAACATTTATTTAAAATAGTGTTAATTGGTAATGGAATTTGCAATTAATATAAGGTGATTCAAGTGTTGGAAAATCAAATATCCTTTCAAGATTTACCAAAAGATAGTTTAATTTTGACAGCCAACCAACAATAGGAGTTGAATTTGCCACTAGATCATTGACAGAGAACGGAAAAATAATTTAAGCTTAAATTTGGGATACTTGTGGATAAGAGAGATATAAATCAATAACAAGCGCATATTACAGAGGAGCAGTTGGAGCAATGTTAATTTATGATATCACAAAACAAAAAACATTTGAAAATATAGAAAAATGGATCTAAGAATTGAAAGAGTATGCGGAGACAAATGTAGTAGCTATGTTGATTGGGTAAGATACTTATAATAAATAGAAATAAAGCAGATTTAAAAGCTTAAAGAAAAGTTCCTAGCGATAAGGCCGCTTAATTTGCAGAAAACCATACTATGGCATTTATGGAAGTGAGTGCATTTGATGGAACGAATGTTGATCTAGCATTTTCAAGACTTATTAATGGTATTTTATTACTTATTTAGAGAAATATATTAATTAATAAATAAATAGTCTTTAGCAGAAAATTAGGATTAGTCAATACAGCAATAGATGCAGAGTAGAAATAACATGCAAATTCAATAATCCTAATGTAATTAATCATAAGACACTTGTTGCAAATGAGATATCAATGTATATTTAGAAGAAAAAATAGTATTTCCCAAATTTATAAAATTAACTAATTATTATGTCTTACTTGAGAATTTTGAAAAGAACACTACTTTTTTTTTATGTATTAAAATTATTTATAAAATTTAAAATAAAATAATTGTTTATCCCTTTTTCAATGAAAATTTGATAAATCGAATTTTGAATTAAATAATACTTTATGTATCTTTAGAAATATTTCAATAAATTATCACTAAAATTAATATAAATCATTTAAAAATTGAATAACTTCTGGTTCGAAATTGTATTTTTCAAGTTTAAGTATAACAGAAACATATAATTTTTTTAAATTTAATAATTACTCCATTCTTTTAGTAACTAAATTACTTCTCAATAAATAAGTATTATTCATTGCAAAATCATTTATTAGTTTGGATTTAATCTCTTCATTGAAATAGATATTCATTGTCATTAATTTCATTTGAACAAAGGCTGCCAAAATAAGACTCATTTAGCTAGTTTCAATAAAATTGTTTTTAACGTGTAATTGTAATCTTAAGATGGTTCTGCAATTTTATAATGCCTTTTAAAGAAATACTATATGATCATAATTTAATCTTGCATTATTCAACTTTATAGTGATATCAGAACAGTTTGATTGCTCTAATTCGCATCCAAAAATGTCTAATGTATTGTAAGTTTGGATAGTGTTATTTAGATTTAAAAACAGCTTTTTATAAGTAAAATGAACTAAAATACTAAAATCAGGGGAGGGAATTGTGTGTTAATCGCTAAGACAAACTGTATCAGCTAAAAATAAGTTCAAATATCTCAATGATTTTTTGTTGATAATATTCTCTTCTTAAATTTTTGTATTGAATGATTAGCAAAATATATTGCTACTTAAATCGAGAGAAAATGTATCTAGAAGAGGGATTGTCATCACTGTATTTAAAAGATATTATAATTTTCTTATATCTTAGTTTGACTTGCTAAAATTAAGATTTAAATTTTGTAATTATTTCAATGATTCTAATACAGTAAGTATTGATTAGAAGAATTTTGTGGTTAACGATATATTAGAAAAATTTAATGAGAGCTATTCAATTTTATATGCAAATTCATGAATTGAAAAATTAATTTAATTGAAATTACTTACTGAGCTAACATCTAGTTATAAAATTTTTAAATTCTTTGAGCAAGCAAAACATTTTGAAACAATTTATTGAAAAATTTCAGAATTTTCAAAATAACATTTTCCAAAATTCAATTTTAAAATTTCTAGCTTCTAGGATTTTGAACAATAATTTAGAATATATGATAATAGGGATATTTCTACTTCATAAAACTTTTATTCTTAAATTGTCATACAAAATGACTTTAAATTAGAAAAATTACAAGTTTCGGATGGAATCATCCTATTTTTTTTGCCATATGATAAATTTTGGTGTTGCTTAGGGTTTATAAATATATTTAGTTCTTCAACAGCATTAACATTTAGGATTTATGGAAAATAAGCTATGGCTCTCAAATTTATATCTATTGGAAGAACAGATATTTAATAATAAACTACTTTTTACATTTTTAATTTTTTCAAAGATTCCAAATATCTAAATACACCTTTTTTTTGAGAAGCTATTGTAAAACCATTAATTAAGGCTAATACCTTAATTTGTTTATTTTCCTCTTTCTTTGTAACTTAATCTATTTATTCTTTTAGTTACTCAAAATCTGATTTTATTCTCTGCTTTAAAATCACTTTTAATTTATCATTTTTTATGCTAACATCTTCCAATTTGGTTGTAAACAAAGTTTTTGTTTTGCTCTTTTAATTTGATAATTGGGATGAAATTGTTCTTCTTTTACCAAGTCTAAAGGGATACTCAATAGAAATGGATTCGTTCATTTATTTAAAATGAGAAAAATTATTAGTTAAATTTTAGCTAGAATTTTTACTTAAAATTAAAAACATTCAATAATAAAATATTCCCAATTTTGCTCTTATAAATAAATATTACAACTTAAGAGTTTTAATTAATTAATACACAAAAAAAATCAAATGTAGAATGGACAATTTAGACAGTTATTAATAATTTTTGGTTATCAATCCATAAGGGAACATAATACTTATTTTTAAGTTAAATCTTCATGATTAAGATATTTAAACAATAAGATGGTCAAATAATAAAAAGTTTTATATGTTAATTTTTTTTACACTTATATAATAATCAATTAAAAATAAATTTTCCACTTCAGGCCTTTCCTTTAAAATTAAAATTACATAGAGCTAATTACATGGCAACTAAGGGACTGAGTGGACTCATAAAATCCAAGTGAAATTAATCTTTGTCAATTTTTCCAAATTAAACATAAATGAGATCTCTTTCTTCTCCTTTCAAAACTAATTAAAAGTTCTTTACCGAAGCTTTTTTAACTCTACCAAAAAAATCTAAGGTGTATAATTTCTACTCTAATTTTCAATATTAATAAATTACATTATTATGTATTTATAATTTAAGGTTTACGACTAATAAATTAGACAATTTCTTTTTCACTTTTTCTTAAAACTAAAGCCATCCTTCTTGGTCTACCTTTATTTTCGTAATTTGTATCAAAAAATACACTCCCTAATTAGACTCTCATCTTTTTAATTGAATTTGATTCTTTTTTTTTCGATCCACTATCAAATAAATAATAATCAGCCTTAGATTGTTTGCTTTATTCAACTTTTCCTAATATTTATCCTTAATCTTTATGTTTAAATTCGCTGTCTTATGTAATAATAAACTTATTCTTATTTAAAGACTTTTTTGCTGCTAATAGAAATTAATTATTGTGACACCAATACATCTTATATTTTGGCATAAATCTGTTTAGTCCTGATTTATCTCTTACAATTTTGCATTAAAACATACCTTCAGTAGGTATTGGATTAATTAAAAATGATAACAATTAGTCAGGCAAATTTATTTGAGTAATATTTACAGAATAAGGGCAAACAGGAGGCATAGGTATTAAATCAGATATTGCAGCTTCTAGAAAATCACAAATTTCTATTTGACACTCTTCTTACTCTTATTTCTCAATTTATTCAAGTTTTTCTAGTTATTCTAAATATTATTATTATTTTTAAATTTCTTCTAAAACCCAATTATTACTTGTTTCTATTGCATCCCGTTAACATTATTGAGATTAACTAACTTGATTTGATAAAATTAATGGATCTAAGATATCTTAAGAAGCTCCCTGTGGAATTTCCAATAATTTAAATTCACCAACTCCCTCTCCTATTGAGTCATACGATTATTTTTTCTCTTAATTAAATATGTTTTTTTCAAATGTGAATGTATTAAGATCAATATCGCAGGCGTCATAACTAGCTCCTCCAACACCTAAATTCTTTTTATAGTTCTTATTTTTAGTTATGACCTTTGTTGACTTGCTATCTAAAATGAAATTTCTACATTTTTATCAATTTCTTAACTTAATCCTAAAGTATCTAAGCAAATTTTTGGAGCACACTTCTTATCTTCATCTGAGTCTGAGATATTGTTTAAAAACATATTAATTTAAATATATAGATATAAAAGTGAATTTCAATGATTTTTAATACCGACATTTTTTACAATCTACTTAAAATTTTCTTGGTTATATGAAAGTTTTCTATCACAAACCGATTTACTATTTTGAATAAATGAAATTTTATTTATGCTAGGTTAGCTTCGCTTTAATTTAATCAAATATTTAAAGTCAGCATTTTTCTTCAATAAATATGTCATTCTTTGGCTTTTGGATACTCTGCTTAATAAACATAATAGCATATTGAGTGTTTCATCTTCACTCAGCAATTCTGGGTCTATTCTGTTAGTCAAAATTCCAGTTTGTATCGTTTCATTAGTAGGAGATGTTAGAGTTAAGTTCGTTCGCGTTTTGTTGATTTCAGATTATAAGCTATTAATTTTTGATTTTAATTTTGTTATCTAATGGATTGAATCTTATTCTTTATTTAATTGTTAGGAGCTAACTCGTTTAGCCACTTACAATTCTATTCTTATTCCTTCTATTGTTTTATTCTATTGATCATTTAGAGCATATAACTACTATAATGTGTTCACATCACTCTAACTTTTTTCTTAATAATCTTAGAGCTCATTTGTTAAAAATTCAATTTAATTATTCATTTATGCAATTTATTAGATTTGTTATTAAATTACTTTTTACTAATCGCAAACCTATTATTACATTTTTAATAATTCCTCATTTTTGTTGTGATCCCTTTATTATATTTACTTAAATAACTATTCATCATTTGAACTTTCTTTGCAATTAAAAGTTTACAACGTATAAATTTTCTGTTTTGTTGTTGGAAAATGTGATTATTCAGTTACTCTTCTCATTATTTTCTACACTTATTCTCTGGTGAGAGATTATTATTTTTTTGATTATGGAGTGACTTATTCAGATTGTTAAGATAGAGAAGAAACAGTGATGTCTGGCACAGGGATTCTATCTATCATTCTTTCTAATTCTCCATAATTCTAAACTATATTGATATTCATACCGTAATATATTCATCCATTTTATATTTTAAATTATTTTAACGATAGACAATTTTTATCAGGCATAGTTAATAATAAAATTCACTACCATAACCATAATAAATAGGATGATTTAAGAATGTAAGTATTGCAAGTCTTTATTGACATCAACACAACAACACTATCATCAATACCTTTGCCCTTCTCAGCAATTCTTGAAATAAATGACTCAATTAAGATTTTTACTATCCAATGCGAAAATATCAAGTTAACAATTCAGCTAGATAAAAGAGATTCTAAAGTTGAATTTCAAAGTTATTTACAAGGATGACCTCATAAACAATAATAAATTATTTAACGATTCCCTTGAAAAACAAGAATTGGTAGGGGAAGATATATTTTTCATGAATTCTAATGTTTCTAACTATTTTGAGGATAATATAGGAAATTAAGCTTGTAATTTGAGTACATTTTAGGAAAAAACAGAAAATCCAAATGAATCCTTCCATAGCAGCCACTCTGAATTTTTCGATTACATTTCTCAAATAGATCATCAAATTTAAGATTCATCAGTAATCGTCAAAAAAGAAATATTTACAATTTCTGAACTGCTTTAAAATCTATCTTTTAAGGAAGAATATTCATCTAGAAGTCCAAAATTACTTGACATGAACCACAGTAATAATAAGATTAATTGTCAAATGTGTAAAAAACAGTTCAAAAATACAAAAACTCTGAAAAAACATTAGAAAAATATTCATAAGCATACAATAATGATCTCCTCAAACTTGAAATAGCAGGAGACATAGCCAGAGGCTGCTTTTTGATCAATATTACATATTAAGACTTATCTCCAATAAAATTTATTTATATTAAGAAAAGCTGTAAATCTATGAATTATATTTTGGATTGAAATCTTGTTTAATTATAATTTTTGATGATGTATTATAGAATAATCTTCTTTAATGAATACAGAATCTCTTATTAATGTTTTCAGACATTAGAGGTTTAAAATTTTTTTATTTATAGTTATAACATATTTAAATTCAAAAAAGAGGATTTATTTTATTTACTTTTCTTAAATGGCTATTATTCTCATTATGTGTTCCAGAAACATGAGTTAACTTAATATTCGACAGTAAATTATTATACATACTTTGTTGTCTTATTTCTCTGTTGTTAGGGGAATTGTAAGCTGAATAAGGAATCGTTGATTTTGCTTTATCAATCATAGATCCTCTTAAAGTAGGTATGTTTATAGAACATTTATTATTATTATCTCTTTACAAATCTATTTATAAATCTGTTAATTTCTTTGAGTTATCATCTTACTTTTTAATCAATTTAATAATCATTTCATTGTTTTTCTTTTCAATTTACTATTACTTTTCTATCAATAGGAGCATTCCATCCAAGCCGTATTTCATTTCTTCATTATTATTTATTGATTCGGATTTTAACCATTCCAACTATTTGGTGATATCTTTCTACTCATTTTTACAATTTTAATCTCCTTTTGCCTATTCTAATAAAAATAAAGATTAGATTATTTCTAAAGAGTCACATTCTTTGCTCAATGCTTGCAAATGTAGAAAATTTTCGCCCAAATTTGTTATAATTTTTCTCCAATATTGTTACAGTTCTTAATTCAACTCATCATTCTCTAATTTTATTTTATAATACCTTTTGATTGCTTTCAATAGATTCTGATTTTACATCTTCAAACATTATTAATTAATTAATAAATTTAAGAACTGAATTATAAAATGAATATAGTAGAAGTTTACTTTATCGATAAGGTTGAAGTCATACTTACAATCAAATTTGCAGTTATATTTGCATATCAATTTGCCTTGAGTTGATTAAAGAATTTTTGCTTGTAATTCTCTCTATTTTAAATCAATAATAATATATATATAGAAATTAATCAAAATATTGTTTTTCAAAATACTCTGCATTAACAATCATCCCGAGTTGATTTACGATTTTAGGTCTTGCTTTTTACTTTTGTTTTATTTTAATTGCTTTTAATCATTTATTCTAATGCAGTTTCATCAATTATCACTAAATTATCTTATTACTAAATTAAAATTAGATTTACCTCGCTTTATTTTATAAATGGCCTTGCTGATTATGAAGCTTCCACGGTAGACTGTAACCTAATTGCTTTCTTAAAATTATTTGGGCCAAACTCATCATTTGATTTACCTAAGATCATTTACAATTCATTTGAAATTTAATTTCTATCTTTGTGCTTGTTCTTTGATTCAGTAAAAACTAAATCCTGGTTTTATTCAACTTTAGCTTTATCTTAACTTGGAAGTATTTCTATAACTTCAGTGTTTTCTGTCTTTTAAACCTAATTGTTACTTATTTCCCATCCTTTTTTTTCTTTCTCTTTTTTGGTTCCGCAAAATTCACTTTGCTTTTGTTCTTTTCTTTTTTGATTAATTTATGCAGAAGGATCAAAAATCAAACTTTAGTCATTATTTTCCAATTAATTTTATTAAGTTTCTATTCTGGAGAGGTCTTGTTTAATGAAAGAAGAATTTAGGGATTTAGTTTCTTTACAATGACTTTTGATTCTTTATGTTTATCTTTTTAAGAAACTATCCATAATTAAACATGCTTTTAAAATATCCTTTCCTTCTTTTTTTTCTTAAATAAAGGCATTTCCTGATTAAATGGCTCTCACCGCTGTTTTAAACTTTTGAGTTACTTTTACATTTTTAGTTTCCTCTTCACTTGATTCACTTTTTTCACTTTCTTCTTCTTTTTTCTCTTTTTGTTATACTTTATTAGTAGTATTCTAATTTTGTTATTACGATTATTCTAATAATTGTCTTTATGATGATATTCCTCCCTGTACGCTTTCTTAATCAATTATTTTTCCATAATTTGAATATTATACAGTATTGCCTGTGCTTTTGATAATGCCGTCAAATTTTATTTTAACATATTATTTTAGTTTCTTAAATCCTTCTTAGCAAACCATAGAATACAAAGATTAGATTAAATCTTCCCTTTCTATTTTCTGATTTCTTACAATATTTTCATCAGTAAATAATTAATGACACTAAATTATTTTATAAATTTATTGCTTCGGCATTAATTAAAAAAATTTCTTAAAAAAGCCTTCTAAGCATCTTTATAATTCAGTTCTACTAAAAGATTACTATCCGTAATAGTGAGAATTCAGGTATTTTTAGAATTTTTAGGTGAAGTATTTTTCAGATGCCCATTAAGAGTACTATGCACAATTCCATAAAATCAATATCTTAGTTAAATTTAATTATTTACTTCTAAAAAAACTGATTGATTTACATTATTTTTTTGTTATTTGATTTTTAAACAATTTTGATGAACACATAATTTGAGTGCTAGAAAATCAATAATTTTGTGAACTTTGATTTTTTTTGTTTCTTCTTATGTTTTTGCATCTACTTGCATTATTTTACTTAATGATTATAAAATTTATTAAATAACATCAAAGGTCATCCATTTTTGAATGTTTTTAAACTTTAAAAGGATATTTTCAACGTCTCGATAAGATAATTTATAAGTATTTTTTTCTTTGAAATAATCAATTCCCATTTCTTTTAAAATAGAAATCAGACTGGTTATATTCTTTATTTCTACTTCTTTTCCTTTAATGGTTTCAATCCCTTTTATAATCTCTAAACGTTTTTATTTATTCTTAATTTCTTAATAGGAGTATTCTAAATAAAAACTTAAAATATATGGGAAAATAAGTAAGTAATCAACTTTGCTTTGGTCTTCTGGCAACAAAAAATTCTCGGAAATGTCATCAATTTATTTTTATGTTAATTTACCTTCAAAAGCATCTGCTTCAATTAAAGTTCTATCACTAAACACTTTAAATTTCTTATGTCCCAAGAAATCAAGGACAATGGTGAACATTTTCGTCAGTTCTTTCCTTTCTAATGTAAAATTTTTGTTTGCATCAAAAGATGCATAAAAATCAATGTAGAAATCATGTAAATCCCTCACTGAAATAACGGAAAAAAAATATATAAGTTCCCTATGTTAAAATGAATAGAATTACGGATGAAGCACACTTATATCATTATATGTTTCCATATTCATTAAAGGTTTGCTGTTGGTTAATAAGGAGAATCCTTTCTTTTTTTGGTCTTCTTCTACTTTTGAAAAGTTAACAAGCATATAAAATATGGTGTAAAAGCTGCAATCTTAATTACGAACAAAAAACTAAAAGTCTAATCAAGTAGCTTTATATTCTTACCTTCTCCATCTTTCACTCCCTTTTTAGAGGAATTGAAAGATTTAAAAAATGAGGAGGGTTGCTTCATCAATTTACCATGCTTTTCATCTTTTTCTTTATTTTGAGATAATGATGTTTCTTTCCTTGAAATCATAATGGAAGTAATAAATGTTTAGAAAACAATAATTTATTGTTAATAATTCAGAATTATAAAGTTATGATAAAAATTGCAATTATATACTAAATTTAATCATTATATAGAGCAATAATAACATGTTGAAGATCTATCTTTTGGTTTTTTGCCTTTAGCTAAATTCTATTAATACAAAATTTAGGTTTATAATTAAACATCATCTATAACTACTTAGAATTTACCTTCGTCATCCCTAAAGTCCTAAAAATGAATAATTTTTATACATCATCTGTAAGTTAAAATAACTATTATTTTGATTAAGAAGTTTGGAACATTACTTTGGATGCATCTTAAACAGATGGCATGTTTCCATAATAAGCATTTTTAAAATTTTGAGGGCCATAATTTTTACCTTCTTTTCCTGCAACAGTGAAAAGGTCGTTAGATTAGGATTCAGAATTCTTTCTTATGTCTTTAATAACAATCTATGGTCGTTGTTATTGAAATAGTTTTTTGTCTTTTTTTTCTTCTCCCTGTTCTTTTTCTTATTCAGGAAGTGCTGCTTCAGGTGCTGTTAATTTTTTTGATTCTTCCATTTAAACTTTTTTAACTACGTTGGTTTTCACAGATGATACTTCTTCATTTTTGGAGCATGTCTCTAATAAAACTTCTTATTCATCAATTTTTGAAGCTGTAATATCGTTCTAGTTATATTTACTTTGCTGCATTTTCTAATGCATTTGAGTTTGTCTTTTTAAAAAGCTATCCATAATCAAACAAGCTTTGAGAACATCTTTTTTAGATTCAGCCTTTTAAGCAAAAGCTTATTCTGAACTGATTACTTTGACAACTCGTTTAAGTTTACCTTTAGCTGTCAATTCTCTCTCATGGTCACTCTCTTCTGATTCCGAGTTGTTTCTTTGATTGTGTTAATTTTATTAGCTTGAGATTTAAGATTTTTTTGATTTTTCATCGAATTTTGGAGACTTCTGTTATTTTTCACTTGATGGAGGAGAATGAATTTAGGAATCTTCATAAAAATCTTTCCCTTACTTTTAATATTAACTTACTCTATCTCCATTAGACTTATTAACTCCATCATAACTTATTCGAATATACTCTTTTAATTTTCTGTAGCCATCCTTGCACATCATGTTAAATAATTCATTTACTAAACTTTCCGTAGTAATAGGAGTTTGAATGATTTTCTTTCCCTGCACCTCAGGATGCTGCTCTAGTATGACTTTTATTAAGTCTTTTGGCATCAATTGAAACTTCTTCTTAAAGAATGCTTCTAATATTTTTATTGCTTCCGGCCTTGATAATTGAGTCTAGTCTTTATAATGTTTAATAAGGAACTTGGAAAACTATTATTTGATTGTAGCTTCCTTCATAATCTACCCAAACATTGCTGTATTCCATAAAACTAAGATTTCTAAGTAAGCTGAAGGGGGTTTAGATTTATCCTTGTCTTGTTTGCTGATATTTAGGCAATTCTAATGAATGCATAATTTTAGAGCTAAAAAGTTTACAATTTTATAAAGCTTTAAAGGTTTTCCTTCATTCTAAGTTTTGGGATCAACTTCCATCAATTTAGCAAGTTGATTTATTATTTACTTGATTATGTCAAATGTTATCCATTTTTATATGTTTTTTAATTTAATTAATACATTTTCAACATCTCTGTATGTAAGACATGTTGTTCTCTTATCTCTGATATAATCTATACCCATTTCTTTAAGAATTGTAACTAAACTAGTGATGTTTCTGATTTCAACTTCTTTCCCTTTTAGAATTTCAGTGCCCCTCATCAAATCCAATCTCCCTTACCTATACTTTATCTGCGAATAGGTAAATTCCAAAAAAAACCCTAAGATGTAGGGGAATAGCAATAGGTAATCCATTTTTGATTCCTTATCCAAATCTCTAAAGTTGTCTATCATTTCATTGTAAACCTTGTCATCTAACTGATTATCATATAATGAAGGATCGCTTAAGAAAAGATCAGTTATGACCTTAAATTTTTTTGCTCCCACACATTTATTTACAGCTATATCCAATAATTACTTAAATTCTGCAGGTTCTAATGAGAAATTTTTATTTTTATCAAAAGTAGCATAAAAATCAACATAAAAGTCATGAAAATCTCTAATTGAGATTATTTGGAAATAGTATACTAGTTCACTAGAATATTAAAATATCTTACGTTCTTATATAACGTATATCCTCAACCTATTTTGTAATCGGTGCGTATGAATTAAGTGGAGTTAAAACTGATTATTTTTTCAAATATTATTCCATTCCATCAAAATTTAGAAGCAGATACATTAAAATTCTCACACAGTGATCCTATCCTTTGGTTAAAAATTGTATTTCTAAAAATTCACATTTATATACCATCTTCCTGAGGTTTAAACAAAGTATTGGAAAATTTTGAAAAAAACGATTTCTATCCGTTAAGATTTTTACTCGTGTTCTAACGAGCTAATGACCCCTTTGATAGATTACTGTCTTATCTTTCATATGTATTTTGCTTTGACATTCAAAATTACTGTAATTTTATAATTATTAGTGAGCAATTTAGTAATCTCTAAGAGAATTATAATCATATTCATATATACTCAAAATAAAAATAAATATACTTCAGTAAGGCATTCGAAGTTATTAGCGTTACCATTGGAAACTCAAGAAATTAGTAATAATTATTATTCTGTGTTTACAGGATTACAAATAAATGAAATAATTATTAATTTTAAAACTAACTTTCGTTTTCTTTTTTAGTGAAGAGTGAGAAAAATTGTTTATAGAATTGTTTCAAGTTACTTAAAAATGAATACTTGTATCACTAGTGATTGATTAAAACTGATAATAATATTGATTCATAATATATTACGATATATGGACTAACTTTTTATTGATTAATTTTATTTCCAGTTTTGTATGAAGAATCATTTTTAATGATCCTATAATTCTAAGGGTACCTATTATAATATAGTATTGAATTATAGAACAAAATAGTTACTATTCTTAAATTTGAGAAATTAGTTTAGTTAGATGTCAAAAAAATAATATAAATGCATTCCAATAATAATTTAATATTTATTCTAAAATAGATGAGTTAAAATATGAATTTATCTTAAAATCTTCGTTATGGATCTTTTATAAGAATAGCTGGCAAAGGGAACGGTGGAACTAAAGGTATTATAACTTCCAAAGGGTAACACCATCAAATATTGATCTGTTAGTTTTTTCGATCATGCTGTTTATTTCTAAACATATGAAGATATGGATGATATCAATAATTTTAGGGACGGAATCTTTCAAATATTGCCTAGAGGAAGTTTTGAAATTCATGATGAATATTTGAAAGGAATGTAATTAAATCTCTAAAAATCATAGGGATAAATCACCGAGTTTGCAATAGAGGATGAAATCTGAAAAAGAGCAGTATTTCAATATGATAGATAATAAAATGAATGAAGAAGTCTATTTTAGGTATTAATTTGAAAAATATTTTTGTACAGTTCAGAAGTAATATTTTAGCATGTCGAATCCGGACAGTATTTAGCCTGTTCGGAAGAGTGCAGCGATTCAAGAAGTGATAGCTTTGGACTAAAACTATAATAATTTTTATCCAGCAGAATTATATTCAAAATGGAGCCAAGTAAAAGTTATCAACAAACAGGAAGGCCAATAATTTCCAAACAATCAGTCAAAATCCAATCTGATATAACGAAGTTTTGGATCGATAAAAATATGAGATAGCCAGTATAATTGGATCATAAATCGACTTAAGCTGGATTGAAAATATAATTAAAAGGATTATAAGAAGATTCTCACAGATATGAATTGATTGTCAGCCATTATTCTGACAGTGAATGGAAAATATAATTATATGATAATTATGAGAAGCACTAGCAAAATAAATTAAAGCTAAAAACCAACGAAGTAGTTACTTTTAAATGTCCTAAAAATGAAGCATATTTAGGAGCTGATTTATAAAATAACACTATTGTTCTTAAACCAACTTTGCACAACTAATAAATACCTGTAGAATGTTTATGGGAGCTACAATTCCAAGAAAAACCAAATAGTGAATTGCCAACTATAACATTATAACCTAGAACCTTAGCAGCAATACGACATTCATTTTTAGGATAAAATAATCTATTTGTTCCTAATGTAAACCAATAGTACAATTAAAAAAATGCCACAGAAAATTAACAATAAAATTAATCTAAATTTAAGAAAAATATCTAAAAGTAGTTAAGATTAAGACATGTAATGACTGGCAAATTGTTATTTTGTTAAGATTTATTTGATGCTGATGATTGTTTTCCAGCAATACTATCTGATGATTCATGCACAATAGGCTTGTAATTGGCAAATAGATATGAAAGAGAATTTATGGATTTATCGTATGTTAATTTAGTCAGAGATGATAATGTACTTACATCAATTTCAACAAAATAATCAACGAAAACTTTAAGTGATGTGCGCATTAAGAAATCAGATAAAATACAAGGAACAAATGGATTCTTTAAATAGTTAATATAAGAAAAAGATAGTATAAAATGTGGTTTCAGGGATCGAGCATTTAGTAAACCATTCATTATTCAAAGAGTCAAATAATCATTTTTTAAAATAGTCTTACAACCATTTTCAGCTTATGGTTAAATGCTATACTTTGTTCAATAGCTATAAACAAACCCTTTGAATTTTCCTTATGTGATCCCTCCTGAAAGAATGTATTAAATTTAATTTTTATTGAATCGACTGCATGAATATTTAATGGATAAAATTGATATAAGTGATGAAAATGCAGATGATTTACCTATTTTTGAAAGATAAATAATCCTCAAAGAACTTTATTTCATTGAAATATTGGTCGAATTGCTGTATCATTTATGTTATAAAAAAGGAACCAAAAAATTATAGGTTTGGAGAAAACAAAAGGAAAACATTTAAACTATTTTTTCATCCACATATTAATTGATGACAAAGCTCATCTAAAATAATATGGTAACAAAACTTTACGCATCTTAATGGCTTGAGATGTTCCTGCATTAATATATGAGTTTAAATTAACCTGCCATTCAAACTTTCCTTTCCGAAATGTTAGATAATAATAAAGAGGCAATACAAAAATTCTTGAATGAAAATATCATCAAAAAATTGATAGAGCTTATCACATAGTAATCACCTCATGACAAATATCTAAAGATCTTGAATGCAATCTGTGTTTCTAGCAACTAAGCTATCAGAGAAAATCAAAGACTAGTTCTGGAAAACTTTTTTAAAGTTGTTGCTCCAAGTACAGCATGTTATTTTATTATTATTTAGATTTCAAATTTGATTTTAAGATAAAATAAGGCCATATTTACATTCAATCAGCGGAAGAATTAACATATTCTAGATGGTAGAATTTAGAATAATTTTACAAATCCAGTTTGATGAATGATAATTTAGAATACTGGAATTATTTCATTAGTTATTTTGATTTATTAGGAGATGTAGCGATGAATAGATTTGCATAAGCTAAAGAGTTCATTGATTAAAATTACTCATTGGAAATATTTTGCATGATCTTACATGAGGCATAATCATATCACATGTTCAATTTGATGAAACCTTTTTTAAAGTTGATTCGATATGCTTATATAGACACTCCCCCTTACTAAAAGTTTAAGAAATTAAGAGTTATTTAATTTAAAGATTTGTAAGGCGATTTTATTGATCATTCAACAACATTACCAAAAACAAGTCCATTATTGGATGTAATGAGGTTTCTATTATAGCAATTAGAAAATATAGATTAATTACACAATAATATTGAATATTCTAAAAACTTACAATCAGTTCTATAATTACTTAAATGTTCAATAGAAATGCAATTTTGGGTTGATATGGATTAGATAAAAGTAATATTAACTGCAATGCTATAACATTTGCTCAAGTATTAAGAATTTTAAAATGATTAAAGATTAAATGGAATCTCCAAATGTTTAACTTAGTTCTAAAAGTATTATCCAACTGAGTAAGTTGTATTAATCTGAAGAGAAAGAAACTCACATTCATAAAAAAATCAAATCGACCAGACTAAATGAAACAAATAATATATTTATGACATGCAAACAATTAGCCTGTGAAATAATTAATACCATTTTTGATCTAGAAAATAATATAAGGGTATTTACATGCTCCAAATTATTTAAAGAATAATTACTATAGTTAGATCTAGTAGATCCTAATTTGGCTAATATCAATAATAATTAAAAGAGTTTAAAGACGAGCATTGATGTATAGAAAATGTCCAAAAAGAGCAATGCTTTTATCAAAGTGATTTAATAAAAGTTCAAAAATTAAAATATTGCTGAAGAGAAAAACTTATATGATATAACTAATTGGATTAATAAATTTAGGTAGATAGTCTCTGATAGATCTTTGTCCAATTTTGAAAATTTTGAATTGATATTTGCTGAATTATCATTTTATGAAAATCTCTATTTACCGAAATATTCCTTAGAAATTCTATCTAGAGCCTATGGATAAAGAAAAGAATTAATTTAAAATTTTGAAAAAGTAATAATTGTTGTTTCTGGTAAAACTCAAGAACTAAGTTTATTAACAAAGCAGATCATGAAAAAATTAAATATATTGTATTAAACTGAGTTCTACACTATGTATAAGGAAACTAGCAATAACATTAGAACAAGCTTAATTTGGTACCATTCGAATGAACATTAGAAGGCTGGTCTGATGTAAAACCTTTTTCAATTAGGATTGTATTTAAAAAAGGACTTTGATAAAGGAAGGTCGTTGAATCCTTTAAATTTTGAAGATTATAAACCAGAAAACAATTCAACTATAGCATTTTGCGAGAGGGAATAAAATTACAAATTACATTAAGCAATTTTAATAGCTGAAGAAATTCACATACCGCTATTAGAATATATCTATAAATTTAAAGCAGATTAATCAACTATCTATTGGAAATTCTTACATTCTATATATGATTTTATCACAATTCTTATTTGGAACAACTAAGAGAATAAATAAATCATCATAAATAACAAATAGTTGATGTAGAGCATAGAGCAACATCTAAAATTTAATATTGGAGCCATTGATTTTTTGAAGGCTTTGTATGCAAATAATAAATCATTGTTACTTAGTGAAAGGGAAATGACACTTATATTGAATTCTGTTGTGCCAGTATGCAATGAAGAGCCCATCAATAGTTATTTTAAATCGAAAACATTAGACTTCATCAAAGCTTTATTGTTATTTAATTCTAATTATATCACATCAAACCAAACTGTAGTCCTTCAGAAGCTACAAGAGAAATAGTTCAATAAAATAATATTACAATTTAATATTTATGATGACTAAACTCCGATTTCTCCAGGTGAGAACAATTTTAGTGATGTTACTTCTTCATTAGACAGCGAAATCGATCAAGAGACTATGATATCAGAGTTGGTAATTAAAAATTGGATAAATTAATATGAAAAAAGCTATGAGAATATTGGCTATGGATTTCATGAATTGTACATCTCCCCAGAATTAACATACCTTTACACTTTCTTTTCTTTGTTTAGTCAATTAATTGAGGAAAAGCATATGATAAATATAAAGAAATGTTTGAAAATTCATAAATTCAATGATTTAATACTACTGCTACATCTGGCTCAAGATTGCTGGCCTTTGAAAAGACATCTCCGAGCATATATTAATCGATTGTATTATAGTAAGGTAAGTGATAATTTTGATTTAATTGTCAAAGTTGATTTGGTGATTATGATTGATGATTTATAGAAGATTATAGACTATTTAATATTGCCATAGCATTCTTATATGGCGATGACAATTATTAAAGCTCCCATTAGATATAAGTATTTAATGAGTTATATATACTTAAACTTGGAGGAGATACTAATATCATTAAATAGTTTATTTTTAAACGAGTAGTTCCTTGAGTATTTGGAAGAATTAATACTTTTCAACTAATAAAATTCAATTTATAGATTACACTTCTAATTATTTGAGATTTGCTAAAAGCTTTTGATAATTGAAAAAATCTACGTTAAAGAAAACTTGGGTCATTTGTGTTAATTATTATTGGATGTATTTTAAAGTATAATCTCTGGGTTTGAAACTAAAATATTATTGATGAGAGAAGGCTTGTATATAAGTATGATTGAGGAAATGCTCTTATCTCAATACATCAAGGGCTCGAATCAATAGGATCTGACAAAGACTTAGGTGAGTAAATTATAGCAAATTTAAAGAAATAGAGAGATCTACAAATAATTGTAATAGAATAGTCATGATTCATCAGTTAAATAATATTTGGTTCATTAGGTATTCTGCTTAGATTAATAATTTGTTAAAGAAAGTAAATTACAAAGTACTTTAGAATTTTGGAAAACCTAATCCAAGTAAAGATATAAATCATTTAAGTAAGACATGAATGATTTAATAAATCATAAGTTAAGAAGAATTATGAATAATTGGAGCTTTGTTCCTTAATTCTCATAGTTTCTAGATGAAGAATTTTATGAAGTATGCAATAAGTTATCTTCAATTGGTAGGCAATCTTAAGATGCTTATTAATCGAAGTACGAAGTGACAACACTTTAAGATTATATCTAAAACATCATTTCAATCTGTGGAAATACTAGAGAATAACAATTTTCTGATGATATTAGGATTTTCTTTTTGAGATTGCTTAGCAGATTAATTACAGAGAAGAATTTAAGTAATAAATAAAAAATGGTAGAGGTGGATCTTTGGACCAGTGAATTTTGGATCGATTATAAATAAGAAATAAATCATGCTTAGAATTTACTTGCAAAATGTGGTGCATAAGATTTGATCTTATTAATTTTATCAGAAAGCTTTTTAGAAATTAATTTATCATTGTTAAATGAATGTCTCTTATTTTCAATAGCATTTTTGTTAGGAGGGAATACTTAAGCATAAAATGCAATTTTATTGAAATTAAAATAAGATTCACAAAATTAAATATTAACTAACATCAAAATCATCATCACAAAATTAACTAAGGTAATCAATAATAATTTTTCTATTGTCACATATAACAACACCAAAGGTTGCGATTTTATATAGACAGTCGATAACTTTGACTTCTATAATACTAATACTAAAGTTATGCAAAGAGTGAATGTTGTCGATCCTGATGACTTTAAGGAAACGAATTTCAAAAAATAATGCTTAGATGTGTTATGTCGATTCTTTAGAGTGATGCAATTACTATGTGAAAATAATAATAGTGAAATGAAAGAATTTTTCAGAAGACAAACTGATGATGTATAAATATAATATAGTATATTAGTAAAACATAGCAAGAATAAACTCAATAAATTTTATTGAATTCACTAGTGTGTAATTAAGAGCATATTTAAAAATATTGTCTAGAGCCATCATTATTATCCCTGCATCAATACTTGACTTCATTAATGAAGTAATTTAGCTACCTTGCATTGAAAATTAAATAACTTTATGTCATACTACCTTTTTTGAGGATGTCAGCAACATGGCTCATTTCTTTGCTAATAAATCAAATCAACTTCAAAGATTATTTGATACTGAAGATGACTTGTAAGAGTTGTAAGAATTATTCAATAAAATTCTTCAGACTGTTTTATTGGTTTTAGAAGGAAATGAAGAAAAGATTTATAAGGATATTTAGAACAAATTAGAAGCCTCGTTTCTCATTAGCTTCTTAAGTCTAAGTTTTGAATAACTTAACATTGAAAACATCAATGATTTAGAAATGTATAAATTTATTAAATCTATATTTTAGTTATTTGTTATAATAGGATAAGATCTTTAATTCAGATATGCTTCGAATTTTAAACGTATGCATTATTGAATAAAAAATGGCTTCTTATTAGCAAAGTCGATGGATATAATAATTTCATGAGCAATTAAGTGTAAATCCAATTATAAAGGATATTTATGATAATCTTATAGTTTTAGTAACAAATATTTATAAATTAGATTCATAACATAGAAATAGTCTATGAAGGGAAGTCCATGACAGTATTCTTTCCTTATCATCCTCTTTTTAACTTATTATCTGAATCATCAAAACAAGATTTATTATTTTAAATAAATAGAGAAACCTAAAGAGATAAACTGCTGGGTTTGCTTAGTGCAACCAATATCTTATTTTATGAATTAGAACACAATTATAAGTTAAACCACTATAGAATTCCCATTACGTAAAATAATCTTAATGTAATGCAAAAATTATCCTCTGTCTTGGCCTTGTTAATAAATTTATCAATGGTATGATTTTGATCATTTAAATATAGATTTTTTTCTATACAGTAGTCGTTAAAGGGAATACGTATTTGTTAACATCAACTCTGTACAACTCTTTAATCATAAAAATGCTCTCTGTCAGTTAGCTATTCTCATAGATTATCTTATTTATAATGGTTAGTTTTCAGAGGATTCCAATTTATCTATAAAAAAACAGCAAAGGCAATGACAAATTAAGTCTATTATTAGTGATCATTCAGGAAGATACTTGTTTATTATTGTTTCTATTGGTTTTATTGTCTTTTTTTGGTGCCTTCATAAATAGCACAGTATTTGTGATCCATCTTGTTGAAATATTTAGTCGAGTAACTATCTTAAAAAATGTGTTTTAAGCTATTAGTTATAATGCTAAACAATTATTGGTTGTGGCATTCTTAGGAGTACTTTTTGTATTTGCCTTTTCAGTTATAAGTTTTAGTGTTTACTTTGATGATATCTATTAAGAGGAATAGACTGAAACATGTGATTCATTAATTACTTGCATGATAACGCTTATAACTTCTGGAGTGATTGGTAATAGTATGATCAATTGGGATCCTTTAAAATTCTTTTTTGATATGCTTTTCACAGTGTTTTTTGGATTGCTTTTTACCAACATTGTTTAAGGTATCATGATCGACACATTTGCAGAATTAAGAGATTAAAGACAAAAGATTGAAGATGATATAAAAAATAGATGTTTCATATGTGCAGCATAGAGAGGTGAGTTGGAAAATAAAAATTAATCATTTGAATAGCACATTCAAGAAAAACATTTAATATGGAATTATGTATTTTATGTGAAATGTTTATGGTTAAAGGAATGGACAGAATATACTGGATTAGAGTATTGGATCTATGAAAAAATAAAATAAGATGATACAAGTTGGTTTCCAGAATCCGTCATTGATGGCAAAAATATAGCAGAAAGATTAGATTAATTAGAAAATCTATTATCATAAGTAATAGTCTATTAAGAGAATAATTCAGGAGGATGAATTATAGTATTTATAAATTAAATATCATAAATGATTATTTTATAAATATTTCGATAGATGAGCTTAATTTTAATTTAATGATTGATATTTAATTATAAAACATGTCACTACTGCCAAATTAACTCATATTTTTATTCTAATTAATTTCTCTTTATTAGTTATTAACATATCTCCTTGTCTTAATATATCAAATCTTTCATCAGACTATAAATTAAAAAGAGTTGTTTATTCCCAAGTTATGATATTAATTTTACAAAGCAAATTTAACTTTTTAAAATAGATATCATCATTAGTTTTTGAATAAATTAAGTTTGAAGTAGGAAATCTTTATATTCTTAATATTTTATTTTTATTATTCAATAATACAAATTTATCTGGAGGTCTAGAGGTAACAACTTAGAAAAATTTGTTCTTTGATAATTGAATTTCATATGCTCCTGTTACCATAAATGTACCTTCGACTTTATTTCTTTCAAAATTGATGAACTTAATTAATCCAGCATATGAAATGTGAACCAACTATCCTGGCGAATAATTATTTAGAATTAATTCTTAAATAGGTTCAACTTTAATTGCCTTAACAATAATTTACTTTTTATAATCCCAAATACTAATATTTAAATCATGACTTCCAACAATAATGAAATTATCTTTATGAAATTCTAAAAAAAATACTTCCCTCAAGTTTCTTGATAATATTATTGAATTTTATTATTCTTTAGCATTTTCTATTCTTGTTTTACCATCCTTTGAATAAGATAGAGCATAAAGTGGATAATTTATCGCTAAAGCTGATGCCAAACCATTTTCGCATTATTTTTGATAAATTAATGAATTCTTACTCAAATCCCAAATCAATATTTTTTCATCTAAAGCAGTACTTATTAATAAATTTATGTTATTTTTATCTTATTAATAAAATAAAATTGGTTTTGTATGCCCTTTTAATTCACCTACTATTTATCTCATCTACATTTCAATTATAAAATTTGTAATATAATAAAATAAAACTCATAACTTTTTAAAATTCATCGATTATTCATTCAGAATCTAAACCCCATAAGCTCTTCAAAAAATGCAAGTACTATTTTGTATAATATTTAAATATGCTTTCATTGAAGTCCCATCTACGATTTAATAAAAATTATTTGAGGTATTTTTATTACAATTTTCTTGAAATATTATTATTATCATTTTCGTAATTGATGTTGTTAAGAAGATCCATAATGCTTTTTAGTCCTTGTCTAAAATCAAATGCAAGATTTTTGATCTAAAGGCCAAGATATTATTTTGGAGATCAGAGAAAAGAAAATCCATTGAGTGATTTAGAATAAAAACCTCCCCTTACGAAGGATGAAGTCAAAGAAACTTTAAAGGGTTAAGAGCCTGAAGAAGAGGAAGACATTTCTAAGAGATCTAATGTGCTTCTATATTCATTTGGTGCCATAGGATTAATGTTGGGATATGTGTTTATGCAAATAACTCAAATGGGATATTAAAATAAATCTAAACCTGTAGAAATGACAGTCAAACACAAAGGGAAGGCATAAATGTATTTTAGTAATTCATTTCAAGAGGCGGACCATGGAAATTATTGACTACAGATGGAAGAGTTATGACAGATTAGGACTTAAAAGGATCATATTATATGATATATTTTGGATTTTGTAATTGCCCGGATATTTGTCCTGCATCACTTCTAAAACTCTCAAAGGCATTATAAAGGATTAGATAGTTACCAGAGGGAAAAGTATAAATCTAATTATTAAAATAGCTTTTTAATTTAAAAACTATATTTGTATCAGTTGACCCTGATAGAGATTCAGGAGAGAGAGTTGACAGATTCCTATCTCATTTTGATAAGAGTATAATAGGATTAAGGGGAAGATCAAATGATGACCCTGAACTAAAAGAGGCAATGAGAAATTTTAAAATTTATGCATCGAAAATCAAATTCTAATAAGAAGATGAAAAGACAAAATAGACTACAGATTAATATACAATTGATCATACAATCATAACTTACTTAATGGATAGTGAGAATAATTATGTGACACATCTTGGATCAAATTTGGGGGAATTTGATTTGGCAAGAATAATTGTGGAAAAGATTCTAGAAAATGAGAGAGAAAAAATGTAAAATTGATATTAAATTTATCTAAGTATTAAGCATCAAAGAGTAAATATATTTGGTTTATTTTTTAATTTAATGACACCAATTTTATAAAAAATGAAATATTCAATAGTTTTTGATCAACAAATTTAATATAATTAATTTTATATTAATATCATTATTAATCCAACATTATATTTATGTATAATTCAAAATAAGCTTTTAATCTGCTGTGGTTCTTTTTTATGAAAGATTATTACTGATATCATTACCAAACAGAGACCAATTGTTATTAATTTTATGAATTCCTTTTATTTTTATTCTTGCTAATTAGAATACATCGTCTTTGTGATAAGTCTTGCTTCTTTTTTTTTCTAAGTGCTTTCAGTTCCTATTATTCCATTTTTATAGGTTTTATTATTAAGTTATTGCATATTTTTATTGAAATCTAATTCTTTTTTATCATAATAACAACTACTGTTTTAATACTCTCGAGCTTGCTACTATTTTTCATTATTTTCCAACTTTCTTAACTAAATAGAACTTTCTCTTGTTCTGATTGTTTACATTGTGTATATTGATCTTTCAGCAATTATTGTATCACTTTTTAAGCTTAAAGATGTTGAAGACTTAAACATTAATAAAAAATTAAATTTCTTACAATATTGAGATCATAAATATTATTAGTGCAATTTGATATTTTTCTAATATTTTCTGATACTTCTAAGTTAATAACAATGTATTATAAATATCAAAATAGGTGAGTATTTTCTATTAAATTATTTTAATTAAATAAATAGTTATCAGGTCAACTACTGATTATTTGCGATCTTAATTTTTGATAAAGTTTTTTACCTTTCAAAAAGTCCAATTCATTATTACACAATATTGGATTATGTTAGACTTTCATTTGATGGTTACTAAAAGACGATAAAAATTTTGAAGATTAGGAGGAGCAATTCTTCTACCAATAATCTTTTTTTTTTAAATATTTGTAATCATTTATTATAAAAATGGATTTTAATTAATGTGATTCAATTATTTTTAATATTATTCTGTTAAAAAAAAATGTCTGAAGAAGAATTAGTAAATAGGTTCATTGATAACATTTCAAATGAGCTTCACTATAAAAACCAAGAAGAAGTAGTCCAAAATGTGTATCAGTTGATTGATTTAACATGTAATAAATAGTTTACAATTGTAGAGATCCTGTTGGAAAAAATAAGAATACTAAACATTGAAAAACATGATCATTAATAAGAATTGGAGGCTTAGAATGATACTTTAAGAGCAGAAATAGCTTTCAACCTCTAACAGTAAATGTAAATGCAAGTATAGTACTCTAATTATTTAGCGTATTTAAGATGAGTTATTGTAAAAATAGGATACCTTATATGAGAAACTACTAATCCTAGAAGAAGAATTGAAATAGTAATAAATTCTTAATGCTATTTATAAAAACCAAGTATAAAATCCTTAACTTTTATGATAGTTAGAATCGAAGTAAAATAATGGGGAAAATCAAAATGTAGAGCAGTTTGTCTTCGAACTTAAGGAATTGTAGATTGAAAATGAGTATTAAAAGTAACAAATCTAATCTCTGAAATCAATAATTTCTGAAAATAAGTAGGATTATTAATCGTAATTGATGTCAAATTCATCCCTTATTTAGCATTAAGAAGCCATTATAAAAAGTAGAATTCTATTTTTATGTTAGATATGAAGGACGAATTAAGTACTTAAAGATAGCAAATTAGATAGTTAAAATCAGAAAATAAATAAATTAATGATCAAATATATGAGAAATAACAATCAGCATTAAAGGAGATAACTAATTCACCATTTCTTCAGAATGCACACTCAATTAATACCAAGTAGAAGACCATTGTGAATGAACAGAAGGATTCTAAGAAAAATTAGTTCTCATCTTAAAAAAGATATTTGTAGGCTGATGATTTATATGATGTGAATTAATTTACACTTCTAGAATGTGAGTTGCAAGATACCAACTATAATACAAGTCTAAATACATGTTGTAGAAATAGCTATAATTTTAAGAAAGTATAAATAAATGAATAGCCTACTCCAGTATAAAGAAACATCTATAAAGTAAATTCTATTTAAATTCAAATTAGGACTTTTTTAATTTAACATCTTAATGTGTTAAATTGAATTTGAATGAAGAAAAAATACTAGATTCAAGAGTTTCCCATTTGTTTGATGAATATGTTGATTAAAAGATACCATACCATTAATGGTACAATGAAATAAAGAAATACTTATTGACTTTAATATGATATTACTAAAATTAACATAAATTCTTTAAAAAATGAATTATTTTCATAATAATATTTTTAAATAATAGTATGAATCAACTAATGACAATCTTTCCTAAATTCAAAACGTATTCATTTCCATATAATATTATCTCTTTTTTGAAACTACCTACACTAAATTAATATTATAATTGTCCGTATTTTAATGTTATTATTTCTATTTCAAAATCACCTTTGATATTATCAAATCATTACCAAAACGATTACTACCTCCAGTGGCCACACACAATGAGTCTGTTTTTATACAAACTAATGTATTTGTAACTGGTTTAAATTCTTAATTTAATAAGGTCCCTATTATTTTCGTCATTGGGCCAAAGTTTTGGAATTGGAAATTAGCAATCCCAACTCCTTTGAAATTGCCAAATTTGCAAAGTTGATTATTATCTAATTTATAACCAAAAAAGCATTCTTAACATTTTTAATTATTTGGGACACATGATTTGCATCCTTTTAATCTGCAAGCTAAATACTCTTTTAATTTATTACATTTAGACGATTATAATTCTATTTATTTCAATTATATTATTGAAGCTGGACCTTCTAGTTTGATTGGCAGAGATTGGATTGGTTCAAACTATTCGTTATTATCCAATACTGATAGAAGGGCACTTTTTGGTAGTGATTTGATTCCGAAAATATGAAATTCAAATTGCCCTGTTGATGTTGTTATTGCATTAGTTTAGAGTTATTATTTCTCTTCTTCTATAATTAATGAAAGATGAGTATCACTCAATTTCTCATTAAATGATCCCTTGATCACAAGAGCTCCATACCCTCCTTCATTCAGGATAACATTGGGTAATTAGACTTTATCTTTGAGGACAACATTTAATTATGCAATTGGATTACTATACACATAGCCTAAACTAAGTTCTGTTATAGATATTGAAACACTGTATTGTTAATTTAGCTTCCCTTCTGCATAACTAAATGTGAAAATGCCTTCCTTATTAGATTCAATTGATTGCTTATTATTTTCAATCTTAATTTCTAATTTTGCAGGGATTCCTTATCCATATTGTGATACTACTTTGCCTGTAATGAGATTTTAATCCTTATGATATAATTTTAAGAATTTTGAGTTTATGTTATCATTTTGAATGCATAAAACCAGCAACAAAAGCAACGCAATTGAAGTCGTTAATATTTTTGTATAATTCATATGAATGAAAATTAATGGAATCATTCGAAGTATGGGTATAATTTATGTGAAATGATATTAATGATGATGATGATCACAGGACTATCCAACTTTGCTACTATGCCTGCTCTCTATATAGTTAAGAAATAGAATATCATATTCTAATTTTACATAGGGATTTTCACACTTTTAACAAATTTCATGTACCAAACACTTGAGAGTCTCTATTATTCTTACTTTATCATAGAAGAAGGACGATGGCATAGATTGGATAACATTGAATCTATCACTTGTTTTTTAATGATGTTTACGCAGCCTAGTGATTTTTAGAATCTTAAATTTGAAACAAATCTCAATTACTTTGGTTTTTAGTGTGTAAGATTTTCAGCCAAATCATATGAATTGTACAATAGGTCCGAATCTTCTTTAAGTTCTAATTTGCTTATTGGTCATTCTCAAAAGAAGGCGTTTACCAAAATTAATTAAAAAAAAAGTAATTAAAACAAAAGTAATCATAAACCGTAAATGATACTAGCTTCATAAGGGCTTTATTTTGAGTTTATTTGTTGTTTTATTTTCACATTATCTTAGGATGAACTCAAAGATAACCTCAGATTTTACCATGAATTTGGCATGTATGTGTATGAGTCTTCTCATTCTATATGTGGGCATCTAAGTGTGACTTAGAATTTACCTGGTCGAATTTTATGAGATTCCATATTTAAAAGACACATATAATGAAATATTAATTGACGATAAAGTTTACAAATTATAATTATTATTTTTGAAACATCCCCCATTTATTTATTAATTTGACACTTTAGAAGGTATAAATATTAATCTACGTCAATCTAAATAAAGAAATAGTATTATTGAAACAATATCCAAATGATATATGATTTTGAATAAGGTATTATAATTAATAATTCAATATGATATATGTAATTCATTTATTGAACATTTTGATGTTGAATTTTCGATTGATAATTCATAAAGATAATCAGTAGTCTATGGTTATTTTAACATGTAAAATGATATTTCTTCAATTATTTATTACTGAATTAAAGAGAAAAAATACTGTTATTATTAGCAAGCAGAATCTAAGTAAATCCATTGAAAAGATATTTTCAAATTATGAACAGTTTGTTAATTAAAGTGTATTTATTATTGATTGATAGGATAGAATTATACGATATTAGTTTATATATTTTTATACATTAAAAATACTTAATAATACTCAGAAATCATAAAATAATCTCAAAAAAATTGAATAATTGAATAAATCCAAAGTGGAAATCTAAATTTAATCTGATTCATAAATTTTTTTGTTTCATAAAAATAAGAGGCTACAGCAAATATACGGCTTATATAGTGAATTTAAGCTTAGTTGTTTGATATTTTTCCATTATATTAAATGTAATTTGAGAAACTAAATCGAAAGCTTTACATCTTACCAAAGGTTGAGAGCTGCGTGAAATTAGATCTAGATTTCAGATTGAACACTCCTATGCATAGCATGGCTAACAAACATTATTAAGGATGCTATCCTAAAACGACTAGATCAGTTAAGTCAGATGAATTGATGAATACTCCTACTATGACAACCATCACAATTTCTTCAGGAAAAAGGATCAAATTATATGCTCCCATGCAAGAGAGCAAAAGAGCACAACGTTTAAAGAACGTCCCTTATGAATTGCAATATTTCTAAACCAAGTTGCCTACAAAGAACTTTAAATCTAGTCATTTGATGAGTGAAGATTTGCTGAATCAGCCAGGTGAGTAGATTGATAATCAATAGAAATGGCAAATGAGATCTCACATTAATAAGATGAATAAGGCTACTACATCTTACTAAATGAAAAGGGGGGAGAAGAATGTTGTGAAATAAACTCAATCCACATTCGATTTATCGTTTATTAAGTAACAAAATGAGGAGACAGTTGAAAATGAAAAATTAAAAGTATGGTTATAATCTATATTTTTTAGAGATATCATTCATACAAAAGAGCAACGTAAAATCTAATCAGATAGTTTTCAAATAAACACAATGTAAAATAGTTATGTTGTGATCTCTAGGATAAACAAGAATGATTAAGATTGAGGTTCAATTTTATGTTTATTTATCTCTTTAAATATATAATTCATCTTTTATTTTAAGTGAATTATTTTTATTTAATTCGAAACTTCTGTTGCTCTTTTGAATAGGGCTTATTCAAATGGATCCAGCGTTTCTTCTATTGATGCATACAGAGATTTCATATTCACTCAATAAATTCCACACATATTTTTGAGTTTAAAAGTTGAATAATTTTTTGATTGTGTTTTAATATTGTCTTTACTATTGTTCTAAATTTTCAATTCAAATCGTATTATTGTTTGATAATTAATGTGAGTTTGAAAAATTAGATTTATGACATATAAAGAGAACTAATGAATAATTGTAAACTTTGATATTATTATATTTAATTATGAAAAGCCTTTGTTGCTATTTTGCTGTCTCATTTACGATTTCAATAATGCAGTCTATTACTTATGTTGAGACAATATAAATAATCAGATTAGTCTGTTGTATACTGAATTTATTTGCATTAAAAATGAATAAATATGTTAGCTAAGGAATTTTAGTACACAAAGTAATACTGTTTTTATGTGGACTCTTATCTCAACAAAATGAAAGTATTTTATAGTTTGCTATGGATGATTATTTCAGTCAAATGATGTTAAAAACTAAGCATTTCATTACATTCTGGAGATTATTTAGCAGTTTGGGAGCTGTGTTATTAGCATATCTTAAGTATTAATCCTAAGATTCAACTTAACTTTCTCTGACTATTTTAATTCCCTTAATGTACTTGATCCCTCAATTGCCATAAATTTATCGATAATACTGGTAGACAAGGGAGGAAGAACAATCTTATTCTTTGAGCCCAAAACAAACTACCAGGGATTATATGCAAATCCGTTCCAAATTTGAGGAAATTAACCTCATTGCAACAAACCTAGATTAAAATAACAAAATAGATATAGACTAATTAATTCGTAAAATAGCATATAGCCAAGATAAATAATTTGTCCTACAGGAGATCAAAATATTTAATGAATAAGTTTGGAGATTGCGGATGAATGCAATGCCAATTGGAATTTGCATTATTGGCAATTAAATTAAACCAAAATTCATGAATAACACATTAACAAATTTGATAAAGAAAAATTGTATTGATGATAAGGGTTAAAGTCTTGAAGAAATCTATGAGTTATTTATGAAGACCCTGCAATTTAAAATGGTTGACTTTGCTGGATCATACGATTTACCGTAATCAGCAATCCTGAAACATGAGAAATATTAGCAAGTAAAAATGTAATAAAATGAACAATTTTTTGAAGAAGAACATTATTGCCTATTTGATTTAATACGAAAATTAGAGGAAGAGCAATTTGATAGATATTTTAATAATTAGGATTAAATAATAGAATTAATTTCTACTTTTGAAAGTCCCGTTAATTAAAAGCAAATATTTTTTGTTTGCCATGTTCTATTCTAAGATAGACAGAATATCGATTATATGATAATTATTTAGGATTTCACAAAACAAAATGAATTATCAAAATTAGAAGAGCAAAATAAATTCAAGACCAAAGTTGTATAATCATTCTCCCATGAACTCAGAACTCCTTTGAATAGTGCTACTATCTTTTTAAGATCTGCCATAGGGGATTCAAATTTGAATAAGGTTATAAAGGAACAATATTTGTAACCATGTTTGTCTGCCTTAAAATTGCAAAATCACTTAATTAATGATATCATTGACTTTAGTTAGATAAATGCAAAACTCTTAGATTTGAAATTCAGTTAGTTTGAGCTCTCTAAAATAATAAAAGAAATCTCTGAATAATTTAAATTTTAATTCGAATTTAAATTAATTGGACTGGCTTTTGAAATTACAAAACCTATGTCTCTATTAACTCTCATCAAGACTGATTACCAAAGATTATTACAATTGCTCACAAACATAATTCAAAATGCGCTGACATTCTCTGAAAAAGGATATGTATTAGTGAGCATTAACAGTTTTGAAAGAAACGAGATAAAGTTTTCTATAAAAGACGAAGGCATCGGTCTCACAAAGAAATAGCTATATTCGATAAGAGAAATCATAACCCAAGAATAATAGACAACAATTAAGACATAAGAGTGGTAAGGATTTGGTTTGATCATATGTTAAATGCTCCTAAGATACTTATCGCCTATAAATAGAAATAGCATCTAAATCGACTCCAATGGTTAGGATTCTGGAACAACAGTTTCCTTTACGATATCCAATCACATTGCTGCTTAGACCTAGGAGCAGGTTTATAATTAAAGTTCCAAAAAGATCTTGCCTAGAATGAGAAGTATGCCACATTTGAGGGCAGAATATGGATTATTAATTTGTATCAAAGCAAAGTCTCCCAGTAAGATATTGTTATCAAAAACAACAGATCCAGAGGAATGCGATTTATCTAGTTCGTCAATCCGTGAGGTTGGGGACAAGGTAAGTCGTTATCATTTGAAGCATTGCTCAATTGAGATTCTGAACAGCAGGAGTCCTTCATATCTGAGTCAACATAAAAATCTATCTGTTTCTTAAAGCAGAAAAGCAGGATCCTATTAGTTATCAGCCAATGAAACTGGTTTAAGTAATGTGTAATAGGGGTTGTCATGTTGCAATACGATTTTAAGTGTAGATGACGAAGTGTTCAATCAAAAGTCACTGCAATTGTTGCTCAGATAACAAGGTTTCAATGTTGACATTGTACAAATATTATAATGTTAAGTTAGGTATTTAATGGGAGACAAGCTATTGAAAAGGTCATACATCCTTCGAAATGTTGTCCGACATGCAGCGGCTATCGGTTTATTTTAATGGATTGTCAGATGCCTATTTTGGATGGTTGGATGACCACCAAAAGATTGAGACTTATGATGTAAAATGAACAAATCCCTACCATCCCAATCATCGGATTGACTGCTTTTACGAGCAACGAGGATGTTGAGAAGTGCAAGGAGGCTGGAATGCTGAACATTTTACATAAGCCATTGGATCTCTCAAAATTTCAATAAATATTAGCTGAACTTCATATTATATGATTTATATAAATATTAATAATGATTACAGGCAATCTGTTCAGAAAGGTTTATCCTTTGAAATTTGGATTCTCCACTTCCTATGCTGAATTAATAGCTTCTAATAAGGCTAATAGAGTGTAAGATGTGGGAAGTTTGAAAGAGTTGTTAGATTCAATTTATTAAACTAAACCATATTTACATTGCATTATCTTCAACTAAGTTGGACACCCATAGTATAGATTTTATTAAACTAGCTATTCAAAAGTGAACGAAATGTACAATGAAATTTCTAATTAATTCGTTGGTTTTAAATTCTATAGGATTAATGTCGACAATCTAGATAAGACAGCCCAATTCTTTGGAGTCAAAGTACACATTTACCAGCTATTGATTAGAATCCTCCAACTTCACTAATATATGGTCTAGGCTCCCCATTAGCCAAGCATGTGGGCCTGGGAGTGAAAAATCTCTAAATCAAACTAGAGACATCATAAGCGTTAACCCATAACACTGATTTCATTCCAGGCACTGAGTAATGGGAAGGTCCATAAGATTTGTGGAGGGCAAATTATCAAGATGAGTAAGAGCCATTCGATTATTTTGCCCGTTGATTTCATTAGATCATGCATACAACAACATATAACACCTTTTATTATTTTTCGAATATAATGAGAAATCCAAATATATAACTAGCCCTTTGTATTGGGACAACAATATATCAATGAAAACCGCTGAGAATTTTCATCAAGCACTGTTAGTATAAGGGTAGTATACAAGGTTGCCATCCTTGTGACACGAGTTCGAGTCTCGTACAGTGCAATTTTTTTATTTTTAATTAATATATATTTATAATATAATTTCTCACTTTGGTTTTGTTGCTACTAATAAAATGCACTCCAGAAACAAAGGTTAATACTTCAGCTTCTCTTCATTTAGAATCTCTGAAACAATGTTCTCAAATTATTAAACTTTCTCGAGAGGAGCATTTTTCAATAGTTCCAATACTTCTGGATTTGAAAATTTGGCTAGATCTTCTAAACCAAAGTTGTCAAATGGACCTTATTAAGTCCAACAATCTGATTCAATCAAATACTGTTACATATGTTTGTGAATCCTTGTAATTGGGCCATTTCGATGACTGGTTGAGTGCTTTCCAAAAATTTGGAAGGACCTTGGGGTTATTCAAGGATTCCACTTCTAATCAAGGCTTCTTAATAGATGGTCAATGCTTTGCTGTTATTTTTGGATCCCCAAACAGTAATACCGAGTCTGCCTCCAGGCCTAAGTATACGATATGCTTCAGCCATGGCTTATTGGGGATTTGGGATAAGATGGAAAACTAAATTGGAGAGGTATGTTTCAAATGTGTTATCTTAGAATTAAATTAGTTCTTGGATATTGGCCTGTTATACGGAATAGTTAATTTAATTAAAGATTTCGGAATCTTCTTTAAAAAATAATATTACTTAAATTGACATTATCTATTTCTTCTTAGGTAAGTTGGTCGATACCGCCCTTTTACTGTTGTGTGAGGTACTTGTACATCCTGGCAGCTGTAATTTTGACCATTTGATTGGAGAAATCAAAAGCAACAAATCTAGCATATGGGTTCTTTTTCTCCACTATATATTGATGGAGATGTCCCCCTCCACATCCAGCATCAATAATACTTGATAGATTGGGATGTATATTTACGAATCTGAATCTTCAATACGCAGCATATTTAAAAGGGTGAAACAAAAGACGGATGGGTTCTTTTAGGCTGCTGTGTATTTGTGACTAAAGGAGTCCCAAAGTTTCTGAAGATACTCAATGTTCATTATTTAAATTAATAATTGTGGAGAGTACACTAATAAAATAAAAATAACAATTTTAAGGGAATTGTAATTAGGATATTGTAAATGATTGCAAAATAAGAAAAACACTAAAATAATTGCATTTCAGTTATTTTAGAATGAGTTTGAAAAATATCGTTTTTGTTTGCGTGATTAATTAATAAATGAAATTGGTATTAGGTTTGATCGCCCTAGTGGCATTGGGCAGTTGTGCTTCTTTCTTGGAAGAACAACAACCAATGGAAAATAAAATATATAAGATCAAGTTGGACAGAACAGAATCGTAAGCCAGAAAATCGTTATTCGATTTTGTGACAACCAGTTAACAATACAGAAAGAGTCCCGATGTGTTGGGCGAAGCAGATTTGGAAATGACCTAAACTAAATAGAAGGAATCAATCAAATTGTACAACTTTAAGAATACCCAATATACAGGAGAGATTGGATTAGGTGGTTAAGATAATAAATTCAAAGTATTATTACATAACAACGTAGGTTATCTTTGACACAGGATCCGCTAACATTTGGTTGAATTCAGCTAGATGCAACGACTACGGATGCAAGAATCACAAGTAATACGACGGTTCAAAGAGTCCCACCTATGAACACTTAGGTTACGATTTGGACGTCGAATTCGGAACTGGAGAATTGATGGGAGAAGTACTTATTATTTGCATAATAAATATAGATTAATGCTGACACTGCCTATGTCGGAGGAGTCTCTATAGCCAAATAGGAATTTGCAGAGATTGTCAGAGAAAATGGTGATGTTTTCGCATAAGCAGGTTTTGATGGCATTGTTGGATTAGCATATCCAGAAATGGCCGCTTACAATTTCAACCCATTATTTGATAATATCATCAAATAGAAATTGTTGGACAGAAATGTGTTTTCTTTCTACTTTTCGAGATAAGAAGGTTCTAGATCATCCGAATTAACCTTGGGTGGTTGGGACACTGATCATTTCACTGGTGATTTACATTTCCATAATGTGGCCAACAAATATTATTGGTTATTGGATGCAGACAACATTTTGGTCAATGGAAAAGACATGGGACTTTGCAAACATGGATGCAAAGTAGTTGCAGATACTGGTACTTCATTATTAACTGGTCCATCAGACGATTTATATGATTTACTAGGTATTGATCCAATCTAAAATTATAGACACCTTGAATATTGATGAAAATTGCAGCAACATCAAAGAATTGCCAAAATTAACATTCGTTTTGGATGGCGTCAATTATGATTTGGATGCCAATGATTATGTTATGAAAATCGATTCAGAGGGAAATGAAGTAGACAATTAAAATAATTTAGGTTGCTTATGATACTTTCGCAAGTACTGATAGTTTTGTAGAAATGGGAGCAAATTGCTAATGTGTTGGTTCATTCATGCCTTTAGACATCCCAACACCTTAAGGGCCAGCTTGGATTTTGGGTGATACTTTCCTTAGCAAATTTTATTCCGTTTACGACAGAGACAACGATAGAGTTGGTTTTGCCAGAGCAAAATGATTCATATTATTATCACACATAATATACACCTTAAGAATAATTATTGTAACATTTGAATAATTCCTTATTATAATATCATCATGCGTACTTTGGGCTCTATCCTGGCTTTTGCAATTAACCTAGTTGTTACTATTGCAATTAAGGTTAAACATTTCCTGTTGATGCTGGGTAGACTTATTACCATCCAGTTGAGTACTACTTTGTTGTTGTAGTAACCTATCCAACTCCTGGTTGGGCATATGCAGTTGCTGGTAAATAGCCTTAATTCTAGGGAACTTAACCATAGGTTGTAATTGGAGCTCCATAGGTGGTTGTGGAGTAGGGTTGTGGGACATATTAAGAGGTTGTCACTGGAGCTGTCACGTATTGACTCTAAGTGGTTGGTACGAATTGGGTGGTGGCTTGGGCATATTGAACTGGCTACACTGTGGTCTAAGCATATTGAATTGGCTGGGTGTAGGTCTAGGCATATTGAATTGGGGCAGCTACTAAAATTAATATAAATAAAATTTATTTACCTTAATACTATTGGGTTGTTTGGATTTATTAATAATCAACTGGTGCTTATATTACACTTTGTTTTGTCACTGCCTGGTACTCTGTTCTCTCCTTTATTGTCTCCACTGGTACGTATTCTGCGTAATTCATAACAATAATCAAATACCAATGTATTTCTCTTAGATCACTTAAGGAATGTGTTCAGTCACGTATTCCACTGCATAATAGTCAGTAATTTTTCTCTCTCTTGGCACATACTCGACCACCTCTTACATCACATACTCTGTCACTTCTTTTGTGTAGGGAACATATTCAATCCTAGATTCACCCTTGATTGCCTATTTTATTATTATTGATGATTACATTCCCTTAAGTGACAACTGGTCCACTTGATTACACCAATCCTTATTAAGCATACACTGGCTATTACAAATATTGGGGATTTGTAATTAATCCTGTCTGTTAAAGTGGAATTGGTTAGCCGTAAACTCCTGGCTGAATTTAAGAGCTTGCAGGAACCCAGTTTTGTTATGGCAAGTATGCTTCTGGAACCTATTATTAAGCAGTAGGAGGCAATTATGATGGTGTTGCCTTCTGAGCTGGAAGTTATGATGGACGAGGATTGTTCATTAAATCTTAATTAATTTATTTTTAATTATTCAACAACTCAGCATTTTCAAATATAAATTATCTAGATCTCCTCATTAATCGAAATATCTCTCATTAAATTACATCTCAAAATTCTACCCTTCCCTCACCAATCATTATAATTTTGTAAATTTTGAATTTCGATTATCAAAAATTCACATTTATTAATCAAATAACACATACACACACCAACCATTCACATCTTCATTTAACTCATCAATAAGATATCAATCAAAAATATATTAGATATACTAATTAAAATTCATTAAAATAATTCATTGTAGTCATTGTTCAAACTAAATAAAGCCTGGAGTGTATACTAATTGCTAATATGAAGGCATCTCAGACATCAAAACCATATTTAAATTTAAATGATCCTTAAACAACTTTTATATATGTTCATCTGGCTTCTTATTTACTATAACATCTTTAATTTCATAGTTAAACCTTTGTTTCAACAATTAAATCAATGTTGTAAAATTATAAATTATATGACTATGGATCTCGTTGTAAAACTCTTGACAAAATGAATTTATAATCTCCTCATTCAGTTCACATCTATAATCATAATTTCCTAATTTATATCTATTCTTTTTGTATAAGGTATCATTTAACTGCTTAAAATAAGGTAACATATTTGTATCAAAGCATAAGGGTAATTTATTAATCGGCTAAGTGTAAGTAAATTGTTCCACTCTTTAAAAGATAGGTACCTTTTTGAATTTGTGTAATTGTAAATATTTATAGAATTTGTCTTGGCAATCCAAATAGTTCAAAGGATATCCTATTCCTATCAAAAATGGATTCTCATTGGGCAATTTTAGTATTATATTTGTAAAATTATGTTTTTATATATATAACATTAATTTTAATGAGAACTGTCTATTACGAGTTCTCAATAGTTTTCGATAATATCAATACAATCATAGATCTCTTCAAATGTATATGATAATTACTTTATATGAAGATATATATTATTATTTAAAATATCTATAGGGAAGGATATATGATTCTTTATAGATTAACATATCAATCTACTCTTAAAATAAAAAAAAATGCTTAATAAAATGAGTAAGAAATAAGTTATACTAAATTACAAGAAATGAGAGTGAATTTTACTTAATTTTCATCACTCATACATTAAATAGAGAATGTGTCACCTGGTTTTGAATGAAGAAAAATTAATAAATCATTCAATATATTATTCTAAAATTCCTTAATTCCATATTGCCTTGACCACAGTATCATTATTAGTTATAAATTCACCTTCTCCATGTATCATGCCATCATCAAATTGACCCACATATTTTTCCTAATTTGACAAAACCAATGTGCCTGATCCGTGCATTTTGCCTCCTTCAAACTTACCTAATTGGATAGTCACATATAATACCTTCATAAAACTCCCATCCATTTCCAATATTTGTCATATTACTGTAATCATAAGATCCAGATATATTTTCGACCTACAAGTTTTTTAATTTTCCTTCTCCCTCATAGAAATTTTCTTTCCAATAACCAGCATACACTTCCTGTCCATCACTGTCTGTTAGGATTCCAAATCCACTTCTAGTTTAAGGAGGGAATCCTTATCCTCTATAAATGTAGCCATCCTCATATTGTAAGGCCAACTCTGAAACATAATAACAAGATCATACCTTCAAGTTCTCCATCTCCCTCTCCCTCTTCATATTACTCTTGGTCCTTTGGGGGGGTTGGTTGTTTCATTTAACTTTCAATCTATTTTGGGACTTGTTTGTTTGGTGTGATGTTTGGTTAGACTTGTAGTTGATTTGGCTATTACTAAGGGATTTACTGTTATTTCGGTTGCTATTATTGGTGGTTTTGGATTTAGCCAGGTTGTGGTTTCTGTTGTGGTTAAGGCAAAGAGGTAGATTCTAAAATGATTAAAAAGATTTAATACTTTGCTATGGCTAATATGATTATTGAACATTGGCCTTTTGAATTCTCTCCATGACTTATTCATATGTCAAATACCCAGGTCTTGTGGGTGATTACAATTACTATTGTTGTGGTGGTTTATTTTATGGCTGTTATTATTAAGATTGCATGGGATGATTTCTAGCAGGTGATGCAAATCCTCTGACGGGACTCTGAAAATTCTTGTTGGGTGATTGAATCGCTTAGCTTGCCATAGGGTGAGCAGGTGGAGGAATATTAGCTCTAGGAATTTGAAATCCATTGTAGGAGGAATAGAGGGGTTGTTGTGGATAGCTTTGTGGCACATAAGGTGGGTAGTATTAAGGTCTGTATGGCTAGGTTTAAGGGGGATATGGTGAACGAGGATAATATTGGGGTCTGCTGTATGGATAATACATTAAAATAAAATTTTAAAATATATATCTTTCTTATTTTTGCTTATAATCAATTAAAACATCCAATTTAACATTTTATTGCTTCTATATTATTTTCTGGAATTCGATCCCACTCCCTCGGTCCGAATATGTGATGCTCGCAAAAAGACATCAATTAATTGTAGTCTCCAACAAATTTATATTTCATTAAGAAATTAAAGGGCATTTTAATTTTTTAATAATATCGTTAATTTTAACATGTACAGAAGATAAAACATAACAAGGAAACAAATTGATCACTACAGCTATTTACTAAACGAGGAAATAGGAAGAGGTTTTAGCAGCAAGGTTTACAAGGGAAAGGATGATGTTTCCCAAGAACTAGTTGCTGTCAAGGTGATCGATATGAAAATGATCAAATAATCAATTCACTCTTAATTATTGAAAAATGAAATCAACGCTCTCCGTTCCTTCAATAGCAAACACATAATGAAATTGCATGATGTCTTTTAAACTCAGAACAACACTTATATCATCACAGAATATTGTGACTCTGGAGATCTCAATAATTACATTCGTAAACGGGGGAGACTGGAAGAATAGGAAGCAATAAAAATACTCTAATGCGTAGTCTCAGCCATGGTGGAAATGAATAAAAAAGGTTTCATTCACAGAGACATCAAACCTGCCAACATCTTAATTGATCATTCAATCCCAAAACTAGCTGATTTTGGCTTTGCTGTTCCAGTCCATGAAGCTAGAGTCTAAGGCAGAAACTTCAATGTCGGAACTCCTCTTTACATGAGTCCACAGGCTTTGAGACAGTAAGGACATACAGAACAAGGGGATGTCTGGGCCATTGGAGTTGTATTTTATGAAATGCTTTTTGGGAGAACCCCATTCAATGGTCAATCAGAGGCTGCATTAATTTCAAATATCATGAACCAACCACTTCATCTCCCATCTCATCCATAGATCTCTTCCGCTGCCAAAGATTTTATCAGACAATGTTTAACTGTCGATGATGGAAGGAGAATGAGAGTGCGTGATATGGCTAACCATCAATTGATGAGGCAATCGACTGCCCCTTCTTAACCTCAATAACAATAACAACACCCACGATAATTACAGCAGAGACAAGCCATCACTCCTCCACCAGTTGAATAACAATAACAAAGAGTTAAAAGATCACTTAGTTAAGGCGGAAAACAAGACATCAGATATAGAGAAAACAAGGAAAACTATTATTAGCAATAAAATCAACAACAACCTTAGAAGCCCACTTAGGTTGATAATAATAGATAACCATTATAACCATAATAATAGAATGTCTAAAGATCTACCAGTTAACAATAGGTTCAAAAGCATTATATTAAATAAAAGACACAACCAGCTGAAGACATCAAACCTTTAGGAATATCAATGGAATGCAAAGTTAATAACGATATTCTGTTTACTTAAGTTAATTTCTGTAGGTTCCTTTATAAGTTCTCCTCAAGTCTACTCTAGTGTAAAGTAATTAGCACTGAATTAAAAGATAAATTGCTCTTTCTAATGGGTAAAAACATTGCAATCAAAATTACTAAACTTAATCTAATCACAGATAAGGAAAACAACTAGCCAAATGTCCTACAATTAGAGGATTTCCCCATTTATAAAAAGACAGATTCCTATCATAAATTTTCTTAAGCAATCATTGAATACAACGATAAATATATGAAGTATTTTGATAAACTCCTCAAACTATGCAATTCTAAATCAGGTATTTTATAGTAATAATAATTTAGAATTACAAAAAGACACCACTTTTGTTTGTCTTTTGAATCAGGATTTTACAGAAACAGAAACATTTTATAGAATCACTTAACAATATATCAAATAAAGTTTGACTGAAATCAAAAATTATTTTAGGTCATAAAACCTATAAAACATCAATCTCGATTCTCCAATTACAGATGAGGTAAATAACTAACTAACTAATCTAGATTCAATTGCCAGGATTGATATTATAAGGACTTAGCAATTATTACCTTTTGCTCCAAAAAGCAATTGAATACCTAAAGGATTATAAAGGATTTGTTAGAAGTACTCATACCGAATTAATGACTGATAAATCTTCAGAGGCTCTCACTTATGGGATACTAGAATAATTAATGGTTAGATTGCTATGATAGTTAAAGTTATAATAATAAATATTAATTTCTTTTTGTAATTTTAGAGATCGTTTGAATAAAACCTTAGTCTATTTTAGACACCATTTCGATTGCAATTAACTCATATTTATTTATTCCAATTAAAAACACAGATTAAATTATTTAATTATTTTATAATTGATATTAATATATTTATATCACAAACTAAATTTGACATGCTCACTTTTTCATTCTTTATCAATATTTTAGGGCTTTGAAGAAGGGTAGATAGGGACTTTTGTATAACCCTTCAATCCATATCCATAGTCTTTACTAGCTAAGCAATTACGATAATCTAACTTGTCACAAATTCATTGTTCATCATCTCGTTTAATTAGTATCTATTTTTTAATTCGACAACTTCTTTATATGATGCATCTGAATACGTATAGTCTTTAAATTTTGGTCTGTCGTATAAGCCTACAATTAAGATTCAAATTACTAAATTTAACATCCATATTATATTGAGGAATATAATACTCTTTACTACCAAGCACATTATTTCGTACATATAATCTAAATATATTTTAACGTACTTTCTTTATTATTCTCTTTCAGTGTTCAATTTGTTAGCCAACTAAGATTATTAATTTACATTGTTTTGCAGTTTCTGATAATATTCATTTGCATCAGCTCTATTAGAATGGATTTCATAATTTTATGATTTTCTGGAGTTATGTTTAGAACTCAATTGAGGTTAATCCTATTGATAATTCTAATCCACTTCTGATTTTTTGATAATTTGATTTTGTTATTGTTAGTGTTATAAGAGACTTGATCTTTAAAATTGATCAATGGAATCCTCTACTAAATTTTCATTACGTTATGAGTGCCTCACTTTTTCTGGATTTACTGATTTAGATTGTAACAATTATGGTGAGCTCTTAAATTATTATTGCATTCCATTCCCAAACTACTGTTATTAGGCGTATTGGAAGTCAGAAAATAATGGATTCCTCATTTTTATATCACTGGAAGTTGTCTTCAATTCTATTTATCATTTATATTAAATACTTTCATTACTCAGATAGGCTTATATATATTTGTCTGCTCCCACATTCCTCTCCTTTTTCAATACTCTTGGTCTAGTTCCTTTAAATGAATTTCAAAAATTACCTGGCAATTCTCCTAATTCCATCGAATAAACAGGCTCTTTCATTGATTAATAAATAATAATTAATTTAAATCAATTCATAATATTTCTAACTTGAATATCAGTTTGAGTCTCATTCTTGATTTCATATTGCTAAAATTAATCACATAACTTAATGGAATCATAAATAGAGAATAAAATAAAAGAATAGTTTATATATAATTAAATAAATTAGAGCAAATAAATTTTATTTATAATTACAAATGGGAAATTAAGTGTATTTTGCTAAAACAATTGATGCCTCGATTTTTAATCAACAAGCACCTTTAAACGCATAAATTCAACATCTTGGTGGACAATTTTACTAGCACATCGAAAGAGTTGAACTGTATAAGCTGAAAAATGAAGTCACAAAATTCCCAACAATATTCGAAAAAAGAATAGCTAACTCTACCTCAGCTGAATAAGAGGGAAAATTACTCAATCTTCATAATTAAGCTTAAAGCTTGTATCATCCAAATTTAATCAAATATTATGGATTTTGTATTGACCCCTAAATAACCACTAATTTGATCATTAGTAAATGGTATTATTAAGCACTTTATAAGACATCTAAAAATATTTGTGCTCATCACTTTTAATATAAATCTTTGATTCCAGAAAATAACTTATGGAAGGTATTAATATTAAATTATATTTATTTAGCTCCTGTATCAAATAGTTCAAGGACTTCAATTCTTAGAGAGTAAATAGTTCTGGCATCTGTAAATCCAACCTGATGCTATCTATTTAGATGACAATATGTAAGTTAGGTTGATTCCAATGGGAGTTTTAAGAATGATGAGTGGATATTCTCTTGTCCTTAACAAATAAGGATAGGCACTGCTTTCTCCAGAATTAATTGAATAATTAAGACTAAAAAATATCAACCCTGTTCACGATCCTTCTAAATCAGATGTCTTTTCTTTAGGTATGACTATGTTAGAATTGATGACACTCAAAAGTAGTTTTGATTGCTATTCCTTCGATTCTAATCCCCCTTAATTACACGATCAAACCATAGAAGAACGCTTGTAAGAATCAATTATGAATGGTTATTCTGAAGATTTAATCAGATTAACCAAAAACATGCTCCACAGAGATATGAATTATCGAATTGGAATCAGAGATGTTTTAGTACATAATTATATTATATTCATAGAATTCTAAAGAACTAAACCAAAATTAACATAATCAAAGCGATCATTTTTTTCCTTTGAAACCAACAATAAATATGAATCCAAGATAATAGAATGTTATTTAGCAAGAGTAAAAGCCCTTAATATAACCTTCTATTCCAGCAATAGTAGAATAACAGATTCCTCCCTAAAATCATACTGCTTGCTTCAATCCTCATCTTCAATAAGATAGTATTTCCCATTTTCAACAATCATACTCTTTTAGAGAGAAAACAGATGAAGAATTGCTTTTAAGAGAATAATAAATAAATAGATAATTAGAATAATAATTAAAATAACAGCAAATATTATTATAATAATAATATTAATAACAATAAAAATAATAGTAAATCATTGAAGAATAGTAAAGACAAATATTTTCACTTTAATAGCAAATTAAATAGATTGCAAATCAGCTAGAAGAAAGTCAAATAAAACCTACTGAAATATTAAGTTCTTAAAATTAACAAGACAATCTCAATTATCAAATCAACTTGCTCCCAACTCCTCCAATTACTTATGCAAGCCCAATTAAGCACACCTTAAATGACTTTACCGAAAATATTGAGATTCAGAACAGAGTGAACTAAGTCTTAGCTCAATCAAGATAAGCATTAAGTAGATATTAAAATTGATTAATTATAAAATAATTGAACAAATTTACTAGTGTATGATTATGGGTAATAATCAAACTCTTATTCTTGAACATTCAACATCTCAAATTCTTAGGCTTAGATAGAATAAGAAAAAGTTTAATATTTTCATACATACTAAATATTTTTATAAAAGTATGAACCTTATATTAATAATACACTAGTGAAAATAATTCATTTTATAAAATTCATTAAAAATGATCTTAGAATCTAAAATTATTGCTATTCCCATAAGACTGCAATTAAATAAAAAAATTCCCTATTATTATTATCAAATAATTTTTGTTGAAGTAGTAGTTTCAAATACTATTATAAGTGGGTTAAGTATTATATTATCATTTAGATTTGAAATTTATTCATAAGTAGAAAAATATATAATTTTTCTACACTACTTGCTTACTTATTCAACTAATAGTTTTAATACATTATAAAATACATTTTATAGTACTGAAGATAATTATTCTGTATCCTATGAACAAGCAATAGCTATTTAATTCTTTGGAAAATTATCTCGATTAGTTATTAATCAGTTTTATATGGGAATATTTTTTATTTGATAATTGTTGTATTCACCCTACAATTGTCATATCATATCAGTATTTTTATTTTTGATAAACCCAAATGAATTGTGATAATAACAATACTCTATTCCTCTTAGTCCTATTTTATTGAAATGAATTTTTTATCATATTATTTTTAATGCAACACTAATTAAGTTGTTATTTTTAATTTGAAAAAAGTAGAAACAAAATACTCACAATGCATTTAATAATTTGAACTTCTTCTTTTTTTATAGTAATTCGATAATAGATATGCATATAGATACCAGTTCTACATAATTTAGTAAATAAAAACACATATGTACAATTTTGAGTTTAAATGAAAGCATTTTTATTGTATGATAAAATGTGAAGAAATTAATAAGAACTTTAAATATCATATGCAAACAAATTAAAACAGGTTAGATATCGAAAGCTAATTAAGATCGTAGACTAGGACAGTTAATATTATAAATTGAGATGAGTTGTTGATTAAGTAATAAGTACATTATTTTACATTATTTTATTAATAAATATTTTCGTATTAATTTATTTTTGAAAAACGGAATTAGCAATTTAATAAATAATTAATTTCCTGGAAAAAAATTCGTTTTTCTAAAGTTTGTGGTTCAAATAGGGATTATTTTAATAAAACAAAGTATTAATAAATGAAATCTATAGTTCTTTTAGTGTTGGTCGCTACAGCATTTGCCACAAACTTGGCTGCTTTCGAAAAACTCGAATAATCCAAGCTCGGAAAGACATTGTTGAACACAATCGCTATCTAAATGCAAACAGGTGAGCCATTGGAAAGAATTTTCTCCACACTCTACGATTTGGAAGAGAGATATCAAAATGACTAAAGAGAAGATGATGCCGAAAACAAGGCCTTCTAAGGAGTTTGTGATGCTGATCTTGCAGGTCTTAACCAAGAAATCGCTAACCTTGAATAAAGAGACACAGAATTATAAGCCAAACTCGACGAACTCCAACCAGTCCATGACTAAAAGGTCGGATAAAGAGTTGCCAAGTTGGCTGAAAAATAACTCCTCTAAAAGGTTATCGATGAAGCCTAAGCCAAGAGATAAGAATAAAACGACGAATTCGAAGCTTAAAGAGAAGAACTCTCATTCGTTTCAGGCGTTCTCGCTGAAGCCAGAAGACTCTTCACAGATAACTTATAAGCCCCAGCTTTCTTATAAAAGGGATAAAGTGAAGCCGTTCACTATACCCCATAAGTCTTTGCCTAAGTTGCCACTCACTTGAATGCTGCTGCTCACAAGGCTGGATAAATGAAACACATCAGAACTTTCGGAAAAGCCATCAAACTTATGGCTACATTGGCTGTCAAATCCTAATAATATGCCAACTAAGAATTAACCGGAAGAATCATCCAATTGATCGATGACTTATAAAACTAATTGAACTAAGCCTTCGATTTAGCCAGAAAGACTGAAGATTCCAGAAGATAAGCTTATGAAGCCTACAGTGCTCTCTTGAACAGAGACATGAACAAGCTTAACTCAGCAATTGCCAACTTAGAAGCTGAAATCTAATCATTGGCTGATTAACTTGCTGCCACTCACAGCTCATAAGATGACAACGCTGCCAGACTTGAAGCCAAGACCCAATAAAGAGATGACAGAAGAGCTGAATGCTAATAAGCTGCTTATGAATACTAATAAAGAAGAACCGCAAGAGATGGAGACAGATAAACTGTTTCTGACTTGATCGGACATTTGAACACCAACATGAGAGACTTGAAAGAATACATTGCCATAGAGAGTTGCTGCTGGTGATTAAAATTTAAGCTCATGATCTGATTGATTTATTCAAAAAATTTTAACCATTTCACAAATTATAATTCTAACATATATATTTATTAGAATGTGTTTTTATCAAACATTCAAAATGTCAAATTCATCATTAAACCAGAAAATTCTTAGAATGTTATCTCTTCCTTATCATTTACTTCATGCATGATTTACTTCCAAATTTCATCAGAAACTAAACCATTTCCAAATATTAATTTCAATTCATCTATACTTATTGAACCATTCCCATCCTATCATAAATTTCTATTATACTTTATCAATGGCCTTAAATGTTTTCTCTAACCTATCTTGTGATAATAGTTTTGACCTATTGATTGTTGCAGCCACAAATTCAGAATAATCAATAGATCCTGAATTGTTTTGATCAATTTCGCTCATTATCCTATCTACTTCATCTATTGCTTATTATTCGCTCATCACTTTACTCAATCCAATAAGCAGTTCTTATCTGCTTAATTAACCATCATTGTTAGTGTCTAAAGCTTTAAATGTTTTCAATAATTCTGATTGATCTTCCTAAGATGAAAATTAATTCACTATGTACTAATATATTGCAGATTAAAGTTATTTGGGTGACTAAGCATAAAATTAAAGATTTACTTTAAAGGCTTGCATGTTCTTTATAGCCTTGTCAATTTAAGGGCAATTCAGTTTAAGTATCTTCACTCTATTCTTAAGAAATCCAAGGGATGGTTAAGTGCTTATTCAGCAGTATACCTTTTATTAGGATCCATTTCCATCAACTTAGAAATAAAATCCTTTGCTTCTTCTGTAATAATGTCCCATTCCTCTGACTTAAATTCATATTTTCCTTATTTTATTTTTTCCAATACTATATCACTAGTATCACCATCAAATGGAGGATTACCACATAATAAAATATATGCTATAACTCCGCATGACCAGATATCACATTTTTCATTATATTTTCTTTGTAAGACTTCGGGTGCTATATAATAGGGCTAAAGAGAAAAAAAAAGATTTACCGTTCCTATTTTAAAACTCATCTTTTTATGAGGCTCAAACATTCTTGATGATCCGAAGTCAATAATTTTAATCGTTCCCCTTTTATCTTAGCTTTCAAACATTATATTTTCCGGTTTAATATCTCTATGCACAATGTTATGTTGATGGCAATAATTTAAGCCTAATAATAATTATTTGATTAAATTTGCAGCATCTTTCTCTGAAAAATGTTGAAATTCCACTATGGCATCAAATAACTCACCTCCAGTATATAACTCAGTCACAATAAATATTTTTTGAGAATCTTAATAAATCTCTAAAATTTTTACTATATTCGGGTGATCCTAAAATTAACTAGTTCATACCAACTATTTAAGTATTTCTACTTCATGTAAGACTCTAGAAACCTCTTCGTTTGTGACCTCTGATTTGGATATGATTTTTATTGCTCTTGTAGTACCTAACACCTTGTGTACACCTTTACGCAGCTCAGCAAACGCACCTGCAATTAATATAACTTTACCTAATCCTAAAGGCGGAGAGAGAAATTTATAAACATCATGAATAGATTAATTTTAATGAGTGTTCACAGAATCAAGCAATTGAACTTAAACTGTTTAATTTGGATTTTTAAATTATGATTCTTGTGTTTATGGTTAATTTTATGTTTATTGATTAAGCTCGCTTATGTTATCTTCCGATTGTTTTTATTTTCGTTTCTCAACACACAATTGGCCCATTAATTATTTATAATTATTAATGATTAACTTAAAACATAGAGGATAAGAAATCTTAGAATTTAATTAATATGTTTATATATATTGTGTAATTCAGATTAATATAATATATTGCTGTATGTTAGTTTATTTAATTTTTGAACATAAAATTTCTTTTGAGTATTCAATTAAATTTATAATTTAAGTTATACCTAGATACTTTTTCTAAATCATTCCTATCATAATGTAGTGCTGAAAATGAAATCTATTTTTTGAATATGATTATCTTTGGTAAACTAGGCAAAATTATTAACTCACGCCATCTCAATCATAGATTACGATATATCTAAGAACTTACTAAATATATATTGTCTTTTCAATAAATCTAAAGATGTTCCACAGTTAGTTTGAAAAAGGATTAATTTTCTGAGTTTTTTACAACTTTCAACTTTTTGGAGTGAAAACTTGTAAGCTTTTGATATAATATGAAATTGGTTTAAGTCAAATAAATTAATTAAAAAGTCACTTATCTTTAAGTACTTAATTTATATTAGTAAAAATTCTAATGGAATTTTGATTATCTATCCATCTTATTTAATAAAGATTAAAGCAGAAGAGGAATTCTAATAATGAATAAAGAGTAACGCAATAATTGAATTGCCATTTATTTATTTAATTCTTAATTAGAGAATTTAGAATTTGTGTCTTTATAAATTTAATTATTCTAATTGAATAATTTTTATATAATGTTAAACTAAGAGGTGATTAAATAAAATTGTAGTTTAATTCTTAAAGGAGAAACACAAGAGAAAGGGAATTTATACTTAGGTAAATATCTATTCTATTTTAGGAAATCTAAATTCAATCGAAGAAGAGAATCTAAAATCAAAGTCGATAAAAGCCGTAATCACTGCTGCAAGAGGGGTTAATACAACAATCAAAAATGTAAATCATTATGTTATTGAAGCTGATGATGATGAAAATTTCTAAATAAGTAAAAATTCAAATAAACTATAGTTTAACACTTTTAAAAAGCAATCAAATTTATTGAATAGAATTTAAAATCAACAAATGTATTGGTTCATTGTTTTGCGGGAGTTTCTAGATCTGCAACAATAGTTTGTGCATATCTAATGAAAATTGAAAAGTGAAATTAATCATATATTCAAGAAAAGATAGTGATACCATACTAGAAAAAATGAAAGCAATACGTCATCAGGTGTATCCGAATGAGGGATTTAGAAATTAACTTAAATTATTTGAGAAGAAAATATTGTGATAATCATACAATATTATATTCTTTAAGAAAGCTATTGAAATTATTTTAGCATATTCTTCATATTAGTTTAAGTAATGGTTCAAGGCTGTTTGATTTCGTATTTTATAAACATAATGAAGGAGTAATAGATATTGTTTTTAATTAGTTTTACATTATTTTTTATAAGAATAAAGTATGAATAAATATTATGAGTTTTCTAAATCTAAGGATGAATCAAGATTATCTATTGACTCTTAGGAACTACTTAGGTAAGTGGAAAATAAAATAAACTAAGAATAATCACCACCCTTTATCTCACCCTAAAAATACTAATAATTATAGAATGCTGATCACTTTGATTAAAAAGAGCAATTCGATTATTTATCATTTAAGGAATAAGCAATTGTAAAGCGGTTGTTTAATTTGAGAGATGACTACAAACAATTCCTAAAAAACGTGTAATCTAATTAAGAACAATTGATCTAATCTATTAGGGAGGTTATGAAAAAAGTTATAGAGAAAGGGAATCGGCATTTATAAGACCAAGAACAAGAATTAAGGTTACAATTGCAAGAAATTCAAAAAAATAAGGAGCTTATCAATTCATATTCTAACTGTCAAATTATATAATCACCTTTAAAATAAAAAAACCATTTCTTCTCAGAAATAACTAATAAGATTTCTGAACTAAATAGTTAGATACTTGAATTTTTTGATCAAGATAACTCTATACAATCAAGTAGGTATTAGAAAAAACTAAATTTCTCAAATTATAAAGAATTGAGTTCAAAAAAGAAGTAAAAGGGATCGCCTAGTCCATTCAAAGAGATTGATAGAATATTATAGTTGAAAACATCATCAAGCAAAACTTAACTTTAAGGTAAAACCTCGCCTTAGGACCTAAATTAATTTATTGAAGTGCTTAAACTTAAAATTAATAATACCAAAAACTACAATTTCATATAGAGTAGAACAAATATCTCAAGCAATTTTTTGTAAAGCAAATTAAATAGTAATTCAAAACGGATTTCAATTGAAGAATAGCTCTAATCTTAATACAAAACATTTTTTCAATCTGTATTTTGAAATTATAATTTTATACATACCATTAAAATAGACTTGCATAAACCTTCTTAATTTTGTTATAAATTAAAATAGAATGGTCCAAGTCTAATAAGAATGAGCAAGTGTGATTGCAACAGAATTGCTTGGTTTCATAACTAGAAGAGAAATCCTACAAGTTTCTACTTTCCACTTTAACAATATTATCAATTCCAGTTTATTATTTTGTTTCAAGTATTAATATTCATAATCCAATATTAATTGTAAGTCCTCACAAGATGCAATCTATTATTGTTTTTCTGCTTGTAAATTGAAAGATGATGAAAATACTAGCATTTTAATTGAAGTTGATACATAAGATTATTTAATTTGATATCATCAAGTATTCTTAATGTAATATAGTTTATAAAAAAATTTCTGTATTCGCCAAATGAGTCAATTCGAAACAAATTCTTAAACCTAAATTCCATTCCAAGAAAGAGGCAAACCTAATTCTAATCGTCAATTAGGAGTACCTAATTTCTCAAATGGTCAAAATCTAAAAACCTTTGATCAAAATGAGTAATTCCATTATATGTAACCTTAGGTTTATTCCGACAAGATAATCTCAAACTAACAAGTAAGCTATTTTAAGGATCTAGTTATGGATAAAAATAGACTAGTCCTCAAGTTTTCCAATATCCACAATTCAGTTATCCAGCGATGGGATAACAAACCATGAAAGAACAAGAGCATGAAGAATAGATACAAAGATTAATGAAAGAAAACGAAACATTAAGGTACGCTATATACAGTAATTAGATTTTAGTGGAGAACCTTGGAATAGGAAAACTAAAAGTTGAAAAACGATAAGTATAAAATTTTCGTATAGTAGTAATCAATTCAGTAATAGAGACAAGAGTATTAATTCAGAAATCCAAGGATTGCAGTATGATAAAATGAATATTTTAGGGATCAAATATAGCAATTAAAAACTGAAAATAAGAGATTAATGAATACTATTTAAGAAGATCAATATTAGCTTTTAGATTTATAAAAATTAAAGAAGCAAGTAGAACTAAACAAAGGGCTTGAAAATGAGATATCCGATCTTGAATAACAGCTGTCAATAGCCAATAAACAACTCTAAGAACAAAAGCGATTAAATTCTTTTTCGGAAGGCGAGAAATAAACTTAAAAAGAAGCAATGGAAAAGCTGAAACAATAAGTCAAAGATTTAACCTAAAATAATGAGGGACAGAGTTCCAAGAATGAATCACTATTAAATGATAATAGAAAGATGAAATAAGCATTAGACATGATTAATAAGGATTTGACAAATGAATAGGAATAAAACAAATTGCTAATCTAAAAAATCAATTAATTAAATTAGGGATCTAAAGATTAGATTAATAATCTATAAACAAATCTTACCAATCTCAATTATTAGAATGAGCAATTAAAAAATTAAGTGGGCCTGCTCCAATAAAAAGAAAAAGAATTGTAAAATGCATAGAATTAAAATCTATAAAATGAAGGGAAACTAAGACAGATGTAATAGTAAATTTCTGACTGTATATTATATTTAAATTTTAGAATAAAGATAAATTGAATAATTTACAATGACAGTATAAGCAGGGAAGAATGAATATTCAAAACTAGCAACAAAATGTTAATCCTATGAACAAGATATCTGGAAAATGAAAGAGTAAATCAACTAATTAACTAACCAAAATCAAATGTTACAAAATAAGTGTTATCAACTTGAAAGAACTATTGATGATAGTTTATCAAAATCACAAATTTAATCTGCCGATTTGAAAGGAAGTCTTGAAAAATGGAAAAACTATGGGCTATAACTTGAATAAGAAATTAAGAAAAGAGAAATGGCTTTGGTACAATTAGAAAATCAATATGAACATATTCAGAGTCAATTAAAAGGTTCTCAAGATATTGAAGTTCAATTCAGAAATGAAAGAGTAGCTACAATATAAAAAATGAAAGAAATGCACGATGATCTACTTCTGTATGAAAAAAAATGTGACTAATTAGAGAGAGGTAAACATATTAATAATTTTAGAAATATAACTATTGCAAGAGTAAAATAAATGTAGCCAATAAAATCAAGATAAGTTAGAGCAAGACAAGTAATAGCTAAATTTTGAAGTGAAGAATTTGATGGAAGAATTACTCAGAACATAAAATTAAACTGATTTAAAATACAGAGATTTCGATAATTATTAAATGAAGCATGATTCTAGTAAAAATCTCAAAGATAGAGAATATTAGAATTTATAGTAATAACCTAATATGTTGTTCTAAGATAAAAATAATTAATTTGGAAATGATTCACCTAGGAAGAAGGTATTTCTGTTGCATTACTTTTTAGGAACAATTATATCAGATGGAACCTAGATTGAGGAATTTAGAGAGTGATATTCCAAATCCCTAATTTAACTAAACTGTTAAACAACAATTTTAATGGAACTAAGAAGCACCTATCAATAATGGAAATTAGCTAGAATTTACTGAAAATAGCCAAATTTATTCAGGAATTAACCAACCTTATACTAATCATTCTGGATATTTGAGTCCTTAATAAAATAATTATGGCTTGCAACAAACCCAATAGCAAAAACCTACAGAAGTGTAAAATTCACCCTCTCCGGTTATTTAAAAACCAGAGCATAAACGTAATAATTCTTAGTAGCTCATTAAAAGTAAAAACTACGATTTAAGGTTCTAAAATCAACCACAACAACAATAGTATTGAAAAAATTATGATAGATTATTATTTATAAGAAATTTTAGTTTTTAATTTTTTTGAATATTCACTTATACGGCATTTAAAGATTGATTTTGAGAGAATCTGGAAACTGGCTCGGTCGACCTTGAAGATAATAATTTCAATTAAAATATTACTAAAGTAAATAAATAAAATAATATGTTTAATTTATTGCTATTATTTTAAATTAGCTTTGGCTAAGAAATTATTCTAAGTAAAAAAACTTAAAAGAATGCCAATATTTCTGAAACAGTTTTAAGCTAAAGTTTGTTAAAATGCCCTTTAGAATTAGAAAATTAAGAATTTACGATTAATAATTCTAAGGTAATATGTGAATAATCGGATTTGCTTTACACCATGAAAATAAATTTGACGAAAGGGAATGAAAATTTTGAAATGTTTGTAAATTGAATCTTATGACGTAGATCGATTTAGTTAGTCCTTGGAGTTGGTATAAGTCTTCCGAATGCGAATTCTATGATTAGCCCTTGGTTAATTAAACAATATAGAAGAATAGTTGTTTTGACAAAAATTATATAAAGTCACAAAAACTTGAGCAAGAATCTTCAACAGAGAGTTAAATAATAGCACACAACTTCTCATTGAAAGGACTTTTGGTTGTATCTAATGTTTAGATAGATTCAAAATAATTTGAATTACAAATGCTTTAAGTCGATAACATATTTGCCAAGAGAACCTATCTTTCAGACGGAGCAATTAGTTTGAGTCATTTTAAAGGTTCTGGATAGTAAAATTTTATTTTGCAATATTCATCAAACAATAAATCGATATTATAATTCGATCTATACACTTAGAAATAAACATTTACTATACGAAATGATGTTCCATTAAGGCCAAACTATCAATTATTTTGGATAAATAATTCTGACATAAATGCACCTCAATGGAAATTTAAAATAGATTAAATCTCTTTGTTGGATAAACCACTTTCAGAGAAAGATCAATCCTATTATGCCATTTTAACATTGAATTCTTAATTTATATCACTTCCTCTAGGATTAAGCAATAAATTGATAGATGTATTGGCAAGTGTGAAAAATATCTCATGTGCATATGCAGATTCAGAACTATTTGTGATAGTATGTAAGAATATGAATCAAAGTCTAACCAAAACCTTAAGCGTTACTTTGAACATATCTGACTTATAAATAAAACTAACTAACTTAGTGGAAAATTGCAAGAAGGACGAGGAGTAGAAGTATAAATGCTAATTGAAGATTAAATTATCTTCCTCAAATACGATATTTTTGGGAGAACCCTTCTTTATTGATAAGAAAATTCTTCTCAATTATGAGACTGGATAGATTGGAGTTTACAAGGAAGTTTTAGATGAAAAATTTTAGAATAAAGATGCTTTGTCTTTTGAAAATTTAGGAATTTGGATTGTTATTTTAACTGTCATACTCGTTTTAATATTTTGTTTGATGAATCTCAAGCATGCTCTAAAATGGTTCATGAGAGCAATTAAATACAGAAAAGTGATATTATTTATATATATTCGTTTTAGACTTAAAACTTTGATGATGAGTAATAGTTGAGAAGCAAGGAAATTGAGTTTAATGAGATGGAAAAAGCAGAATAAATGACTTAATCAATTGAGGAAAATAGTATTTGAATAGTTCAATGGTAATATTTGACATAAAATATATAAATTTTAATTATGCCTAAAATATCATCAGACAAGAAGCTTTTCTTTAAGCTTTTGGGAAAAGAATTAAATGAGGAAGAATTGGAAGAGTTAGTTTTCAGATTCGGTATAGAAGTTGAAGAAAGAGAGGAGGAACCAGATCTTTTATATTTCGAAATTGCAGCCAATAGACCTGATTTGTTATGCATCGAAAATGTAGTGCATGCATTAAGAATATATATGGGATTGGAAAAAAAGAGAGTCTATACTTTTACTCCAGCAAAAGAAACAATATATGTTAAGGCAGCAGTAATAATATTATCAATGTTTCTTAGACACAATAAATTAGACCATTTGTTGTTGGAGCAATATTGAGAGATGTTACTCTAACAGAGGATAGTTTTAAATCCTTTTTGTCATTTCAAGATAAAATTCATCAAAATTATGCTAGAAAAAGAACTTTAGTTTCCATCGGAACTCATGATTTAGACAAAATAGAAGGACCTTTCTTTTACGATGCCAAAGCACCTTATGATATTGTATTCTAAGCACTCAAACAGACTGAACAGATGAATTGCATTGATTTGTTTAACAAATTAAGAGTAATTATAATCCTTATCTAAAATAGGAAGATTAATACTTAAAAGGGTATTTGAAGATAATTGAAAATTCTCCTGTGTATCCTGTCATTTATGATAATTAAAAGAGGGTTTGCTCATTGCCACCAATTATTAATGGAGAGCATTCCAAAATGTCAGCAGAAACAAGAAATATATTAATTGAAGTCACAGCAATAGATGAGTAAAGAGCTTTACACACTTTAAATTGTTTGATTAGTGGATTCGCTATTTACAATCAAAAATTAAATATTGAAAAAGTCAATATTGTTTATGAATTAAGTTAGAAACAAGTTGTTACACCTATTGTTGATGAAAGAACCTTAACAACCAATATTTAATATATTAATAAAATTTTGGGAATAAATATAAGTACTTAGAATAATGATAATATTAGCAACTCAATAGGCATGTGATTTGTTGTTAACTATGGGAATAGATAGTGTAGCAAAAGATGAAAATATTTTGGATTGCTAAGTGCCCTTCTATAGAAGTGATATCCTTTAATAGTGCGACATTGCTGAAGAAATAGGAATTGCTTATGATTACAATAAAATAGAGTTTAAAGTACCTGAAACTGCAACAACTGGATCAGAATATAGGTTAAATAAATTATCAGATATGGTGAGAGAAGAAGTTGCTCTATGTGGTTTTGTAGAATGTTTGAATTTCGTATTGATGTCAATTGATGAATAAACTAAGATGTTAAATAGACCAAATCTGTAAAATTATGTGTCTCTCAACAATTCTAAAACTCCATAATTTTAATCTGTGAGGTCAACCCTCATTCCAGGAATATTGCACACTTTATAAGCAAATTCAGATAGCAAATTACCAATCAAGTTATTTGAGGTTTCAGATGTTTGTGTTAAAGGGTTGAAATCAGAGAAGGATGGATTCTAAAAGGGAGAAGGATAGGTAGGAGCTCACAATTAAAGAAATTTAGTTGCCATCCATTCAAGCAGTAAGAAAACAGAGTTAGAGATCTTACATGGTTTGTTAGATTAATTAATGATAAAACTAAGAGTCAAAAAGACAGATTATCACTTGAAATAATCAAATGGTAAAATTTAGTTTGAATTTAGATCCTTTGTTCTTCCATTAATTGTAGGCCTAAATCATTTATAAAGATCAACCAATCGGAGGTTTGGGAGTAGTTCATCCAGAAGTACTAGAAAGATTTGATTGGAAATATCCTGTTACATTATTAGAAATGAACATTCAGGTGATTTTGAATGATTTCTGAAATATTATGATAAATCCAATAAATTAGAAATAATATCAGATACTTTCATCCATATTTTTGAATGAAGAATTACAGCACTTGTTGATAGATTTGTTCAATCTGATTGACCTAAGTTTTTCCTTAATATTTCTCCTTTTGTTTTCATTAAATTGATTGTGACAATGTTTCTTCAAATCTTCTAAAACAGCAATTACATTAAATTTTGGAAAGTATAACTCATAGTTTTTCATTTTATCAATGTCGATTTCTGGGGCATACAATATAGTTCCATTTGTTTACAATTATCCTTAGAATTGATTTTTATCATTCTCATTCTCTACATAATAATTGCCATTTGCAATTTTCACAGAAGGATGGTTATGCTATTATTAATGGTTACCCTTTAGAGGCATATTGGTATCTGTTCTTACTACCGAAGTTCTTAAATTATTTTGAGTGTAAGGACTTGATCCTTATTTTATTGTATTGTTGGTGAGATTGTATTAATTGAAAGTTGCATTAGACTAAGAATAATCTCGAGGATCAAATTCATTTTCAGTATTACGTTAATATGAAACATAAGGGTTCTGTAATGTTCCATTTGAATCATCATCTTAATTTTAATTTCTCAAAATATTAACATTTTAGCCTAACCCAGTTTTAAGCTTCTGATTCATAAAACTTGTTCTCATTTTCTCAAATTAAGAAGACACTTTTTTTGGGGCAATAGAATGAGTATCTGGTTAGTGAGAATCTTAAGACTAGCTATCCTAAGATTAGTTGGATTTTTCATGAAATACTTCCTAAATATCAAAACCTAGTTAAACGAGATATGATTCATTTAATTAGCTAAAATATTTATGTAGATATTTACTCTTCATTTAAGTATCCAAAATTAATAATAAAATCAATGCCTTAATTTAAGATATTCTGATGATCAGACAAATTGGATTTTCTTTTAACTTATCTTAATCTATCATACTTAAGTCTTTGTTGATTTTGACTCGCATTTGCATTTCTAGCTATTTTATAAATATTGGTTTGATAAAATACAAAAGGACAATCCTTATATCTATGAGTCCATTTGCACACATCACAAGTTCTGCCATATGTTTTTTAGTATGTTAACTTTTCCCTTAATTAATGGAACAATTAGCGACAATCTTCATCTTCAGAAATAACTTGTAAAAAATCATTTCTTTCAATGTAAACAATAGATAAAAAGGTCTGGGATTTGAAATAAAATTGATAAGACGAATTAATAATAAACTCTAATTCTCCTATGATATCTCCTCTTTAATAATTTCTTTGCATCATAGCAGAGTTGACCTCTTTCTCATTCTTTTAGAGAGCATCAAATCCTTTAGAAATGAAGTAACTGTTAACTTGGCCATCCAAAATAAATATTAATTTATTAGCTGGATCATAGACATTAACGATTTCATAGCCAGGAGCAAAAGTAGCCTATTTGATTCTTTGACATAAATTATTAATGAGGTTTTCTGGAACATTCTCCTTTAAGAATTTAGATTTCATTAAAATTGGTTTATAAATGTCAATTAATACTTCTTATTTTAGCGACCCACTCAATTTATTTAAAACAGAGTCGTCTTACTCTTGCAATTATTCATCTATTTGATGTTTAAACTCAAAGTATTTTCTAACCTTCAAGGACAGTTATAAATTTAATTGCTTCTACTTAATATATTGATTGACTTTTTTCATCGATTTTTTCAATAAAGCCTTTTTCTCCCCTAAAGTTTTTAAGATTTCTCCAATCATGGAAATGATATAACCGAAAACACCACACAACACCATAGCCACCACAACTACATAAAGTCTTTCAATCGAAGTTTAAGGTACAATATCTCCATAACCAACAGTCAAAGTTGTTATAACGCTCCAATATAAGGATACTATGTATCTATCATACCATTCCTGATGATAATGGCCGTAATAAATGAGCCAACTGTTTTCATCTTGATACACTTCATATTCGATTCTTCCCAATAGGTGCCAGCCACAACTACACATGTGAGCGACTAAAACCAAAAAATATACTAGTTTTCCTAATTCGATCACTGCCTGAACTTCTTCTTTAGCATTCAACAAATCTTCTACATTCTGTATCATTGATCTCACTCTTGCTATACGCAATAGCAATATAAATTGAATGTAAGGGATGTTAAATTAGGCCAAAATAAAGGGTATTGCTATTAGCAGATCCCAAATAAAGTTGTTTGAAATGTAATGAAAAAATATATCGCTACGATTGGTGTGAATGATTCCTTGACTGTAAAAGGCAGTGTTAAAGTTGAGAAGAATTTCAACAATAAATATATAACTTGGAATGGTTTCGAATAATAGGGTTGAAATTTGGCTTGATTTATCCAGTTCAAAACTTAGACTCATCGGAATATAAAATATATTGATAACGATGAAACACACTACTACTGTGTCCCAAAAAATCTTAAATGTACTTTCAGGATATATTATCCCTATTTTATTTAAATATTGGCTGATAAAATTCCAGAATGAAAGAGTTTAGAAAATTATCTTATTAAATATTTGACATATTAAACCATTTAATATGTATTTTTGATTGCCTTATTTGAAATTTTCAAAATCACCGCTTTTATCGCCCAATTTAAGGAATATCTCTTAATTCATCAACTTAATCTTTAGTTTATCTGCTTTAGTTTTGAGTTAATATATGAATCTAGCAACATATTTTATAATTTTCAATCCTCCCTTCTTCCAAGTTTTATTCAAACTCTCAATTAAAAAAAATACTTTACCTTTCATTGAAATGCATGCTGGATTACATATAAAACCCATCTTCGTTTTACAAAATCTAGTCATTCCTAGGAGATAGTACTTTAACGGTTGGAATCATAGAACTTCTAGATTAAATCAACTCAATAAAGTTTATATTTCTGCTGTTTTCATACAATGAAATTAATTACTTTTCTTGGCTTAAATTATCACCTTAATCGGCTAGGGATTGCTGTTTATTTATCTTATGTAAATTCGATTCATTTTCAGAACCAAATATTTATCTTTTAGTACTGATTAGAGTATAAGGGTCGCTTTCAAAATTTTAAGACGAAATCATATTGAGAATGAATGAGAATATAACAAGCAATAATTAATATTGAAAAATGAAATATAAAATTTAAATTATATTTAATAAATATGGAAATTGAAAAATGGAAAACCCAATGCAGGTACCTTTAGAATGAATTGGATTCAATGAAATAACAACTATCAGATGCCAAAGACTTAATAAGATTAAATAAGGAATAATTGAAAATCTGTTATAATCCATAATCATTTGATTAGAGTAGCGAATGTAAGGCTGCATTGGTGTTGCTAAAATACGTCTAAGAAGAAAACGAAGTCTTATTGAAAAAGATTGATCAATTAAGTGATGAAAGAAACCTAGCATTCGATAAAGTAAAACCAGTATTTAATGCGCATCTAGGCCTTTATTTCTGACCAAATCAACGAATCGAATCAAAGAATGGAATCGTCGCTGATTACTAGTCTCAATAAAACAATTACCGAATTAAAAAAGAAATTAAACGAATAGGTGTAGATGTCAAATGAAATGATGGGAACAATCTATTTAGAAAAACATGTACTTTCGAAAATTATATACTTTAGTTGACCCAACCAGATTAGTTGACTTTAAATTTTAATAATGTTATTTAATAAATGAATTCAATGCTATTAAAATAGAAATTACAAATGGAGGAGTTAGTTGAATAAAAAAACGATTTAGCATAACTTAATTTTAGTTTATCCAACGAAATTTTGAAAATTAGAACTCAAAGATTCACTCCCCGTAATCAAACTAAAACATTCTGTATTTATTGAAAATATCTTTAATATAGTTAGCCAGCATGAAGATCCATCGAAATTCATTAATAATTTAGTACAATGTAAGAATTCATCCCTATTATTTAGTATAAAAGAGATTATTTTTTGATGATGATTCGCAAGATGAAAAAATGCACATGCAATAATCGGCTGTCTTTTCTCCTCTTTTCTCCCCGTCATTACCGCAAAAAGTAAAACGATAGTAAAAGTAACAAATACCAAAAGACTTCAAGCAAGAACCAGAAAAATACATACCAAAACTTGACTTAACTAAAGCTTAGCAAATCTAATAATTCAATATCAAAAGAATGCAGCTACTAGCTAATAAATTGGCAAATGAAGGCGTTGAATAGAAAATTTTTATGTAATTGTGCAAATCTATATGTCTAGGTTATAAGATGAATTGTTAAGAACTAAAAATAAGTATCATGCATAATTAGTGTTGAATTAACAGCTGGATTTATAATTGACGGAGTTGAACCTTTAAATTATGGAATTGTAAAATGTTAATGAAACATTGATCAAATCAAACCAAATATACGAAGAAAAATGGTCAAGCATCTTCTAATAGTTTTCATTCTATAAGGAGTTCTATCTAAAACACAAAGATTAGATTTAGCATAACTTATAATCATATGCTACTTCAGATGATCAACAATAGTTCAGTGTATTTGAGTTTGAAAAAGCATTGAACTCCTCTAAGATTTACAAAAAGAATACCACTCAAAAGAATCCCTCAAACAATAATCCTGCTCTTAGTATCATCAACTATTAGGATGATACTATTCAATAATCATCTTATAGGCTTCCGACTGACAGGTAAGAAGAAGCAAATAAATTCTTAACTTAATAGTATAAATGTTGTTTAATGATGATGGCAAAAGAAGTTATCTCTTTGGATTGCCAACATGTTAAGCCTGTTTAGACTGAACACAATAAAGTGAAAATAAAAAGAAGCTACAGCAACACTATTGAGTATTTTCCTGTTTTCTGATACCCCATAAGTTTATGTGTCTTATCATAGTTCTACCCAATTAATTCAAAAAGATATAAAATTAAAGTATTATTATTATTGCAATTTATTAATGACCGATTAAGAGCCACACATACTATGCTTTAATATCAAGGCTACCAAAGAATAAGCGATTAGCATATCTGTTCTCTACACCATTACTTTGAGTTTATTTTTTGGATCACTATTTGTTTTTCTTTGGACTCAAAGAACTAACATTATACTGAAGGAGAGGAGCTGTTACATTCTAATTATACAAGCGATCACTACATACGGATTTGTAGTTTTATATCCGATGGCTGTGCTATCTTCATAAAATTATGTATATGATGACATCAGCTTTTATACAATAATATTGTATTATTTAAAATGTTATAAGTTTTATAGCTTAATTTAAATACATTCCAATTTTATGCTATTTGTTGAGGGCCTGCAGATTTTTTTATGCTTTTCAAAGGCCATGGAAACTATTTAAGCTTTAGGGACTTAATTTTATAATAGCAATGGCTATCTGTTGTATTTCAATAGGATTACTTGAAGCATACACACAATTCGACCAAAACATATTCCAATAGAATGACTCTGAATACAACATCTAAAGAATTATGCCGAGAATGGCATTTGTGTATATCTCACAACTCATCTTGATTCTTGCAATATTTTTCATGAGAAAAGTTAATGTAAGATATACAGAATTATATTTTAGAAATTTCAATAGTTCGATTATTGGATAGCATTTGCAATTGAACTAATTCAGTTCCTAATTAAAATAGTGTTGAGGAATAAGTTTAACTTTATTGATTGCAGTCCATCTCACAAAATTCCATTGTATTACTACATTGATTGCTTCAAATTGTCTTTGATGTTATTGTGTTCAACAATCCTACCTTTGTTCTTTTAACATAAATCAATAACAGAATTACCCTTTGAAATGGAATGCTCAACTTTTAGATTGTTTCTAGCCTAACCGTAATTTATAGAACTATTTTATGAATACTTATGTTATTTTGATAGAACAAAAACCTAAAAATTAATTATGGAAGAATCTCAACACACATAAACAAACCTCAGAATCAATAATAATTACACAAGTCTATTTGAAAACGAGACTTAATTTAACATCCTCAAATCCTCATTATCAAAATGCTTCATTTCCTATATAAATTTTTCATTGTGGCTTGAGAAGGAATAAAACGAGTCTAATGCTGATAATGATAATGAACATTTATTGAGTTCTGAATTTCAATTTATTTAAGACCTCATCTCTGAATAGAATGTACCCAAAATGCCCTCCACTTAAAAATACAATAAGTAACTTGCTAATTAAGGTATAAATGATTCAGGCAGATTGGATTTCACTCAAGATCAAATCAATATCAATAAAGTTGAAAAAATTTGGTTGTACAAAGAGATTCTTTATGAAATTTTAAAAGAAGTGTTTGAACAACATTTCAAATACACTAATTCTTACTAGACATTGTATGAACATTGCGAAAGAAATAGAATAATATGGATCAGGCTAGGATAAATTGGATTGACTGGGAATAGTAATTGAGTTTCAAAGCTTGTTTGTCATTTTCATATATTATAATTGAAGTATTCGTAATATCATTTTCGTTTTTACATAAAACTCCTTGTGTGAGCTATCATATAAAACAATCTCCAATATTAATTAATATTAATTTTTGAATTTTCAGATTTTACTAAAAATTATTCTAATATATATGAATAGAGCTAGGCTTTTCCTCTTAACTTTAAAAACAAAATTGTTGTTCAATTTAGATTACCAAAGTTTCTAAACTGAAGAATTATTTTAGAATCCAAGCATTCCAATTATAAACAAAAAAAAAATTCAATTAAGATTTCAATTTTAAGTTAAATTACTGTAAAATAAGAATGCTTGAATAAACTGAGATAGATAAACAAAAAAAGTTTGAACACATAGGTAAGCTAATTTATTGTTGTTTTTTCTGTATGCTCTGTTATTCGTTTTAGATTGCAGGGAAGAACATAACATACAACATTTATAACTAAGTATGTGATTTTGAGAAAGAATTTTTTAGGCTAACTTAACTTTTATTTATCCAATGCAATTCGGAATCAGCCACTTTATCTCTCCATTTGCTCTACTTTTTGTGGATGCCATCATATCAAATTTCAGGATGGGTTTTGTAATTTATTTAGGAACCTTTAATGCATTTACATATTTATTAGGTGCATTAATGGTTGCATCTTGCACTGAAGATGAGTTTTTTTTTTGCAATGTACGACTTACGTATTAATTAGTCCTACACATTGACAATTACGATAGGAATTGAGACCTTTTTTGGAGGAATTGCCAATTGTATATTCTATGTTTCATATGCAGTGTATGCAAACTCATTAACTAATTCCTATAATAAATAGTTATACTTAGGAATAGCATATTCTATACTGTCAACTTGTTAAGTCTTAGGGAATACAATAGGTAATAGTTTTTTCATTTTAGGATTCTTTTTTTCTAGTAAGGTCTCCATTTTTCATTACTACTTGATTTTAGTTATAGCCATTCTGATTATCTAAGTCTTTTTGCTATTTGTAAAGGATATAAGACCGAAAAATGAACGAAAAAAAATAATATTTGGATAATTAATAAAGCAATAATTAAATTAACTCAGAATAGCATTTTCTTATCCTAAATTTTAATCCTTAATCCCATACACACTATTTTCCTCAATGGTACATAATAGTTACATCATGTTAGCTCTAAGGCTGTTATTTCAATGTACTTCCAGTGCTTTTAAAGGGAGTTTTGGGAAAAACGGATAACCAAAAATCATTTATTATGTTCTTCTTTGGAGGAGTAGGATCTCTATTAGGAGGCTTTGTAAGTGGAAGGATTGGACATTGGACTAGTTTATTTAATGTAGCATGGTTTCAAACATTCCTAGTTGGCCTATTTTGTGTTTAATCTTTCTTTTCTTATGCTGATAAGATTTTAATCATGACCTATTCAAGTGGATTCAATTTAGGATTATCATATTCAGGATTGGAAGCATTGCATGCAATGATGATTGCAAAGTTAATAAATAAGGAAAACTACTATTATGTTGCCAATAGTGCTGTTAGTGTAGAATTATAAATATTATAATTAGAGTCTAGCATCGACTATCTTATCCCTTGTGTTTATTTTTTTAAGTAAAACCACATTTATGTATTTCCTGTACTTTATGTTATTGTTGATTTTCTTAAATGTAGCATTTCTGGTGATTTCATAAAGGCGGTTCTCAAACATCAAACAAGTAAGCCTTATCAATACAGAATAATCAGATTCATAAACTAAGGAATGAGTGTTATTTGTATTATTATTGTGTCAAATTGGTTATAATTTGTAAATATATGAATTATAATTACTAAATTGTGAGATTCCATCTGATTATTTGTGAGTTTAAATGCCAAAACTAAAGTTCAGTATTATGAAAAAGAACGACTACTGATATTTTATTAAATTTAAAAGAACATTCCTTAATAAAGAGGAAAATTTTATTAGTTATCTAGTCAAAGATAAATAATTATTTATTTTAATTTAGTTGAATCATTTATTCATAATTTATATTATATTAATAATCATTAATCAATAGAAAAATGTTAATTAGTTTAGAATCTGCTAGAATTCTAATTAGTATTTGATTGATTCGCAAATTTTTGTTTTGTTTCATACAATGGATTAAAAGGCTTCAATATTGAAAGGGAGGTTTTCAATAACTAAAATATACTTTTATTAATACCTTTCGTTTGGAAAACAAGGAACAAGTAAACCCTAACTTCATTATAAATCTTTATAAGTGACTACATACAATATTAAAACCACATTGTTTATGAGCAGCAAACACCTTTTGGTAGAACCCTTTAAACTCCTGGAAAGTGATTTAATCTTTCGGATTCTTTTTGTAGAATCGTTTTAACATATCTTAAACTGCAGCAGCTCCTTTAGTTTTTTAATTATTCATGCTATTGTGGAGTTTTTTCATAAAATTGTCTGATTAGAGATCATTTTATTTGAATTATTCTAAAGATTAACCTCCATTCTCATTGGCCATTATTTATTTTGCTAATTCTTCATATCCTAAATCTTCTTCTTCAGGTTTGATTAATCCCTCCATCTTTAACGCCTATTCTTACTATAATAACAGCTATTTTTCTAGTTCTCCCTTGGATTTCATTAAAATTGAACTTTTTTCTGAGTTTCCCTGATCATGTATATCTAGAGAATTCCTTTGAGTTAATTAACCAACTTTACTATCTAAACTTGTTTTTGTCTAAGGAGGTTCAAATTAATTAAATTCTTATGGGCCATTTATCTTTTATTTTCCTTAAGAATCAAGTGATCTTTAATTTCTAAGTTGTTGTTATCTAAAAGATTCTTATGATAGTCGAGAACTCCTTGGGGAAGCGACCTCGAACTACCTAAAATACTCTGAACCTTCATTTGCAGTCTAATATATAACTTAACTTTGATTCAAAGCTATTGCAACTGCTGTTTCCAATTTTTTAGGTAACTATTGAGCTATTGTTTATTTGATGTTCAAAGGAAGATCTAATTGAGTAATTGTGGTTTATAGTAATTACATTAATAGGTAGTTTTCAGTTTAGGTCTCCTAATCAATGTGTCCTAAATATAATTTAATAATATTTACTTTAATGCCAATAAGTAGTGAATTATTGTTAATCTTCATCATTCAATTTGATAATCATTTAGAGTTATTACGGTACGGATGTACTTGACCTTTTGATAGCAGAACTACCATTAAATTTTAGTTATTCCTTTTTGTGCTTAAATTATTCATCTGCATCTTCAATGCTGTTCGATTATTTTAAGGTAAATTTATCTAAGCTTTATTAAGATGTTCGATTTGAAGGAATCTCCTCAACAGTTTCAATTACCTAAGCATCTACAGTCTTTTTTAGAGCCATATGTCTACTTTAAGATTTCTATTATCCTTTTTTTATATGTTCTTTTTAAGTGGTGCTTCTTGAAAACTTCACTTTAGCATTGCCATTCTCTGATTGACTATCTTCACTCTCTTAATAATATTCCTAACCTTCAGTTTGAATTCTCCTTCCAGTGGCATTCATTTTTTTATCCACTGATTTAATTCTCTTAGACTAATTCATGGGTTGTCCAGATGATGTCCTTTGTGTTTCAAGATTAGTGCCTGCTTATGTATCATCTTAATCCTTAATTGAATTTTAATTCTTAAAAAAATCTTTGGATGCAACTTCTAAAGTAGTTTATCTTCTTGTGACTTTATTAGAGAAGGCCTGCTTTTTAATTTTTTATTTTTTCAATTCAGCAGATTAATTTAGGGTAGAATCCTCTTCTTCTATTTTAAGAATGGATTTCTATTTTTTTTTCTTTGGATTGAAATTCGTTTAACTCAATTGTAGTGATAATTTAACTGACCTTTCTGAATTAGACTTGGGACTATCTGTTTGTCTAGTTTCCAATAAGGTTTGATTTTTAGATTTAACTTTTTAATTTGCTTTGACAGTATTTGAATGAGTTGGAGATCTCTCGAATCCCATGTCATCCAATCTTTCTCTATTTGAAATTTCACTAGTTTTATACATCTATTATGAAGAATCCAATCTCTAATCAATAGAATAGCCATCTTCATTAAATTAATTGTCAAATTCATAGACAGATTTATATCTACTGGTTAGTCTAGGTGAACCATTTTGTGAGTTTTGAATGTTTTAATCATCACTTTTATCTTGAAACTCTGTATTTTAGTATTTTAATTCTCTCCCTGAATTTGGAGTTATTTTATTTAATTCACCTTTGAGTTGATACACTTTTTATTAGAATTGCTGATTATCTTTTTATAATTTTGAAATTAAATTTTGCTATCCAATATCAGAACATTGTGTAGTTTAATCTTGAAAGCTCTTGGAATTCAAAGAAGATAATTGCTTTTCTAATTTCTTAAATTCATAATTTAATTGTGCTTTATCCTATTCTGACTTACTAACATTTAACTTCATTGACTCTAGTTCTAAGGCTGTTTAAATGTACTAATTTTCTGTTTGTCTAACCTTATTCTATAATTCAAATATTTCTTAAATCTTCTTGTCCACTTCCATTTTCTTTTCAATCAATTCCTATCTAATTTTTTCACTTACCTGAGATTCATCCGCCGAACTTTAATTACCTCTCTTAGATGAACTTAATTTATCTTTTTTATGTTGAGGCTACTAAACTTATAATGTTCTGCTTTTCAATAATTCATCCTATTTTTATTTCTGTTACACTTATTAAAACAATTTAGCAACAATCTTAAACGTTTCCGATTATATGTCCTTATAATTATGGGTAACATGATGAATGAATTCCTCCAACACATCCCTTGCCCCTTAAGGTTCCTACTTAGAAGCCTCAACCATCAATTAATCCATTTCTGTTGACTTAGTGTAAATAGTCTTATAGATCTATTTTAATTTTTCAGTTGCTGATGATTCACCCATTTGAGTAAACTCGTGTTTCTCTTGCATCACTTTCTGTATCTCCTCTATGTTCTTTTAGTTGTCCTTGATTATTTCTGATAATTTAATCTCTAGGTAATCCTTATTGAATCCTCTTATTGCTTCTTGAATATCCAAATTAGTATCTGTCCCTTCACTTAACATTATTGTTATTTTTGGATCGTAACGTTTCATTACTATTTGCATATTCAGTTTATTGCTCTATTTTAAGACTTCCTATAAAATGTCTCTTTAATTATCATCAATCTCATAGTTCATTTTATGCTTGTATTCAGTTTAAGGTTATCCAGAAATAGAAGGCAATCCTGTCTGTTAACTACTCATCTATCTCATCATGTTTTTATTCTAAGGAGTCTGGTAACTTGATACTCGCACACCTCCAAATTACCCTATTTCTCCAATGCCATCCTTCATTTATTTTTTGGTCTACGATATTAACTCTGCCTTTTATTGATAGTCACTTGGCTCATTGTCAAACTCATTAACCATTTTACTATTATAAACAGCCTTGTATAATTCTTTCCATACTGATGATAACTTATTCACGATATGACTAAATTCATTCAAATCTCTTGATTACAATTGAAACCCTATTTCATTAGCTGCAGCATCCAAATTATTCGCCACTGTTTACAAATTCGCTAAAGTGCCCTACTTAACTATTGATTTATTCAACCCTTATAAATATTACTGCAGTTTCTGTAAACTCTAATGCTCTGCTTAACTCTATTGAATTGATAACATTTTGGTGTTAAATGTATTGTTTAATATATAAAATACAAAAATAATAATTAACTCAAAGTAATTAGTAACAATTATTTATAATATTTCTTAAAAATGCTGGATTTATAATTAATTAATTTTATTAAATGCAAAAGTTTATCTTAATTTAATCTATAATTTATTCAGAAGTTTTACAACAAGCAATTATAAAATAAATATAGTGATGCAGTTGATATTTGATTCATATATATATTTTATTATTTGGGATTTCTTAATTTTTCATATTATGAATTGTTAAGTTTCAATTTTCATATGTTTTTTCTATTTTTAATATAAATTTGACTCTAAAATATTCAATCATTAAATCATTATATCAAAGATATATATCTCTAACTTAAGTGGATATCTATGATTTGTCACAAGTTAAGTATTTAAGAAATAACATTTGATTTATAATAAAATAATAAATTCTAAATAATTTGTGCAAAGAAATTGATATTGTAATCATTATGCAATAATAATTATAAGGTATACTATTGATAGAATGGGACTAAAGAACTATTCGATTGTGATGTCAACACTAAGATCTGGGATTTGTTTTTTTCCTTTTTTGCATTAGCCAATTAATGATTCGTAATAGCATTCATCAATTCTGCTGTTGCACTCATCTGCTTCAATGATTTTGACACATTCCTTAACACAACCCTCTAAGGTTTCATTGTTTTCTTTGATTTAAGTACTCCAATAGCAACGATCTGAGGCTTAAGAGCATTATTCCTTAGATAAAAATGAAGAACAAGGAATGGACTAACACCTTCCATTAATGAAAGTGCAAACATTGGTTTATTTATTGCAGAAGCATCTCTCAGTTATCTATTCGCATTGTCTACAAATTAATTCACTAGTCAAAACACAAGAATAGCCATTCATTTCATTACCTTGACATATGGTGGTTGAGGGTCCATATAACCTAGAATATAATAATAATTAAAAATTACTCGCATGGTTAATTTGTACAAATTTCTGTTTCATCTAATAGTGCGAACTTCTACCAATTACATTTGAATCCATTGAATGTCAACTTGTTACAAATACTTAAAGCTTAATCTCCAAAATCCTTTTGGGAAATGTGTGAACATGATTACAATTATTAACATTGCTTATTGATATCTAAATAGCATCCCTCTGTTTATTAGCATTCATCAGCCTTGATATCTGTACAGACCTTCTTTCTGCAAATTCCAAACTCATAAAAGCAGTTCGAATTGGAACAATCTGAATAAGGACAGAACAATTCAAAGTTATTAGAGGATATACATTATTCATGTCCTTAAATACAAGGAACTTAATTGATAAATATTGATTAACAAGGTTGACTTGCATCGATGATATCTTCACATATTTTAGCAGGAGAACATCCATTAGAATCATTTAAATAGCAAGTCTTGTCATCTAATGTGCCTTTGCATTGTTCCTTATTTAAATGATAACACTGTTTCTTAATACATTAATTTTTGGAATAAACACAATTAGGATTATTAGCACAATCCTTTGGGCTCTCTATTTAACAATATTCTTTTTCTTGATCAGTTTTGCATTTACAATCTAGGTTATCAGAGTTCCATTGACATAAATTATTCTCAATGCAGATATTTTTATTTATTCCTTCTACATTGCATAAATCTACACTAAGTAAAGGACTTTGACATTTTTTGTTGATAGCATCATACATACAATTCTGATCTTACAAGGATGCACAAGTCTTAGCATTGACTTGTGAAATAGTCATACAAGGAGAGGTCGTGTCTGTAAATAGCTAACATTTATTTTCCTTAAAAATGCATGGTTCAGTTAAGACTTCTGTGCATCCTAATAAATTTAACCCAACTGTATCACATTTCAAAGTATAAGGATTAAATTTACTTGTACATTAATTAGTTTTGATGTTATAAATACAGGCCTTGTCATTGATACTTTAACAAGCAAGAGAATTTACTTATAATGTTTAATCACAGTTAATATTAGATGTCAATTCCTCACATGTGGTCTCATTCCAAAAAGTATTCATTTCAGTATTTCTCAGACATGCCAATTTGGAAATCCCAGTTTCTAAACTATTTGCAGTTGAATCTTTGCAACTGCTGGTGGTGGAATCGTAAGTGCAAGCAAATAGAGTTTGAATTTGACAAACAAAAGGAGAGACTTCATTAAAATCAGAGCATTTCCTCTGATTAGCAATTTAGTATTCACTACAGGAATTAGAGGTTGAATTCCAATAACATCCTTGATTTGGAATAGAGAGACAAGTTTTTTTACTGATGCCTTATGATAAACAACCAATAGTGTCTAAACTCACACCAACACAGGAATTCTACAAATAAATACTATTGACACTGTTTTATATGCAAACGTTGATGTTCACATTAGTCATCAATTAGTAATCAGATTTCCAAATCATACATTTGCCTTACCAAATACAATATTAATTTGGAGTCCTGATACCTAAACAACCCCAGACATTCAGAGTGTTTGTACACAATTAGCTATCAAAAGAAGTGAGTGTCTAACAACTACTAATCCAAATACATGCTTAATCCTATTTGCGAGAGTTTATGCAATCTTCCTTCGTTTACAAATTTTCACATACGCTTGTAAGGAGAGGCGATTGATATTCCTAAGTTTATTTTTTGATTAGATTAGATATCAATTCATAATCTGCCAATTGATCCTTGATTCCTTAAGATGGGGAGCACTTCCCAAATTAACTATTATAATAGCAGGGATCTTTGGCATTAGTATAACAAGCTGGAGAATTAATATCTGAAGGCAAATCTTTGCAAAACAGTTTATCTACTATTTGCTTAAAGTCTTAGCATGAATTATTAAGCCATTAGCAACTAATTTCATTACTCTACAGACAAGCAGATTTGTTGAGAAACCTGGTGCATTCAATTTACACTTTATTTACACACGTATTTTTATCCCATGAGCAAATAGATTAGGATAACTCACAAGCTTTCTTATTATAATAATTTTCACATGTTGTTGGTGTTACTTCCAATTTGGTACAAGTTTATGTAAGGTCATTAAAAAAACATGGTTCTGCTTCTACAGCCTTGCATCCCAAATTGCCATTAAGATGGCTTGCAGAACTGCAATTTGTAAGTGATACATTAGAACAAGTTTTAGTAGTTGAATTCCAAGAACAAAATTGATTCATTGTCTTAACCTATTAACAAGCATAAGAGTTTAGTATATCTGAACAAGTAACCAAATATAAATTTGCATTCTCACAATATCCTCCTCCACTTGGATTTACTTACCAAACACATGGGATTGTTGTTAAGTTGATGCAGGAATTTTTATTGAGTCCATATTAATTACAGCTGCTTAATTCTACTATGTTTGATATTTCTGCACATCCATTTTTATTCTAGTTTAAACTACAGGTTTTACTGGTTTGTCCTGAACACAAACTTAATGATGCTAAATCGTATCCACTTGTTATAGAACAATCAGCTGAAGCCAATGTTACTGGCTTACATGATTTACTAGTAGTATCCCATTTGCATTGTAAATTTGATAATCTAATGTCCCTACAGGCTCTTTTATTTAAGTCATCACATAATGTCGTTTATTTATTTTCAAATTCAAGAACATGAGAACATTTTAAGTTACTCCATTTGCAATGAAGTTCCTTAGTCACATCACTCAAACATGCCTCCTTAGATAGGTTTGAACAACTTATCTGATAATCAGTACTCACTAATTATTGGCAAGTATTAATGTTGTATTTCCATAATCCTGATTATTAGGTACATCCATACTTATTAAGTGAGCTACCTGATGCTAAACATGATGTTCCATCAAAGTAACATGTCTATTTAACCTTGTTGCATTCCTTTAATGTTGTACCTTGACAAACAGTTCCCTGATATTCAGCTGTAAATTTGCATTTATGATCAGAATGAGAATACATGCATTCATTGTTGCTAATTCCTAGACATGCATTATAATTTAATTAAAATGTTATTAATTATGAACATTAAGTTATAGTATTATCTACAGAAATACATTATCCATCCCAATAGCATTTCAGATTAGAATTTAAATGACTTAGATTTTCAGTACAAAGAAATTCTGGCAATTTCTCACAAGTGAGACTGGAAAAATTGGAATCCAAATAACAAAATCCTCGACCACTCTTTGTATATCCATGGGTACAATTTTTATAGTTGTAGCAAACTTGATAAGAGTGATATCCATCTAACGAGGGGCAAAGAGAACCTCCAGAATTCATATCGAAACAAATGTTATTATCTGAATCATATGAGCATTTGTGCTATTTATTTTAAGCTGTACATAGTTGTATTGTTGATAAATCTGAGCAACTGTTTACACTATATGGCTGCATTATTGATTGGCAATTTGAATTAAAATAAATACATTATGGGTATTGCAAACAAAATAGATAGTTTGTTTTTTCAAAACTATCACACTAATAGGAAGTATTTGGCAAAGAAAAGCATGAGCCATTTTTTAAAACACATTTTTAATTGTTTGAGTTATTACTTTCACAGTTTAATGGAGTATCTTGGCAGAGAATATCAGAAGAAAATTAACATTTGTTGTTAAAATACTAACAAAATTAAGTAGGTAAGTTTAAACAGCCAAAGCCATTTAATCCATCGGAGTCACATGAATATAAATCATATTAGGTGACATCATCTATTTTCTAACAGATAGATCCTTGCTTGATGTAGAAATTTTGTTCTAAAATAGCAGAACAATATAGACTATTAAGAGTAGTTGGTAGATTATTAGGTTAAATTTCTTCACATACTGAATCTGCATTTAAGTTACAATGATGTGTCGATCGACAACTAAAACTATTTAGTAATGAACAATTTGATGTTGATGTAATTTGATATTCAGGTATGTACTAACATTTATAATTGATGAATGCACATCTTCGATTGAGAGTCTAAAATATACAAGATTTAAGTGATAAGCCATTAGTATCGCACTCTTAATTGGTATCTGGAGGAGCCTAACAACCACTTGATGAATTAAACAAACAATTATCAATTGCAAAAGCACATATATTTGGATTGGTTCCAGCCATACTTTTCAAAGTAGCACAATCTGATTATAAAGAAACTGTTGAGCACTTCTTGTTAATAATAATATTTGATGAATCTGTAGTATTTATTACTTAACAAAATTATCCAGGAGTAGTTACTTTAGTACAAGCTGCTAAATTGGCTTACTTACATTGTATAGTATTCAATAAGATGTTTGTATCCATTTTTGATTGTGTCAAAGTTCTACATACTTAATTGATGAATGCACACATCGTAACTGGGTTGTTTGATGAATCTATACCAGTCATTCCACCGCATCTATGGATGTTCATTTACTCCGATTCACCACAATCACTCAAAGTGGTCGTCAGAATTGAACAAGTATTGCTTGTATAGGTGCAATAATTTTCTTTCATGAATTGTCTACTCATATTTGCTATCAAAGCTTTGCACACTCGACTTGGTGCAGTCGCATATTCATCACAATTATTAAAGTTTTCAGAATAGTTCCTACATCTGTTTAGATTTGAATCCCAAAAGCAATTTTATCCTTTTGTTGTAATGCTTACACAAGCCAATTGGCTTACAAAATTTGATTCACATTCTAGAGTTGAAAGCAATAAGCTATCAGTTTATAAAAATTATACGCATTGATTAAATTTCACATCAAAATACGTATAGGCAGTCTAAATGGCTTAACAAGCATATCTATTGATGTTCTAATCAAATGCATATGAATTTTAGAAAGTGGGAGAGAAACAAGAGTGAGTGACAATATCGTAAATGCATAGGACTTGATAAATGGATTGCATTTTGCATACTTGATTATTAACCTTTTGAAGTGAGGTACAACGAATTGAATTGATTTACTCAACTGAAATTAATCTACACAATCCTGCTGAATATTAACAATACTCTCCATTCACACTCTTCTAAACGCATGCATCTTCAGATAACCCATTTCCAGAACATTCAATTTAACTCACTTGAACTGAACTCTTCTCAATGCAGGAATTAGTATCTTGATTGTAAACACATGTGAGAGTTGGGACAGATAATTTGGCTTTTTAACACAGCTTTTCATTTACATCTACCAAATCTAAGCAATTCTTTAACTTAACTTCTGATTCTGAGAAGCAATTGCAAATCTATAAATATTAATCCCAAGCACAATATCCAGATATATTTTTAATGCAATGGTATTTATTAATCTATTATAAATCGTTTGAGAAGTTGTCCTTTAAAAATGAACAAGTTCTTTGTTACTGATTATACTCAGTAGCAATTGCATTATGTTTGCATAAATTAATATTACACAAGGTCTTTGAATCTCCATCTATGAAAATGTCATGAGTAATTAGTAACGGTTAATCTAAGATATTAATGCATTTTCCTATGTCTTGTTACCAATAACATAATTAATCACTCAAACTTACCTTTGTACAAACAAACAAGTTAAATGCATCTTCGCATTTCATAATTAATATCTCATTACTTGTTAAAGTATAACATCTATTCAAATCTTTATTCCAATTGCATTCAATCTTTAACATCATACAAGTTGACTTACTTAAACCTATCTAATCGCATAAACTTGGTGGACCACAAACAATTTGTGATGAAATTGCCTTCTCCCCTAAATCTTTACAACTAGTTGGACAAGCAGTATTATTGTCAATCGCTAGACATGTATTAATACATTAATTTGACGATGTATCAATATAATAATTCAATTTATCCTAGCATTATGAACTTGTAAAAGCATCTGCTACTTATTAGCCAGGATATTCATCTATATTCACGCATGGATATTCATAATCTTTTCCTCTTAATTTACATTTCTGTTTTAAAGAATTAAAGTAAACACATTATGTGTAATTTATCGAGTGGCAATCTAATACATAAGCATCAATCTTATTTTAGTCATATAACTCCTTTTATTCATAGATTTAGCAACTTCCCTTCGAAAATACATATTGGTCAGTAATCGAAGGATTGTTATTCAAATATTTACAATATACATGATTCACTCCCCGCACCTCACCTGTTAGACTGAAAATGGTTGTGAAATCACTATCACTTTCAATTTCCAGTGCTATGCATCCTTCTCTGTACCTGTCACTCTTTTACACTATATTTTAAGTAAAAATAAGATACAATTAGATTGAGTTATTGATTTAGACTCTCTTATTGTATACCACTAAAATTTTCCATCACTCGTTTGATAATTATTTTACATAGACGTAGTGGCTGGATCATTATACGATTTGCTATTATCCACTTCAATACCCAATTCCATTTTATATAAATTATCAGCCTCGGTTAACAAATCTGGCGAATATGAGATTAAGTTCCAAAGAATTGTATGATGCATAACCAAGTAATTCTAAACATGTGGACAAGCAGATGCACTGTACAAAACTGATTCAAAGTCATCTTAAATTTGATTCCATTAAGAAGCACGCAAACTTGTACACTCATCATCTTTCCAAATACATACGAACTCAGGATTTTAAACAGATAAACATCCGGATTTCGATAAACTGTTGAAACACTTTTCAGTCTTTAAGTCTGGGATCTCCTCACAAACAGAAGTGAAACGACCTTTATTTAATGTTATTCTTACATTTTGCTAATTCCCCAAAAACATCACCAATCTATCTGAGACAGGCCTTCTTATTTAATAATTAGCTGCATCCCTGTAAATAATCATTGGTTTTATAGCAAAGATGTCTGATTGTATCCCACATACACTTATCAGAATCCCCACCTATGCATTATTGATAAGTTTGATATTGTTTGCATAAATCTAGTCCGAAACTTGCACTGAAAAAAGCTAAAATCAAAAATGAGATTTTCAAGGAAATCATTGATATTAATATATTTTTTCATTTTCAATTATTTACCTATTTCTTACAAATTCGCAAATCATAATTTAAATCTTTTTTTTTTAAGGAACATATAGCTTAGTAAATTTGAATTTGAAAAATGAATAAAAATTGGGTCTTAATTTTATATTTGATGATCAAATTCAAATGCAAATAATATTCAATACTTTCTATTTTAAGAAATCCTCTAGTAAGAGAATCCCGACGTAGTTTCAACTGATTGAACTGTCTAAATGTTTGTAACTTCAGTATTTTATCTATACTAATTTACTAACTATTGTTGAACTTGCTTCTCGTTGTTACTTCTTAAGACATCCAATTCTGCTGACATCATTGCAACCAAACACAATAAATCAGTAATTTTGTTAGACAAGTCCTCATTTGATTGGAACATTGAACTATTGTATTAAATGTTAATATTATTATTACTACCAAAATTACCTGATTGCCCATTTTTATCCAGAATATTTGTTTTCGCTTTTAATCTCTAAATTTCAAGTGAAAGCATTGCTATCTTATTTTCATATTCAATTATCAATTTCTTCAATCTCTCATACTCATCCAAATCTATTCCTAACGTTTTATTTTATAATTCAGTATATTTAACAGTCATTTCTTTTACTTGGGTGGTCAATTAATTGAATTTCTCTTACATTGGCTATAGAATCCCTGACAACCTTTCGTTTTCAGCTGCAATCAAAAGATACTAAAGCAAAATCTCATCTCCAGTGTCAGCTTTCTTTAAGGCATCTTAAACCTAGTTCATTAAAGTCTGTTGTTAGGACTCCAAGAGCTCGCATCTTTCAATAGTTTACAATAATTCAATATGTTTTGCTTCCAATAGTTTCTTTAATCTCTCTATTTCATTTATAAATTATTGATTCTTATTCACAGCGTCTCGATTAGTCTTCTCAATTTATCTATACTCCAAAAGAGCCAATTCTATTCTAGAATGCTTCTATTTCCAATCTTCAGTTTCAGATGTTATTTGTTTCACCAAAGAATTTAATCTCTCTATTTCAGTCATTAACACTGCTATTCTATGATCCGATTACTTAAGTCTCTCCTCCATATTCGAATATTCATTAAACTTTAATTCTAATTATCTGATCTTTTCCTTATAATCCTCAGCTATTCTCCTTAATTTAGTCAATTCTTCCTGATTTCCATTAGTTACTGCTTATTATTCTTGCAATGTTTATTACAGATTATTATTCTAATCCTACAATTAATTATTAGATTCCTCTAAATTTTAAACTTCTCTAACCAACTAAGAGATCTCATTTTCTTTCTAAGCTAATTCATCTTATTATTATGCAATAACAGAATTTGCTCTATCTAATTCTGATTTAGCTTATGCAAGTTCATCTTACAAATCTCTCATTTGATCAAGATTGTTTTTCAGTTTTCCTAATTCCTTTTGTTATTAATCATATTAGTTTTTCATTTGATCTAACAACCCTCTTAATCTTTCTAATTCTCTATCAGCCAATTGCTTTTATCCAGCTTCTCTATTTAATTGTTGATTGTCTTTCTCAAACTTTTACAAATCGTCTTCCAAAGTGTCAATATAGTGATCCATTTCCAACAACTTAGCCTCCAAATCCTTTACTCTTTTTAAGGCATCTTCTAATTCCTTTTACTTTTAATCGAATAATCTCTGCTTTTCCTTTAGATTATTTTATAAATCTGAAACCTTGTCATTTAATTAATTTTTCTCATCTTGTAATTCATTGAGCTAATCTTTTATTTCATCTAGTTATCCTAAATTTTAAGTTTAATTTTCTAAATCTTATTATAAGTTATTATTTTCCTATGCTAATTCTTGATTCTACCTCCTTAAATCGTCTGATTGTTATTTCAAATTTTGATTTTCTTATTAAGATCTAGATAAATCAGTTTAAGCTTTTCTTAAGTCTCCTTACGCTTTCTACAGATCTCCTTATGCTCTCTAAAGATCTCCTTATGCTCTTTATAGATCATTCTTTGATCTTTGCAATTCATTATTCATTTATGCAAGTCTTGTTTCACTGTCTCTAAACAACAACTATAATTTATTAAGTTCATCATCTTTTGCCTTTAATAGCATTTTATATCTAGATAACTCTTAAGCCAAACCAACTACCTTTTCTTCTAATTCATCTATCTTTTGTTACAAGAGTCTGATTTAATCATCATATGAACCTTAATTCTATTGCAGTTCAGATAGAAGTCTCTATAACAGTAATATATTATATAAACCTTTAAATCTCCAATTTCTCTATCTTTTGATTACAATTATTTTTTATTTTCATCAAGGCTCTTCAATAATTAATCAGGATTTTAGTTATTCAATTGAGTTTTCAATTTATCCAATTCTGCAGCCTTTTTTTTTAATTAATCAAGTTCTTTTTGAATGTCAGCTATTAATGAATAGTATATATTATTTTACATGGATTTGAGAATTGTTTGCTGATTTCATCAAATTTATCAGCTTTTTATCTCAATTTTTCTAATTCCTTTTCTAAATCTGAAAAATTCTTGCCATTCAACTTTTTATTAATATCATCAAATTATTATGCTTTTTTTTTCAAATTTTCTAATTCTTTTAATAATTCATCTAAAATTTCACTCAATTAAGATACCTGGACCTTTGGCTCCTATTTTCTTCTGCAAATCATCTAAAATCTTTGCTTTTTTTCTTAGCTCTTCTAATTCTTTTGAAATTTCTTCAGGCGCCTTCCCTCCAAAGAGTTTATTTTATAATTGTAATTGCAATTCTAAATCTCTTTATGATTTTCTCCAATTTGGATCATAATCCTTTAATTGCTCTTCCAGTCTTCTAATTTCATCTTCCAACTCTCTGATTATTATCACAAGTCTTTCACGCTCCTCAGAATAGCTATTTACTTCACTAAAATATTATGATTTTTCAAATATTACAATGTTTGATTTTTCAATTTTTCCATTAAATCCCTTATTTACATCTCATAATTGACTCGATCTAATCCTGAGTCTATAAAATTTTGAATCTCCTATTTCAATTATGTATTTTCTCGAACAAGTCTTTCTACCTCGACTGCCATTAAAAAGCATGCAATATCTAATTCCTGATTTTATCGTTTTCCCAAATCATTTCTTAAGTAATAAACTTCAATACTTATATCTCACTCTTGTTTCATATCCTGGAACGTTCAACTCCTTTTAGATTGAATCTGACGCAAATCTTTAAGACGTATACGAACTTTAATAAGTTCTTTAGTATCCAGACATTATGATAAATTATATATTCCGTTTTTATTTAAAACCACAGTTATTCCATAAACATGAAAAATACCAAATACTCTTAAAGAGAAAGGGTTCAATAATTGATACTAAATAACTATTTTATTATTGTTAATATAAAGATACAAGAAATAAGGTACTTGAAATTAAATCAACTTAAATCAAGATTTGGATTATAAACAGACATTTAATCTTCATAATGATGAAAACTTATCATAATGATATTTTAAAATTTAGAACAAATTCTATTTATTCATTTTTGAAGATTATAAAATTCCTTTTATCATTGAAGAATATTAGAATTATTCTTCATTTTACAACCTTATGTTTTTTGGGATTGATGAGATTATCTGATTTTCATTATAGTTTCAATCAACATAAAGGAAAAATTATTGCTAGGGAGTTTGTATTATTTGAAATATTTAAAAGACAAAATCTAGTTCACCTTAACATTCGTGAATTTTGAGATGTAGGAATTCAGATTTATAGAATTCATAGCAATCCTTCATCTACAAAGAAAAATTGAATAATTAAAATAATGTCATAGATTATTTGATTATCAAATTAGACAAGCTTTTTAGAGTGAGAAAAAATTCATCTTGAACTAAATTAACTTATTAAAGTTCTGAAGCAGCATTTAAATCTAAAAAATCTATAATTTGAAAGAAACATAAAAAATTAACCATCTTAAGAATATAGGAAAAAATATATATTCTCCTTTTTTTATATTCATAATATATATTTGATTTATTATCAATAATATTTTTATGGAAAACTTATCATTGTCTTAATTTATAATGGGTTCAATAATCCTAGTAGCCATTTATGTGGTCTATTAGATTTTTGACTATAGAAGCAGTATTAAAAGAGCAGAAGAAAACACATAGCAAGGATAAACTGAAGAAAAGTCTTTAAGTCCTCCTAATCCAGAAAAATTAGGTATGTAATTTAACTATAAAAAAAGAGATCGCTTCGTTAAAGGTGATGACATTAAAAGATGTTTAACACAACAATGGGTTATGTGGCAAGAGAGTATTTGTAGCAATAAAAAATTTTGTATTTGATGTAACGAACTCAGGTAATCATATATATTTAATTTAGATGCATATAAGCCTGATGGTCCATATGGAGTATTTGCAGGACATGACATATCAATATCATTAGGAAAAATGAATATATCAGAAGAATTCTTAGATATGTATGGCACTGTCACATAGCCAGAAGATGAAATAGCAAATATGAATAGTTGGTTTAGTTATTTCTATACAAAATATCCTGTAATTGGAAGATTAGATGATAAAAAATAGGATTGAATAATTAATAATATTATAAAATAGCTATTTATAAATAGATTCTTACACAAGTCCATTTTGAAATTGAAACGATAAACCTTTTAAAATTTATAAACTTAGTAAACAAAGTAAATTAGTTCATCAACTAGAGTGAAAATTTCCTAATTTATTGTTCTAATTTTCTTTTGAAAGTGCATGAACCTTGAGCCATTTCAAATAGAGTTCCATTTTCTTTTTCAATGATGACTCAACTGATAATTTCACCCAATCTTTGATAAAGTTGATTTCTTTCTCTAGGTTGATTTAATTTAGTAATAATTTTGATTTTTGATTTAATAAAATAGTAAATAAAGTATGATATCCTTTTTTTAACGCTTCAATGCTGAGTGTATTTATAAATTCAATAATCTAAAATAGATTTTATGTTTTTCTTTTGGAATTAGATTTATTTATTTAAAGTTTTAAACAATCCTAAAAAGTATTTAATTAAACTTTTGTCAAAATTTGAGCAAAAGAAACATTATGTTTTCTTATTATTAAGGTTGAGTTTTAATTTTATTTTAAATCTTCAAATTTAGATTGTGTTCTACGGATATTTTGTAAGTTTTGTTTTTTCAAAGTTGTTTGTGAAGGCTCTCTTCTTTTAGTTTAGGATATTGGTTGATTTTCTATAGAATCACTTGATTTAGGATAGTGAAATTTGCTGGAGTTAGTTCTCTCCCTAAAGGTTTTATTGAAATAGTAAAATCTTTGTGTTTTATTATCAAAACTTTGATTATTTTCATTAAAGGAATTAAATTATATTTGTAAATTTTCTTTTGAAGCAAAAAAATCAAAGATGGCAGACCAGTTGAATCTATTTTTCTCCTATTTCTCTAAACAACCTTATAAAAATTTAGTGGATTTTAAACTAATTTTTGGTTGCTTTGGTATTATTAGGGATTGATTTTATAATTTATCTAATAGGTCGATAATATCGTTCGTCATCCAAGGCAACTTCCCAAACAATAGCTCAAAGAAAACAACTCCTAGAGACCAAATATCGCATTTAGAAGTGTATTCTTATTTAAATAGAATTTAAGGAGCCATGTACATTGGAGTTCCTACAATAGAAGTCATAGTATTATTGATTCTTCTAGAGAATCCAAAGTCAGCTATTTTCAACTAGTCATTGTCAAATAAAATATTGGCAGGTTTAATGTCTCTATGAATGAAATTGTTTTAGATGATGCATTTCAATCCTTTAATTATACTTTTGATTAGTTTAAGGGCAGATTCTTCACTTAATGGATTATGTTGATTGAGATAAGTCTTCAAGTCAGTTCCATTACAGTATTCAGTAATGATGTACAAATTGTTGACAGATATAACAAAATCAATTAGCTAAACAATGTTTGGGTGATTTAATTGTTTCATTATGGATATTTCTTAGCTTTGAATATCAAAATCAACATTTCTTCGATCAATAACTTTGATGGCTACTAATTTTTCTATGAATAAATTAAATTTAATTACAAGTAGTCTCATGTTTTCCTAAATAAACAGTTCCATACGATCCTTTCCCGATGATAGCTTTGAGACTGAAAATGTAGGAAGAAATTCTCTTATCAGGTGGGTAATTGATAATTTCTTGTTTTTTATTCATATTATTTTACTATATTTATACACTAAATTTATAGCTCACTCTTTTGTTGCTTTGGCATCTTTAGTTGTTTTACCATCTTTTGTAGTTTTGCCATCTTCTTCTTTATTTTTGTCTGCTATACCATCTGTTTCTATCTGGGAAAACTTACTTTTGCCACCTCTTACTAGAACACCTCTCTTTTTCTTGTTATTTAAATTATTCTAAATTTAATTATGTTAAAATTACTTCCCTTGTCAGATCTTGAATATGTAAAGGATTTGGACCTTTATTACCAAGATCATAGTTCTTTTCCTCTTCTTTTTTGTTTTATTTTTATTTTCCATCTTTTCTTCTATGGTTTTCCTCCTTAAAAAGTATATCAATGATTCCTTTTATAGTTTCTTTGACACTATCTACTTCAGCGAAATTCATCATCTTATAAAACAAGAACTTATGGGATGGAATGCATTTATATCTAATTTCTAGTAAGAATTTCATGAAGTTCTAATAACTTGTAAATTCTTTCAATCTCTTATAAGTATGTGTAACTTCAAATATTAAATCGTGATCTAAAGCAATTTTCTTCTCAAAAATATAAATTCGAATGACATCCTAAAATAGGGCCTTAGTATCATCTGATTCATGTGCTGTTTCTTATTATTATAATAAATTTAAAAAGGCTTTAAACATTGTAATATCATAAACATCTGGAAACTTGACACCATAATCAGCCCAAATTTTTAATGCATCTTCAAAATAGTTGACATGAGATAAGAGCCAAAGTCTATAATCAAATATTTCATATTAATATCTGAATCTCTTAGCATCATTGATAACTAATCTTGCATCGTCGGGTAATTTGGAATCCAATAATAATTAGGAAAACTTTCTTACGAACTCCTTAAGTTGGTCTTTCTATTATTATTTGTACTCAGTCATAATTTTATTGACTTCGACTGGATCTTAAGTGGGAATTTATCTAAGCTTTCTTCCCATTAATTAATCTTTCAAAGATTCATACAAAGACATATATCTATCTCTCTTATTCTAATTAATTAATCTCTAAAATATTGGCTATAATTCTTCAAACTTTAATTACCATTGATAAGCAAAATAGAATCCAATAATCAATTACTCAGCTTCTGCTTCAAAATGTTTAAATTAATATAATAGATGAACAATTTTTCTCATCTAAGTAAAATTGATAGTTATTTTAGTTGATAAAAATGCATAGAAGAACTCAGCACAAGTTTAAGGAATCTTATTATTTTTTGTAATTTATGTAATCTTTTCAAATGTTGAATCATAGAGTACAGTCTCATAAAGACAATAATGAGCCAATATTCTCTTATATAACAATCTGTTGTAATTTCCTTCTTACAAAATAAAATCCAATAAATAATTGTATCCTTTTGACCCAATTGAGAATTGTGTACATGTCTAATTAATGTATTTACCATAATTCTTCTCAATATCTCCATATTAAGTTGTATATTTCACTCTAATCTTCTCATTCACTTCAATCTTATTCTTGACTTGACAAATGATTTATGCAAAGATTATTTTGGATTCTAAAGGTCTTTTAGCTTCCAAAGCTGAAATAAGTTCAGAGATCAAATAAAAATTATATCCATCTTGACTCTATTTGATTCCACTTAAAAATGTTTAGACATCTTCAACTAATTATTATCTTGTCTGATCTTCTTTGAATAGTTATGAAATCTAAAAATGAGCTTTAGCTCTTAAATCTGTATTGTACAATTAATTATCAATTACATATTGCTCTTGTAATTAAGGTATAATTGGTTTCTCTTTTTCAAATTTTTCAAAGTTAAATTTATGGACTACTTCATTTGTATCGCTAACTTTAGTTCTTCTAAATATCTATGGTTATTCCACTTTTTGGAACATATCAGATTACTTTTTCTATTCTTATCTGATTCTGATCAAACTATTAATTTATAAATATGAATTATTACTTCTCACTATCTTCTGAAAATATTGATTTAAGTTATTATGCCTCTCCTCTCTCTAAAAAGATCTTTCCATGCTTTCTTGACTAATAATTTTTTTTTTATTATAATTCCTCTTACTATTTAACTTCTAAGTCAATTGATTCAACAGATTTTAAATAATTCATGAAACCTGTTCCTTCATCTCTTGGGAATTCCTCATACTTCTAAGTACAAAAGTGAGATCTTGGTTTTTGAACAAATTATTTCTGTCTATACTCTTTAATCAAAGGACGATTCTCAATAATTAAATTGTGTATCATTTTTGAGATTTTTGTGAAGGTCTTAACCCTTGCTAGTCTTAATTAATTATATTATCTTTTCTCCTCTGAGAAAGAAAAGATTTCTTCTTCCAAAGTCTTTTCTTAAGGTTATTCTTCACTTGCTGCTTCTTATGACTCTTATGGTTATTCTTAACCTCCTTCTGCAGGTGCTTTTTCTGTTTAGGTTTAAACTGGACAAATAGTTTATAAAAGTGGTTGTATTTTCTAATTTTTTCTCAATTCTGTGTAAAGATCTAATAATTCTTTTGGTATATCTTATCTAGGTCTATATTTTCTCAATTTTCTCTTTCTATAAATGAATTGTTTTGTTAGGTTATATTTTAGAAAGTTTTTAGTTTAGAGCTATTTCCTGTAAACTTATCTATGTGCAACATCGACTATATTAGGTTTATAATCTTTATAGTTAAAAAGAGATGAGAGTTCTTTCTCTAATAATAATGGGGAGTTTTATAAAACAGCCTCCTTAATCGCATTTTATTTGAAATCATATGCGACTGTTTGATTTGAGTATATCAAATTGGTTGAACTTGGATTATAGCGAACTTAGAATTGTGAAACTTCAATGCATTTGCCTTTTAGGAATATCCCATCAAGATTTGTGTAATTTTATATAGTCATGGATTTTTCTTTGATTTAATAAAATTTATACGTGATTTTTATTGTTGATATTCAATAAGTCCCTTTTAGTACTACGAGTAATAGGTTTTTACATTTAAGTTTTAAAGGATCTAAGGTAATTCGTTTTCTAGATAAAATGTATATCTTTCCTCTCCCATAGTCTGTTTAAAACATTCTAAAATGTCTTTGATTGGGAAAGCATGTGCCAATCTTTATAACAACAAATATTATAAAGCAATACAAACGACTGCTTTGTCAAATGTTTCAGACCCAAAAAATAAATCTGCTAAATACAATTATAATTCTCTATTCAAATTAATCTTAAATTTGACATTAAGTAATGTAGCAAGTTGTTATTTCAAGGTTTCCTAATTTACTTAACCACCCCATTAGATATTTAAAATGCCCTTGAGAAAAGATTCATAGTTAAGCAACTTAGTGCTATTTTCATTAAAAAAGAAATATTGTATCAGTAATTGATCCTATTCAGGAACTTTCTTAAGGAATTTATCAAAATTTTCTTGGTTTTCAAAATATTATCCTTTGCTCTTTAATTCACAAAATCTGAGAATTGGTAAAAATTTATTGTTATTGTATTCTATCTCTTAGATAATTTGAGTAATATGCTCTGACTTTAAATACTTCTAATAGTGAAGGTAGAATTATTCAGGTAATTTATTAAGGTAAATCTAAAATTATGGTCTGCTAAAGATTAAAGTACTATTAATAACTATTAATAAATTACTTAAATTATTCTTCCTTCATAAATGCATAAAGTCCGCTAGTAAAATGAGATTTCATATGCTCATAAACATTCGATGCTTAAAAGCTATCATGTGTCATAATGAGGTCTGTTAAAATGTAATTTTCAGAATCTCTTTATCTACGCTTTACTTTATCAAATAAATTTGGATTGTTGATGTATTTTTGCCCAGCAAGTTCTCTCCTAATTTATTATTCGATATTTTCTTTAGTTGGCTTGTATGGTCTTATTTTATTGGTAAAAATGTAATCCCTTTTGTATTTGAAGATCTTCTTTTCATGCAAAAATTCCCTAAAGATCTTCTATTTACTAGTCCTGCTAATACGAGAAAATTTAACAATTGGTTTCTGACCTTCTTATCCTTCTTCCCCTTCCTAAGTCTCAGGGATTGCTTCTTCAACCTTTTACTTTTTAGGATTAATATATTAATTAATTTTCTTTATCATCTCTGCTCTGTTTGGTTTATACCTATAATAGTTAAATAGAACCCTTCTTAATAAAAAGTTGCCTTAATAGGAATGATAGTATTACTTTATTTTTCTCTATTGACTTCTTATTATTCTTCATAAGTATATCTAAGTCTTGTCTTCTTTTTTTCTGTATCTTAGTCCTCTGAAAACTCGTAAAAGCACCCTGTTGTGGGTAAATACCTCTAAAGGAGGGCCCGCTTTACATAGGTTTTAATCATAAATAAATTAAAATTATTTATTAAAATGAATTTGATTTTTTATAGAGGATATATGTTTGAATATTGCTTTTTTTATTTTATACATATTCTTATTTATCATCAATTATAATAATTCCAGATCTTCAATAAGAAATCGGCATCAGTGACTTTAATCTCCCCAACTGCATCAACCAATTTTTAGGTATCTTGTTTCATTTTAGAATACTCTTATGGAACGTCTAAATTATTAAGGATATGTTTGTAAGTTTGGGCAGTGATTGTGGTGTTGAATTTTTAAACATCTGGGTTAAGAAGGATATTCTATTCTCCTTATTTTCTAAGACTGTAAATAGCTTTCTAAGGGGAATAAATAAGATGATATTACTAATTCATAATAATGATTTTCGATATCTTCAACATTTTTGAAATCAAGATAAGGAGTCTTGGTTTCGTCATTGAGAACTTCAGAAGGGAACAGTTATTCCAAATCTACTCCTTCGAAAACTGATCTAGCATCAGGAACATTAGGAGCATTTAGATTGTCATTATAAAATACTTTTTGATGAGGATTCTTTCTGTAGTTAGATTCGAATTCAAGGTTGGAATCCTTGGCTTTTGCTTCAGCTTTAGCAAATAATTCTTCAACTAATTTAGAAAACTCTTTGTCCTTATCCTTGATTCTTTCAGTATCAAAGTTATATGATTTTGTGGTTCTGCCACCATAAATGTCTTTGGTTTCCTTCTTTTTCTATAGATTTTCCAAATCAATATCTTCACTGTCTGTATGTGTTTCATCAGCACTGATATATTTATCGTCTTTTTCTTCCTTGCTTTTAATCTCCTTGCCATTGAACTTCTCAATGAGACTATTGTCAGAGGTGACCATATAATCTTTTCCACCTTCTGTTTCAAATAAATTAATTTAGGCTTTGGCTGCTTACATAATTTATTGAGCAGTTGAGTTATCCATTTTAACTATGGTGATGTATTTATCCCATAATTCAAGGAGATTGTATAATCTTATAAGTTATTTATTCATTTCTTCTAATCGTTTGACTGGGTTTTATTCAAGTTCTTCTATCTTTTATGCAATGACAGTTTAAAATGCACCATTGACTTTATCTAATTGTTCAGCCATTTCTTTTTCGCTTAATTTTTTGTCAGTCAAAATGATTGCTTAACATGTATCCCATTCAAATTTTAAATTTCCTAAGACATTATCTTATTTTAAGAATTTGATTAAGGTCACAATTCTTTGATATAATGGCATACCAAGTCTATTCTTCCATTCTAACTAGATATTTGGATCATTCAATCTAATTAATTAAACGTATTGATTACTTATCAATTTCTTCATATTAAGCAGTTTCAAAAAGAATTGCTTTCTCTTACAAATCATGATAATATGATATTTCATCTAGAACAGTATCAGGAATTAATAGATTTCCTACAAACTTTTCATATGAGTTTTTATCTGAAATCCAATTTTTGGATTCTTCATTTAATACTCTGATTATTTATTGCCTATTCATTTTTTTAATGTCTTATTCAACAAGATATTTCTTGACTCTTTCATTCCTGACTCTTCTGATGTCTTGTAACTTATTGAATTATTATGTTGCATTAAATGTTTAGATTACTGTCTGATTTCTTCTATAAATATCAAGTCTCTCTTATTTCGCTTTTTCTTTTGCCAAATAGTCGTCGATATATTGATTTTCAATTTTGGTTTATTCTTCCCAAAAGTCCTTGACGATTCTTGACCTATACTTTGATATCACCAATTTCCTACCTAATTCATTAAATGCTTATATTCAATCCTTTCCTTGTCATATTCTGACATCTTCGGGGCGGGCCTTCTTAATTTATAATTAAACGAAGGAACACACACTAACTGTCTCTTTCCTACCCTAATTAATTGTAGCATATTAAATATTTTAATTTTATTTTAATATCAGGATTTAAATATATCATAAAATTATACAATTAAATTGTATATTCCAATTCCCATTATCAAAGCATAGAATGCAATTCTAGCAAACATAGGAATCGAATTCTTATCTTTATGATTCACGCACTTTACCTGAGTATCAAATTCATCCTCCTCATCCCCTATCAAAGTAACCTTATTCTGAGTTTAATAACATTTCAGATGTAAACTGATTGGAACTATGTAGACCAATAAGAATCCACAAACTGCTCCATCAAAGGAGATCACAAGTCCAACTGGAATGTTCAACAGTTGGATTGTTAAACACAGCACCATAAACAAAATGCTGAATCCCCAATAAACAACTTTAGGTGGTTCCCTCTTATGATATAGCACTTCCAAAATCTAGTACTTGCTGATGTTATTAAATATCGGAAAAGCCGTGACCAAATGTACCAAAAATAAACTCTCTATAATGATTATTTCCACATCTGATTTCTTAAAACAGTTCAGGATAGTCTAGGCTTCACCTATGTTTTCCAAACCCTAAATAAATTTGATGTATTACCAGAATCCCAATGGAACCAAAGATTCCCACTATCCCATAGATTATCCCTGCAATCATGTAAGCTATAGCCAAATCTCTAGAATTGTTGTCTCTCTTTTCATTATTTTTCATTAATTATCCTACTGCATTGTGAATCATAAAGGCCAAAGCAAATTATCCAGCTGGCTAACTGAAATCCCAAGACCACAATGTTATTTAATCAAATTTTTATGAAATATCTTCGCTTGTCAGATTGACTATAAAAATATAAATAATAAAAATTCCATATGCAAATAATGCAATTACTCCATAATGAGCTATTTTAACGATCGTTGTAATATCCTTAATTAACAGTAATGTTGATAGTGGAAGAAAGACTATCAAAGCCTACCATTAAATTGAATACCTTTGTGGTTATAAGTTATAAATACATGTTAAATACAAATTTTTCACTTGCATCTGCAAACTCAATATTGTTGTAGCTTAAAATATATGTTATGATTGGGTATAAAGTTAGATTAATTAATTAAAAGTAAATTATACCAACAATGAACAATAGAGTTCCAGAACAAAATCTAAAAGCCTGCATCCACGGCTTCCCCAAAATTCTCTTGATCATATGTTCAGTATCTATTTCATCATCCTTGAGATGAAGTATAAGAAGAGAACAAGTATTGTATTGAACAAATCCCAATATAATCATTATCACAGTGCAAGATATCACTCCATAATTCAAAAATACCAAAGGCAATACTAAACACAACGATCCAACCATTGAATTTACTATCCCAACAACTGTCTATAGACTTGATTAAGTTTTGTCAGGTCTTTGGATTGCTAACATTGAGAGAACACTCGAGCTTTTTGAAGCATTCCGGTGCTTGATTGAAGTTTCTTCCATTTAAATATAATTTATAATTAACAATTGCCAAAATAAAATCTTTTTATAATGGTACTCGTGATGTAAACATTGGTTTATAATGATGAAGTCTTCATAAGTTGTAATAATAATTTAAGGATTAATTAATATATTCATTAATTTAAACGCATCATTATAATAAATATTATATATACACCATTAAGATATTTTGAGGCAGTATAATTTACAATGAACAATTAAGAAATCGTCATTTTCTACATAAATTCACTTTATATTAATAAATTTATTCAACACAAATAAGCCTCAAACTCCAATTTCTAATCTTCCTTATCATAGCAATCTGTAGGCCTTGAATAAGTTATATATTTTGATAAATAAAAAAATCACAAAAAAGTCAAATTTACATAAAAATTATACTAACGAATTTTCTTATTTTAATTAATTTTTTTGAGCATCTATATATGTCTTATTTTATAGTATAAATACATTTAAACTTACAGATTCATATTTGTGAATTATTTAACCCTTTAAATTAAATATATTCACAAATTTTCTGTTGTTCATAGTTTTTAAAATACTAACCACCTTCACTATTTTATAGATTGAAAGTATAATAATATAACGAATATATGGTAGAAACCAATTGCTCGTTATCTCCAAAAAATAAATAAATCGTAAAAGTGATATTTATGATAGAACTAAACATTATAAATAATAATATTAATTTGTTGTAAATGCTTATTAATTCAACGAGTTAACGAAAACTAAAACAAAACAGCCTTTCCCAATTTAGAAGCCCAATAATTATTCCGACTAGTTAACGCATTTCTCCAGTTACTTCTGGATTAAATAGTTTGAAAAACTTACATAGTCATAAGGGATCTTAGATTGATATCAATAACCTAACTCGAATAGTCAAACCTACAAAATTAAGCGAAGTATTTGATTATAATATGTTAGTCAGTGAATAATTTATAAATTTAAGTTTGGCTTGCCAAAGCTAAGGAGAATATAAAAGTAACAGCTGATACTAAATTACAATTACCTAAAAAACATATTAAATTTCCAAGTTAATAGTTTATGAACTTTAAAGAGATTGTTCATACATCAATTAGCCCTAAACTGAATAGAGAAATTTTGTTTAGCAAAAGTGCTTTTAATTTTGAGTTCGTCATTGGAATAGGTGGTTTTGGAAAAGTCTGGAAAGTTCAACATAAAAAGACAAGCTTGACATTTGCAATGAAGGAGATGTCTAAGGCATTGTATTATATTGATTAAATGTAGAATTGTTACAAAGAAAAGTGTACATTCTGTAATGAATGAAAGACAATTATTAAGTTAGTTAAAGAATTCTTTTATAGTTAACATGAACTATGCTTATCAAGATAGAGAAAATCTTTATTTAGTAATGGATTACATGAAAGGCGGAGACTTAAGATACCACATCGGGAAGATGAGAAGATTTAATGAACAATCCACAAGTATCTTCAAAATCAATAAATAGAATTTTTCATTGCTTGTATTTTATTGGGATTAGAGTACATTCATTCGAATAAGATTATTCATAGAGATATTAAACCAGAAAACTTGGTTCTTGATGAAAAAGGCTATGTTCATATCACAGATTTTGGAATTGCCAGAATTGCAAAGACTGAAAATAATACTGACACAAGTGGAACACCAGGCTATATGGGTATTTCAATCGTAATATAATACATTAGCTCCTGAAGTAATGTGTAGATAAAATCACACCTATGCCGTTGATTACTTTGCCTTAGGAGTTATTGCTTATGAATTCATGCTAGGAAGAGTAGAATATATTTTGTATTTTAGAGACCTTATTTGGGAAGATCTAGATAAGAAATTAGAGATTAAATCCTAGCTAAGTAGGTCTAGATAAGGAAAAGTGAAGTACCAGACGATTGGTCTTTGGATGCAGTTGATTTTATAAATTAGGTATGCAATAATTATTATTTAGCTTTTATAACGAAAACCTCAAAATCGTTTAGGATATTCAGGTAGCCAAGAAATCAAAGATCATCCTTGGTTTGCTTAATTCCCTTGGGATAAATTGTAAAATAAGACTTTAACTCCTCCTTTTATTCCTAATGTATTATAACACAATTCAATTTAGGCAACTGAAGATAACTTTGATCAAAAGCAAATTATATTGGAAGATGAAGAGAACAATGAATTGATTTAATCAAATATTGTCTTATTAAGAGATTAAAGCATACAAGGTAAAAAAATAAATAGGTTTTTAGATCAATTCTAAGGATATGAATTTTATTATCATGCTAATTCCTCATCAACAGAATAATCATCTGGTTCTTCTACCAAACACAGTCGCAATCTGAGTGAAAGGATATAGTTTGCTGATAAAAGGAAAATAATATGATCAAATTTTAGTTTAAATACTGCAAATTTTGCATAATTCTATATTTATTTGAAATCTTAATCTCTCAAATATATTTATATAATCAATAAATCCCTTTGATCAAATTAAATATATTATTTATAATAAATAACAAATATTTCTATTGCCATATAATAACTAACTATCTTAAATCATTAAAATTTTAGAAATTTCACTAATCTACCTAAAAACTGGAGATTTAAATTAGGATATCACCACTCATTTTCTATTTGTTGATGTATAATTACTCAATTTAAATCCTATTCTAAATGTTCATCCTGGTGAATAAAACTTGTTCTCTCTATTAATATTATAAATTTTAGGTGAAATCTCTGAAAGATTTGTCTTACTATCTTAAAATTAAATCTGCCTTCTTAGCTTCATTTTAATATATCAATAATAAAAATTTGAATTATCTTGAAAGGAAAGAGTAATATATTGGAAAAGGATTTATTTATTGGAACATCCTAGAATAGTTTAGGTGATAAATCAGTTATATTTAGGAGAATGGATCAAAGAGTACTTTTTTGATATTTTTAATCATTTAAACGTATATATTGAAATAATAATTATTTGTTTATGTGTTACATTTTAGTTAAATGTTTAAGAAATTAAAATTGATCTAAATTAAGTTTGCTGTATTGTCAATATAATTATTTTGAAGTAGATTAACTGAAAGTCTATGGATTAACTTAACTTGATAAGTTTAGCATTAACTACTAAAAAATTGATAAATGAAGTTTAGATTATTCTTTTCATCAATAAGGGAAGCAATAAAATATCACTATAGAAACCATCAAAAATGTGACAAGATTTAAATTTTTTCTATTCTCATTCTAGTCCTTAATATTTTATGTATATATTATCATAGTAAGGGCAAAATAGGATATGCAGCTTTTCTCTAACATAGGTGATCCATCAAATAACTCGCTATTAATGATAATTTAAGAATATCTAATTTTTTATATAAATTAATCTTCTTAATATTGAAAAACCCACCCATATTTTAAGAAATACAATCATAATTCTTAATTTTGATTTAATATCATAATTCAATAGATCATACTAAATCAGTTCCAAATGAATTCATTCTTGAAAGAATAAGTTTCTAATTCTTGGCTCTTTTTTATTAAATTCAAAATATAAATCTTTAACATTTATTAAAAATTAAATGCCGCAATTATTAAGTATTATTATTTATAGTAAAAAGAATTGTTTTGGCTTGAATAGAATAATAGTTAACTAAGAATTCATAAACAAAAGTACAAAATTTAAAAAGAAATCCTAATCTAGCCTCATCTTTTGATATTGAAAATTCATAAATTTAAATATTTGATTAAGGAAGATGCAAAAGGTAATCCAAATTTAATTATTTTACCAGGTTCAATCATTATTGATATACAATTTTTAAGAATTCCTACAAAAAAAGTCAAATTAAAAAATTTTTTCTATTTAATTAGAGCCCATAAGCATGACTCCTACTGCAGCTATAAATTAAAAAGAACTGTCAAATAAAACTCAACGATAATACTCCTGCCTAATTAAGAAGATAGATTCAATGAAGAATTCGATCATAATCTATCAATCATTGAAAATGAATTAATAATCAATATCTAAATTTAAAATCTTATTCACTATCAGTTTAGTAAATTTTGAACCAAATGGAATAGTTGGAGGATTTTGTCACACAATTATATTATAATTAATATTATTATTACGCACTAATTAAATCAAATGATTTACCTTATAATATAAATATCATTAAAGGGTGTTTTTGAATTTCATTAAATAAATTATGAATTTTAGTGATAAACTAAAACAACCAGATCCTTAAACGTGGGAGTTGCTTTAATTATACTATAAATTGTTTAATTATTTAGAGTAATGTCCTGACTCACCTAAAAGAAATCAAGAAAGAACAAATTAGGAAAATTAAAGTAATTTATAAAATACACCTTCTATGTTATTTCTCTCACCCTCTGAAGATTAACTTTCTAATCCTACACAAAAATAGAAACATCAATGGAGTAAAAAAGTGGAAGGTAAAGGAACTAAAAAAGGTAATGTTATTATTGAAGATTCAAATCAAGGAACCCGTGTCTATGTATGTGGTATGTGCGGAGAAGAATTTGAAAAATCTTAATAATTAGGTAAACATTATTAAGATATGAATAAACTTCTAAAAATTAAAGATTAAAATATTTCAAACATTCATAAAATCAAACATGATAAAATGTGTCTAACTGAAGAGTTTGATATTTAAAACTCTTGTTACAGCTAAGATGAAGGAACTATTCAAAGGGATATTTAAAACTTTTGTAACAGCTAAGATGAAGGAATTTATCAAAGGGAAGACCAATCTATGTTCCTTAACCTTCAAGATTAATGAAAGCATATTCATTGACATTATTATAAATTTAAAATTTTAATCCATAACTTCTATGTTTTAAACTTAATTTTTCTTCTAACTTATAAATTATTTTTTAATTTATAATTATTCTAATTAAACCCTATTAAATATTAAAGAAAGAATTTCATTCTTTAGGTTGTTTAAAATGAAAGAAATATTGATTAAAGTCTTTTGATGATTTAAATTTAAGACATAAGTATTTTATAAATTAACTTTGTTACTAATATCATTGAATTTATGTAAATGTTAGTTTATTAGATTTCAATTAAACTCTATTTTTCAATTTGGTTATTATTTTAAAGACAGAACCAAGATTTATGATAATTTTTTTTGGATAATAGATATTTGATTGAAATTAAGATATTATTCTATAATTTTATTGTTTTTTCTATTACATTCTTTAAATTCAAATTTGTAATTTATTAAATCAGAATATTTTTTGATAATTATTAATGACTACAATGATTCTTTAAAATAAATATCAATTAAGTTGTAAAATAAATGCCTTCTATTGAAAATGAATTGTATTATATACAATAATTTATATCTAAAGTAACTTTAACAATTTTCATGTGTACAACCAAAATAGCATCTTAATTGTTATCAAATTCAAGAGTTGACTACAAAGGATGTCTAATTCTTCAGAAAAAATAGTCATATTCATTTTTTAGATTGCTCAATCCTATTTTAAAAATATAATTTTTTTATTAACAGCGAGGATATCCAAAAGTACTAAGCGATTGCATGTTTCGGATGCATTTATTGAATACTTCACAATTTAATCATAGCTAAGGCTCTCAGAACTTAGGTATTTAGAAAAATGTTTGAGTTGGGCAAAATAATGAAGGAATTCATATAAGAGCCCTGCGAATTTCAAATCGAATACTCTATATTTTAAGTGTTGGATTAGCAATAGGATCTGATATAATAAAATTAGGGAACTTGATAATAGTTTTATTATTTTAAGTAAAATAAAATATAAATTTTCAAAAAGATAAAGATAAAGATCACTTTACTTTTAAAGATTATTGATTTGAATTTAGAGATCAAAAATATGAGTACACTATGGTGACTTTATTTATTATCAAAGTTTCTTTTTTAAAATAAAAAGTTCACTAATAATATGAATATGAATTAAATAAACTCATTTAATTTTGAGTTCTTCAACAATTAACTTTTTGTCTCTCTCTTTATTTAATTTAGTGATCAATTCTTCAGTTTAATTAACCAATATAGAATTAATGAAATATAAATGAATACCTTATTATTCTATTTTTCATTTTATTTATAGGTATTATATAGAACAAATATAGATCACACATTTTTCAAAAGAGATTGGATTAAACTTTTGGAGAATTTTTTAAAATAGATTTAAAATTGCTTTTTAGACGTGAATCAAGGGTTGGATTAATCCAATACACATTTGAATGTCCTTTAAGTTTTTCAATAGTTTTAGTTATTTCAATTACAGTTTGCCATGGTTTGTAATTACAAACAATTAATTTTTCATTAAATGAGATTTTAGTTTGGTCGCATTCTATTATGTCAATATTAGGTTCTTCTTCTATTAATACTTTCTAGTGTTGGCTTAAGGGAGCCATATATTCTATTTTAAACTTTGGGGAACGATCAATCATAAATTTAAATATAATTTTTAGATCACTCCTATTGAAGCTTTTTTAATGATAATACGTAATATTTATGATATTACACATTTAGTCTAGTTAATATAATTTATTAAATGAGATAGCTAATTAAAAAAGTATTAATTACATTAAAAATTAAGAAATTCGCTTTTTTATATATAAATTGATTAAATTATATTCTTCTTATTCGATGATGCAACTAAAGTAGTGATCCAGATATTTAGATTAGCAACTTAGTGCATTTAAAAAAAGCATGTTAGTTGAAATGAAACTCTAGAAATTTAGACAGATTATATTGTCTAAAAAGATAATTGAAATTGAATATAGACGATCTACTAGATAGATAATCAAAATTATAATATTCTAAATTATAGAACTACTATTAATTATTTTTTACCATCCTAGATGTCTCATTAAGTTTGGATGTTAAATTATGAAAATTTAAAATTTAAACAGAACAATTTGGTTCAATAATGCCTAAAAAAATATTTCAAATCTTGAACAAACCTCAACGATAGTTGATTTGAATCTTCAGATATAATATTTTAGTCAATCAGATGCCTGAATATTATATATTATAATTTATTAATTATAAATAGTTTCAATTTCAATTTTTTAACTATGCCATTAATTTTTATCAACTAAACATGAATTAAAGAAAATATAATTATAATTATTGTTTAAATGGCTTCTAAGCATAAGAAAGCACTAATATTGTAAAGAATTTATGATGACTAATTTTATTTGAACATAATGTTTTTGCTTTTTGTTACCCATTAAGAATTTTTTATAAAGAATATTATTAATATAAAAATATCAAAACTTGCTAGATATCATAGTGGATCAAAGTTAAATTTTACTAAAAATGCAATATCACTTATATTTGTAATAGTTTCTTTTGAATTTATCATCAATATGATTCCTTATTTAATTTTAAGTTTAATTTCAAGCATAATTAGAGTGTTATTCTCTTAATTATTTAAACTAATAAAATAATGGCTTACAGTTTTTTTTACAATAATCATTTATTTTTCAGTATATATTTTACTCTCTGCATTTGTATTTAATTTATATATTCAACAATAATTACTTTTAATCTTTTCTTTTTTCTATGTTTTAAAAAATGAACACCCTCTCATATTCACATATACAGCAACTCTTTATTATAAATAATTAAACTCATTTTTTTTATTATAATTTCAATTTTCTTATAAAGTCTTAAGTAGAAAATGAACTACATATTAGCTATCATTTCATATGAGAATTATTTTCTCAATTTCTCTAATAAAAAATTGATCACAATACAGAATTTCAAATAAATAAGTAAAAAAGATATTTATATGAATTCCTAAAAAATACCATAATTTTGATAAATTTATTGTTTTATGTATTAATGCCTAATCAATGATGATGATGTCCGTGAGCTTTAGGTGCAGGATTTCCAGTTTTAACATAGCCCAAAACTTGAGCTGCCTTCAAATAAGGTGCACCTGAACATTTCTTATCCAAACAGAATTGTACATAATCCTTCTCTTAAATTTTGAAACATGTTCTATAACATAATTCTAAATGCATAATAAATTGTTTGATACTCTCTTCCCAATTGTTATCATGAAGGTATTAATGTCTAAGCTTATCCTATATTGTTTATTATTAAACAGGGTAGTCTGGTTGATCTTCCAGACCATGGAATGATGACAATAAATCAAAGAAATGGATGTGTCCTTTGTGGAAGATTTCAGGATTTTTAGGTGTATAAGCTGTTGAATTCGATCTCATAAATAATTATTTAATTTAATATTTTAAAATCGGGCTCATTTTCCTACTCCATCGGAATAGTAATACTAAAATCCTTGAAATATGTTACCATGATGATATGAGATTGTCTCTAATTTTGCATAACTCTTAATATATTGAGTTATTATTTTATAAGAATTAAATATAATTTTATATTTACATGAAAACTAAGATAGTGTCTTTATTTCTGAAGAGAGAACATCTAATATTACTATCGAAAATGCTACAGATAACAGACAATACAACTGATCAAGACACACAAATTTAAAAAATAGATTCGCAGAACCAAAAATCTGAAAATAGAATTCTAAAAACAGAAAGGTGGCCACAATAAGATTTGGACTACTTTCAGAATAGTTTTCTGTAAATAGCAAACTTAACATTTTCCTTTTTCAAATTTCACTTTCCAGCAAATTCAGCTCTATAAATAAAAGAACATATAAAATTTATTCATGTTGTCAAGCAAATCAATTTTGGTGGAGTCACAATTGAGGAAGTCTTTAAATAGCAAAGAGTAAACTATTATTTTGTAAAGTAGACTCGTCTCAATTTAGAAGTAGCCAAAATTACTAAATCTGTAAAACTTATAGATGAACCGATCATGCCAAAACTTATGAATTCTAAAATAGATCTAGCTTATATTTAAACCATTTAGGATAAATATTTCTTTCCCAAAAACAATGATTTTATGACACCCTACTTAATCCTGAATTTAAAACCTCACATTCCAAAAACAACTGTAAGATATTAAAACAAAGAACTTTAATAAAGCATTACAAGTTTAGAGGACATTCCACCATTTCAATTTATGAATACCAATCTCATCTAACCAATCCTAAACTATGAATCTTTAAAGAATGGCTTCGAATATAAATTCAATAAACTTCTATAAAGGAACTCATTCGTCTAATGTACAATTAAAAGATATTCACATAAAATCAAATAATTTGAAATTAAATCTGAAGATGCTCACATTGAAGATTCCCTCAGAGAAATTAAAAAATTGTTTTATTCCTAAATTAAATAATTATGCGATAATAAAGCGACATCAACTTTATTAGATTCTAATCTTAAATTTCTACAACATAAAAATTGTGAAGATTCTTCTTGTAAATTTACCCCTATTTAAACTATTAAAGATTTTGAGTCTCTTTTATTCAATCAAATTAAAGAAGAAGAAGAATCTCAAGAAATTGTTCCTCATTCTAATTTTAACGAATAACCATCCGACAGAAAACCTCTAGATTTTAGATAAACTCCAAAGCTATTATCATTAAACATATCGCAAAAATTCCTTTAAGATTCCACCATGAAATAATTTGAATCATAACAGCAATCTGAAAATGAATCAATAAATAGGTTAGAGATAAGATTAATCAAACCATCCCTGAAATCATTGGATCTCAAGTAGTCTGAAATTTTAAATTAAAGCACTAATAGGCACCAAAGAAAATTGCACAATTCAAAGCTTCAAGAACAAAATGATAAATCATAATCCAATTATAAATTTTTCAATATACCCCTTTAAACTATTGAACCTCCGAATCCATCGACTGAATCATAAGTCACTGAAATTTCTAAATCCATATTTACGAATAGAAACCTTTAATAAAAATCCTTGGATAGAATTACTTTAAAACCGATAGCTTATCAAACAGAAAGAATGAAAGAAATTAGAGATTCTAATAAAGATAAGAAGGAGACATCCTTTCCATATATCAAAGAGTCACTTCCTATTATAGGTTTAAGTGTGAATGAATCTGAATAATAAAGATTAAAAGAATATGAATCCAAATTTTCACTACAAGGTAATTTATAAAAGAGGATTTAAACTAATGAAAAAGAAGAAAACTCGGTAAAAGAGATATTATTATTCTAAAAAAAAAATTGTAATCTGAAAAATCAATTGTAACATTAATTGATTTTGCTTACTCGTTCTGAGTAAATATTAACCACTTTGATGTCAAATGGATAAATTAGAGGAACAGAACTCTATCAATAATTATTATAGCCTATTAAAGTTAATTCTAGTGCTAAATTCTTAACTCCAAAAAGTAATAATCTAATATCAAGAACGAAATTTAAAAAAATACAACAAGAAACCAAAATGTTCAGCCTTAAATGAAATATTAAATTTTATCTTATTTCATCATCTATTAATAATTTTAATCATTTCAAACCAGTAAAATCAAATTAATTTAATCTGAATTATAATTCACTACATTTATTAGATTAATCTAATTCAACAAATGTAGGTATATTAAATAATCAAATCAATGGATATTAGTTTCAATAATCATAAGGATTTATGATTGTTTTTGATAAGTCAATTCTTTATTCATACTATCTTAAATTATAATATATAAAAAGAGTTAAAAATGATATTTACATTTTTTGCTTCTTAATTTAGATTTGATTGATGAGTAAAAGTAAATTATAAAAATAATTTGGTTGCCGAATTAAATTCAATATACTAAGAAATTTTTAATTCAATAAAGATACTTAATGTATCATAATTTATCAAAATTTTTTATCGTGAAACTAAAATATATTTTTTTATAATTATATCTAAAGTCAAATTTATTGGATAAACAGAATTTATCTATACTTTAACTAAACTTATTTTAAATTCTAAGGAACTTTATTTTGAGAGAACTTAAATTTTGAGTCTGTGAGTACTTTTTAGATTAAATTGTAAATCTCTCACTTAATAAGTTTTAAATTATTTACATAATAAAAGTTATAAAGATTAGAATTCTAGATTTATAGAATAAATCTTATGATAACATTCAATAATTACTTATAATATGTTGATATCTTTGTACAATACTTTTGTAACACTAAAATTCATAAATTATTTGTATAGATATTTTTACATATGATTCAGACTAGATAAAATTTGAATTTATTTGAGATAGCATAGATGTTGATATGACTAAAAAATGAAAATAACTATATAAATAAATTATATTATTATGTAACATCCTCTCTCTCATAAATCAAAATATCACTATTATTTTTAATTTTTATTTAATATCTCCTAGGTCTAAACTTTA